ATCTGCTCTGAAAAAAATAACTCCAGCTGCGAAAGCTGCATATTTACGGGCTATATGTACGGGCATACCGTTCATTCCGGACTCAGAGGCCGAAAGGTCTTGGGTGTAGCACTTAGAACTTCTACGGGCTGATTGTTGAAATCAATAGACAAAGAAATAGATAAAGAAGACAAACTGAAAATAAAGTGACCTTCATGGTGGAAGAGGGTGGTTGCAATGGACAAAGGAGGTAAGTAATAGACTAACTACATGGAGAAAAAAACTTCGTGCATGGGACCCGAAGTTGAGTTCGTATGAATCACTGAAGTTTTCTGATCACGCATCCGAAAACTTGAGGTCGAGCTTCCGAAAACTTGAGGTCGAACTGCCGAAATTCGGGTCTGACATTGAGGCACTTCGGTGTGTACCGGAGTACTTCAGATGCGTGACTCGAACCCTTCGGTATATATATCGAAGTACTTCAGATGTCTGACCCGAACTTTGGCAGCTGGACCTTAAGGTTTTAGATACGGGATCTGAAAACTTCAAAATTGATCCATATGACCTCAACTTCGGGTCCCACGCACGAAGTTTTTTTCTCCGTGGATCGCCAGCCCATGAGAGACCCTGTAGTTAGTCCATAATTTCCCCCTTTTAGTCTATATGACTGCCTCCCGTTTGAACCAATGAGATCGGTCCATGTCCTTTATGTCTACTTTGTCTATAGCTTTGTCTATGAATTTCAGAAATCAGCTCGCTGGTCTCTAGCTTGCGGCCCGATTATTGAAATTTATAGACAAAGCTATAGAAAAAGGAGACATAGGAAGTATGGAGCGATCTTATTGGTTGAAATGAGTGGTTCCTACAGACTAGTAGGGTAAATGGTGGACTAACTAAAGGATCTCTCGGGTTGCCGTTAGTTAGTCTATTCCTTTCCTCTTTTGTCCATTGCAACCACCCGCTTCCTCCAATAGGATCCCTCCAAATTCCTTTTACCTTCTTTGTCTATTGCTTTGTCTATCAATTTCAATAATCGGCCCGCTGGAAATCATACTGACAGTATGCACGTAAAGCTCGTAACTCTTTTTCTGTGCAACCGTTGAACTCCAAACGTAACTTTTACCCTTCAGGGAAGATAGCCGACAGAGGCCTCAATCTCCGGTAATACTCGACGGTTTCTCCGGATGCCTCGATGCAGGATCCATAACTTTTCGGGGCCGACCCCAATCCGACCTTTGACGGGGGCCCCGGCCGGACGGACCAACGAAAGTGGCCGCGGCCGGAGACGACTGAGACGAGCGGAGCGGCCGGCGCTAAAAGCTCCGCAGACGGGCAGCGCGAGTCGCGGACGACATTCCTCGGCCGGCCTCGCACTCCGGCCGCCGCAAAGCCTTGCGCCTTGCCTTGCCTCCTGGCCTACTTCGGGTACTTTGCATCCCCCCCCCCNCGGACCGAAGACTCCGATTCAGCATCCGACTGCTGAGTGCTGCTGCACTGCGAACCCGCCTTCTGACGTCATAATTGCCACATCGAGCGGTGAAATTCACCCGCCGTTAGGTTTAAGACTTCTGAAAATCTTGATTGCGAGCTCCTCGTGCGACTAGACAACGAACCTTGGAAGGAAAAATGGGTTGCACAAGTGGGATGAAAAATATTAAGGATTGGAAATTGCAGCGGTGAAATGGAGATGTTGCGTGTGTGAGGAATTTGCGATTTGACTATTGATTCTCATGTAAAAGTTCGCGAGAAACACGATGTGACCACTGGTTTTCTCTGAAACCAATTCCCAAGCTCAAAAAAAGCTCTCAAGTTGGGGCCAGAATGGAGGGGATATCCCACATTATCCCACGCTATCCTGAGAGTCCTCTTCTACATCTAGACAAACTCTCCATGCAAATATAGGGAGCAAATACATTGACAGGGCTGCCACTTTATTTGGGGACTCCAAAACTGAAAACACGGCATCACTGCTAATGTATTTGCTCCCTATCTTTGCATGGAGAGTTTGTCTTGATGTAGATGTGGACTCTCAGGATAGCGTGGGATCCCCTCCATTTTGACCTCAACTTGAGAGCTTTTCTTGAGATTGGGAGTTGATTTCAGAGAAAACAAGTGGCACCATCGTGTTTCTCGCAAACTTTTACCTATGAATCAACAGTCAAATCGCAAATTCCTCACACATGCAACATCTCCATTTTAAACACTGAAAAGGAGTGAATTTTGAATTTCCGTGCAGCGCGGCAAGGTCGGATGCCGAACCGGGGCTGGCCCTTTGCCGAGGTCCAGGATAACGGCGCAGGGCTTTTTTTCTCCGCCTAGGGCCAATCCCATGTCCAATCCCCACATCAATCGGCTTGCAAATGACCGCTCACTCAGTAGCGTGTCGTGCTTTGCGATCAATCGATTAATCCGCCATTTAAACCTATGGAGAAGGATCGATTGTGATCGAGTATCAGTGTATATGCATCGAACACCCTGATGATCGATTCTTTACCATAGTTTCAAATAGGAAAATATCGAAGGTCGGAGATTTACACCTCACTTCGCGCCTGCGCGGAAGCTTGCTCGAGATTCAGTCAAGGAGGATCCGCCGGCAATTTTTCCTATGCGGCGCATGGGAACGGACTGCCTGCGGGCACGCACCGTTATTAGGGACTGCGCGGATGCACCGGGAAAATATTCACAGCTAGGTTTTGTTATTATTGCATAACATTCAATTATACAAATCAATGACCCGCAGTCGTCGAGAGGAATGTTTGCGGTATTTCCTATCAATTTCTGGGCGATTTTCAGGATGTGTTTTTGCGAAACATCGCTGCTATTTAACATCAAAATGTTTATTAACACTTTACTGAAAATAACGTAAATTTTGTCCTAAAATTAATCCATACTCATTATCATACCAGGGAGCTATGCCCCACGACCGCTACGCGGCCCAACGGTTATAGGACATTTCGTCAACGATTATTTGTCCCCACACTTGTTTTGTCTAGTAGTTTACGTCCACGCGTTTTTTCGGCAGGGGAATTTCGGTACACTTACCAATTGAGATTGAGACCCAAGTTAATTGGTCCACAAGTAAATACAAACGATATTGACTTACGAGTTTTCAGGATGAAAATGGATAATGTCTTGGAAAAATGAGGGTTTGCTTGTTTCTTCTTTGTTTGTTTGGTCCTACGGAGAAAAATATATAATTGGAATTTTTGGTAAAAATGGGGGAGCGTCAATTCCATGAGGCAAAATTCTACCCCTAATTGGTGCAACAGGACTTAATTATCTTTCAAGGAAATCCCATTTTGTTATACCTGAACCGGATAAACCTTTTGATTTGCCTCAGCTAAAGGTTCTCAGATTTTTCCTGTGCACGATAACTTCGCGCGACGGCGCGGCACCGGCGCGGCGCGGCGTACCACGGTGCTTCGCTACTATTTTGCCACAGAGGTGTTGCACAGTATTATACGAGATTGAAGGCACCCCAACGCATCATGATTGATGGCATCTTCCAAAAGCACGAAATTGCCTCACGAATTAAATCGTGTGACGACGACGAAAAAAAAACGGTGGGTATTAAGTCCTAGGATCTGTATTCAATAACGTTTAGCATGATTTTATTACCTCGTTAGAGGAAAAAAGTGACTTGATTATAACAGAGATATGCTTAAATTTACCGCAGAGAAGATTTTCTTATGAATTATAATAAAGAAAATAATGCTTGCCCTCGAAAAAAAAAGAAAAACAAAAAACAAAAAAAAAACAAAAAAAAACACATTGGATCTAGAGTCCAGACTCTTAAAAACATCGACAAGAAAAAGTACTCTTGATTCAATCAGTATCTAGCTTAAATTAAGAACCAAGCCTCTTAATTTAAGCGGATTTCGTTTTGATTCAAGCAAAAATCCGATTGTATCAAGAGTGTTTTTTCTTGTCAATGTTTTCAAGAGTCTGGATTCTAGATCCGATTTGTTTTTTTACCAGTGTGTTTAAAGAGGAAGAGATACTTATAAAGAAAAGTCACTTACATCAAGCAGAAACCCACTTTTATTCAGCGATTTTATTCTTGGTTCAAAATAAAATCTTCGTTACGGCATACTCAAGAATGTTTCTGCCTAAATCAAGTCACTATTTTCTCTAATGAAATTCAAAAATTATACTAAAAGTTATTTAATATGGATCATAGGACTTGGTAAGTTTTTGGACAACCGCTCTCTTTTTGTGCCGTAGTATCTTGATTTACTTTGCGAGGAACGCTCCGTACTATTAAAGTATGGCTGTCATATTTAATATGTTGGAGCGCCTTCAATTTCGTATGATACTGTGTAAAACCTTGGTTGCGAGACAGTTGCTTGAAGTGCCGCGGCGCGGCGGGCTAGGGCGTCCAGCGCTACACGCGCATTGGCGCCTACAAACCTAACAGGGATACCTCACGCATTGCGCAATGCGTGAAGTATCCGTGTTAGGTTTGTAGGCGCCAATGCGCGTCTCGTGCTGGCAGCACGCCGCTTCGCTGTGTTTGACTCAAATATTTAAACTCACGGAATCAGCGTTTTTCGTCTCACGATTTTGAAATGCTTGCACACTCTGCATGGATTATTCTCATCAAAATTGATGAAAAAAAAAAAAAAAAAATACGTATTAAAGGAAACCCCAATGTGTGTTTTGTAAATATTTAGGTGGTTTCGTGTCAAATGTAATGATTTCCAAAGCTCTTTAATTTTTTCTGTTACATTTTGTGCTTTTAATGTACTGCAGCGTGGTGTACGCGCAACCAAATGCTCAAAACTGGACGGATTTGACTCTTAATGACGGATGACTGTGATGAAGTTATTCCTTTTTTCAGTGACCACATTGAAATGACTCAATGTTAATTTTTGAAGCCTCTGTTCCATATACTATATTTCCTCTTATTAATTAACGATTCATTCATAATTGAAACATGGATCAATCGGATCTCAGTTTACTGCATCTTTAGATGTTCAGGATGATAAAAAATTCATATGTGTAACTCAAAACAACGTATATTACAAATTGTATAACAAAACTTTATTGAATCAACAGCTACATTCATAATACAGGATATATTTATGTACAATTGTTCTCGCAAGGAGAGATTGGTCAAATTTCAGTGACAGTCGAGAGTCAACATAAAAAACAAATAAGCATAACACAGGCATGTAGAAAAATTCGATGTAAAAACAAAATAAACACGAACTTGGAATTTATCCTTGGTATTGATTTAGTTATTAACCACAAACATTGAAATTTCATCATCTGAGCAGCTTGCATAAACCAATTAGGAGAGCAAGATTACTGAAAAGGCTTTCTGTCAAAAGATTTTTGGCAGTTTAGCCTGAAATAAACTTGGATGCTTTCTTTCATTTTTCATAAACAAATATAAATACGAATAAATAAACCAGGCACACAGTAATTGGCTGTATTTTCCATAAAATTGGTCACGACTGAATTTCTAAGCATGTAACAAAAGCAAAAACACTATCCGTTATAAAAATATAGTATAAAAATCAAAATTTTACCTCTAAAAAGTCTTGCTATGGTGAATTTATAAAAATTTATTGACATTTCAATTATCAGCACGGAAAAAGCAAAGGAGTAAATTAAGCCTGATCGGCTTGTCGTAATAATTCATAGGTCCCTAAGAACTTCACATCAAATTGTACTTTAAAAGTTTGAAAATATTTTCCCCTCTTGAAACCGGACAAGGCCTCTTTGCAGATCAGCCAAGAATCCAAGGAAGAAATAAATGTGTATACTTAAAAGATAATTTCCGTAAGGTTTCAACACGGTTTCGACGTATGAATACAACTTGAACATTCTTCGGGGCTATCTGAGTATAATCAATGCTTTCATGGTCAACGTTGGTCAGTGCAATGGTGAATCTTACCACGGACTCTGGGCCCTTTTCTCCCCCCCCCCCCCCACAAAAAATTAACAATTAAAAATAAATTCTGAATCAAGATTTAGTATTACCTTGTAAGCCAGGTAACAAAGTTTTAGCCGATTTGTCAGTAAAATCCTCTCTCAGCCAAGACTTGCGAGCCGAAAGCTGTGCAATTGACCATAAGTCCATTATGGAATGGTTTCAAATTTGGATTTGTCTTTTCACGAAAAATATGCCTCATTTAATCTGGAGGTCTTTTCCGTTAGTTTCGCTAATAGTATCTCTGGCCTTCGCCTGTTTAGCAGCGTTTCACTCTTCCTTAGGTTTCCGCCACTTCCGTATCTTCTCTTGCACCGTCTCCTGCACTTGCCGACAGAGCATCAGAACCAGGAAGGGTATCGAGTACAGCGCATTGTCGAAAAAATAAAAATAGCAGGCTACCAAAAACAATCCTAAGTCCATGACGTAATCACACAGCGAACTAACCTTCTTCTCGACTTTCCGCAGTTTTTCCTCTTCCTCGGGCGACAAAACCGTCTTTTGAGCAACTTCCTCCACTACCTCTGGTTCGGGTTTCACTTCCAGCATCTTACTTTCGGGAGCCTGAGCTTCCGGCGATGAGTCGATTTCCGTTTCCTCTTTGTCTTCGACGCTCTCCACTGCCTCCGGCACTTCTTGCGCCGCCGCTTTCAGATCCTCGTAATTGAGGTACAGCGTCTTCGGGGCCTTCTTCAGTTTCCCGAACTCCCGCACGATGTCGCTGTAGTGGCTGATGAGCACGCTTCTCGGGTCGGGGTCCACCCCGGACACCCTTCGCTCGGCGTCCTGGAAGTTGACCGACTTGGACTTCCGGTCCAGGGAGGCCGGCTCCTCGATTCGGACCCTTCTTCCGGTCCGCCTTTCAAGGTCGTCACCGAAGGCTTCCGAGGACAGGGCTTTCGGGATGATGTTCAGTTCGGACTCGACGACAGCGATCGGGGCTTTGCCTGCGGCGTCGTCGGAGGGTCTTCGTTTCAAGATCGGCTTGAGGATGTTCGATTCCGACTTCATTTTCGTGCCGTTGGCTTTGCTCGCCTCCAGAGTGTTGACTGATGGGAGGTGGACGTCAGGCGGGATTATGATCTCGCTGAAAGTGTCTTTGCGAGGCAGGGACGAGCCTCTCGGCGGTGGCTGAACTTTGGGCTCAGGTGGCGCTCTCTGGCTGGAATCTGCCGAAACTCTTGACAGCGGACTGCGAGAGCGGCTTCTCCTGTCCGTGTGCGGAGTCTGTGGGTCTACAGACGGCCGTGGTACGGGAATCATGTTCCTAGGATGATATGTTTCCGTATCGCTTGTCCTTGTGGGTGGTTTAGTCGTCACTGTCCGACTCCTGGGACGGTAAGCCTCCGGTCTTGTTTCGAATTCATCAGATTCCTCTAGCTCCTCGACCTCGTCGAAAGTCTCGGCAATGAGTGGCGGCCGCCCTTCGACCCTGGTGTCGAAATCAAAGTCGTCTTCGTCCGAGACGTCATCTAACGGTTCGTTGACGTCGTCCATCTGCTCGTTCGCCTCCAGTGAGGAGTTGTACACGTTTGCGCCGAACGTAATTTTAAGCGGCTTCTTCAATTTAACGGAAAGGATCCGGTCTTCAGCTTGTCTCGTTTCCCGTCCGCCCTTCCGCTCCTCCGGTTCCGGTGTAAAACCTCGCCGAGTGATTTCCGGTGTAGAGTGTTGAATCTTCACCTCTGGAACAGTTCTTCGGTCCCTGGGTTTCAGTTCCTTCGGCTCCGCTTGCTCCGGAACTGTGCCCAAGCCAGTTTTCCGCAGGCTGCTTTCTTGTGGTTTCACGTCTGGTTTCGCAATTTCCGAGCGTTTGAGGAGTGTGTCTTTCTCTAGTTTTGCTTTCTGGAGTCGGTTCTCGATCATCATCTCGTTGACCTGTTTGTTTTTGCCGAGAGACGACCTGGAGCCGAAAGAGTGGCGCCTCTCCAGCTTTTTCAATCGATCCATCTCGTCCTCTGTGAAAGCTTGGTAGAATCTGGCCATGGCCTTTTCGTGGAGCAGTTCCGTCGAGCTGACAGCGTTCCGGATTTCTACGTCGTCTGGATAGTCGCAGCTGCCCAGCTCCGGAGCGGACAAGGACATGGGTGGGGCGATCGCCAAGTCATCGAAATCGGATAGGTAGCTCTCTCGATCTACGTTAGCTCCTGATTGGGAGAAAAAGAGTTTCAATATTACTTTCACACATCAATTCGTTTCTATTAAATGGACTACACTTTGCAATAAGGAACCGCACTATTTCTGGCTCATTTTAGAAACAACATACATGGATTACATTTTGCAATAAGGAACCACTATCTCCGGCTCTCCCATAAAACCACATATCTACACAGGGAAACCGATGGCATGTATGTTGTTTCTGAAATGGGCCAGAAATAGTGGTTCCTTATTGCAAAATGTACCCCACATGTCATTGGTTTTTATAGAGGCCTTCGGCTTGAGATAGTGGTTCCCTATAGCAAAATGTAATCTAAAAATGTAATTTTGTAATCTTTTGTGAATTAAAAAATGTTGGAATGTCAAAAATGCTCTCTGTTAAGGTTGGTAATAGGGCAATAGGGTCAGCTTTATTGGAGATTTATAATTCTTATTTAAACTAAGTGTATAGCTTTGAATACTCATGTCAAAAAATGTAGGAAAAAAAACTCTCGCTCTCTTTGCAAAAAACAAGAATAAGTTTAAAAAGAAATAATATTACAAAAAAAAAAAAGAAAGCGGAAGAAAAAGAAAGAGGAACAAATCACAAAAATAAGCACTTTAAGCATCATACATCCATAGAACCCTCTCCCTTTTCTGTGTGAAGCGAACCTGTAACATGCACAACTGTTAGCTGATTCAGAAGATATGAATAGGAAACGTTATTTTTTGGATGACCTTCGTTTAAGTCATGTGTCGATGGTGAAACTCCTAAACGTCGTATCTTGGTGTGCGACGTTGCAGAATTTATATAATACTTTATTTCTTAAGTGAGGGACTACTCAATGTCAATTCTTAAAAAAATCCGTGATTTTTCTTCTCGGTACGAAACAAATTCTGAGTTCAAGGATTGGTGTTGATCTATTCTCCTTTAAAAAAATAAAACTGGAGCGGCGATTTTAAACACGACAAACGTGATACGTGGTTTGGGATTTGGAGTTTCGTCGTCGATAAGCCGTTAAACAAAAAAATGTTATGGGGAGTACCGGTGAATGTTATAGCAGTAAAAATCCAAAGCTGTAAAATCAAGTAGAGCTTTTTTTGTAAAAACTAAGCAATAAAAATGAAAGAAGACAGCTCATTTCAACATTATCAATGTTATAAGCTGTCTGCCCATCCCCCCTTTTTCCCCCGGGCAACAGATGGGCCTAGGTTAGTCTGTGAGCGCTGAGCATATTGGGTTCTCAGAAAAACAGATCTGTAGGTTCAGATGAATTCATGTAAAATGAAATATCAGATTTTAAGGAAGAGCCGATTACAATGGCCGAAAAACAATTCAGTGCCCATGCTTGGAGAAGCAAGTTGAATGGCAACACCTAAATTTTGGGTAGGTGCCAGGCCTATTTGGATTAATGGCTTGCTTTTTTGCTCTGCAATTCTAAGGCCAATTCCTACCCAAAATCTAGGAGATGCCATTTTGTCGTTTCTCAGACCTAAGGGCATATCTCGATTTTCGCATGAGCCTCAGAAAGCATGCATTTATATGTAAGACAGGACTCACGTGGGAATCGAGATATTTCCTCCAGAGACCCACACGTTTCTACCCAAGACTTTTAAACCTACGTGTACCTACGTAACCTACGTTTTAAGTGCGACCCTTCTAACCTACTTTTTTTTTACCTTCAGGCATTCCCATCAAGTTGCAAGTTACGAATGTTAGTATTTGGCTGGACTTTTGGCTGGACTTTTGGGCCGTAAGACTTCCATGAAGCGCTCTGTCCATACTCTCGCTATATAGATACTCTAATTCGGGCTACTGTTGAATATCATTCTTATCTTCAAAAATACGCGAAGCGTGTTTTAGCGAGTTAGGCGAAGCTTACGCCAAAACGAGAAACCAGAGGAAGGAGAAAAGAAGACAGCTCAAACCGGAAGCTCGAGAAAAACGAGCGGGTGGAAACTGAAATACCTTCATTTTCGGGGTGCCCCGACTTGTCGGGCAAAAGGACGAGCATGAGCTCCGAGTTGGACGTACCCATTTCGAAATCATACATGGCGCTCATGTATGCCGTCTCGGACGCGACGCTGCCGCCACCTGGCGGCGACTCGAGCCGAGACCCGGATTCGACCGGAACCTCCGGCTTTTTCACCTTTTTCCGGGGCTTTTTGATCGGCGCCACCGGTTTCTCGGCCTCGATCTCCGGGATCTCGAAGTCGATCTCCGGGACGACGGAGATGCCCGAGTCGACCTCCGGCGACGGCGACGCTTCGTGGGACCGAGTCGCCTTCCGCTTGGATCGCCGGTGGGAGACTACCCTATCCTCACTGACCACTATCTCCGGCACCACGCCGGAGAAGCGGGCTGGCTTGTTTTCGTCTAGGTTAACACTGTCAATTGTATAGTTACCGAGTCTGGAGCTTGCGTCGGCACCCGGCGGTTCAAGTAGCCTGGAAAAGAAGTAAAAAAGGATTACAACATTGAAAAAAGTTACGGGCTACATGTCGCAGGCAAATAGTGAAATCAGGCATTTTGTCAGATCCATCGGCAGATAGTTCAATTTTGACGGTCTATGAAATTTTGTGAATTCATGGCGAAGAGCTCGCGAGTTTTATCTTCTCATTCGCTTTGAAACAGCTGTGAAAACCATCAAGTGAACGCGCCGGAGGGAAAGGGGTGTATAAGACGCGTTAACCTGTGTTGGACACATTTTTTTGCGAAGGCCCTGTCAACACTACTAGCAAAAATTCACGGAAATTGGCGCGAAAGTTAAGTTCCGTAAACCTATCTCTATGTGGACAAGGCCTTCCATTTTTAAGAAATGAACGAAAAAATTATGACAGAACAAACATAAATGCAGTTTAATAATTTTAACTTCCACCGCCGCGAAGCTCTGATCGCACTATGTTTGGGACAATGCGTGAAGTATTTCTACAGTCTTGCAGGCGCTATGCGTTTCACGCCGACCGCTGCCGACCGCTTTGTCTTTGACGCTATGCATGAAGTGTTCATGCAGTCTTGTAGGCGCTAATATGGGTTACATGCCGAGACCGCCTCTCCGAGGGCCTCTCCTTTTCATTTCAAGTCCTCGTCATCATTGCTATTTGCGCCGCGCCGCTCCAGGCCAAATTGCGTGTTTGGTTTCGGTAATAACTCGACAAATTAAAGGTGCTGTCATTTGTACCACCGCTAAGTGACAAAATTAGAAATTACTATACTCTCAGGAAATGAAAGATGTTGTCACCTCTTCTCGTATGTAATTTTTTTATACCTGCATTTAAAAAAATTGCAAAATTTGCTGCCCCCTAAATTTGCCGCCATGGGCCGCGGCCATGTGGCCATCCCCTGAATCCAACCCTGTTTCGGGTGCTGCGTCCGGAACTTCCGGCTTCTGAGCCCGGAACGCGGACAGTATGCCTATATAGCCCGATAGTACGGTTTCCACGGCCGGAGTTTTTTTCCCCGTGAATCATATCATCTTCCGCAATAGGTCTCAAGTTCGAGTCCCGCTACACAGTAAGAAAAAGTAACCTACATTTAGTGTTATTATGGGAAGTACAAACTGTTGGTCAATTTTTATGTGTTAGTTTTTCCTGTGTCGAATCGACTAAATTGGGTTGAAATGACTGAATCTTTGTGTTGAAAATCTGCGACCTCGTTAAAAGTTACGCGGCAGTCGCCAGGATTAAACCAGGATCACTTCGGCCCCGTGAGATTCCGCTATGAACAGGTTTCACCGTATTAGAACTTTAAGTTTTGAAATATTCTAAATTCAATGAGATATTATCCTTTTTTTGGCTATTTATAGAAAGCGTTAATTTTCCTCTTAATATAATATACAGTGATATTGCAAAGTACATTGAAACCTGCTCATAACATAAATTCAAAAGGACCGAGAAATGTTTTCGTTTTCGGGGTTTCCACTATGAGCAGGTTGAATCACATGCATGCATGTACCACAAGACCGGAAAAATTTCCGTCGAGATTGGTTTTTCGGTGCACTACACAATTTCTACATGAACGCTTAATAATCTTCTTATAAGGTCGAGAAGGTTTTCTCACATTTCTTCATCAAAATTAAGCATGGCTAAACACACAATAATATAATCTTTGTAATAACAGAAAGTAACGGCTCACCCTCTTTTTGGATCAGGAATAAAAATGACGTCACTTTCACGGCTAGGCTCACTCACACCGTATGGATTTTCCGCTTTAACCCTAAAGCGATACTTGGAACCTTCAATCAAATCAACTAATGTTGTTGTTAGTTGCCGACAAGTGGCTGCTTTAAGCCAAACGTTCCAGCCTATCTACAAACAACGATAAAAAACATACTTATTAAAATGACGCAAAAGCACCTAAAAAACATAATGTGGGTCCCTAATGAACCACGAGACAATGTCCGAAGTTAAGCATTCTGATACATGCTCCTTAACTAAAATTTCACGTAGATTACGATTCATTTGACGAAATTTACTGAAATTAATTCCGCAATAAACTCGGTACTTTGGCTATCAGTTTTGCTTGTTTTTATCACTTTAAAAACCAGAGGGAGGAGAGGGAACACTGCTCGATTGAGAGGTTTGCTAAAACTGATGTAGTGCTCGATTTGGCTCACGTAGAGTATTATTGCGTTTCGTGTGACCAGACAATTCAGATTTCCCAGAACCAGTGTAAAATCCAATCGTTAATATCATCGTTAGGAGTTGATTTCAGTAATTGTCGATGCAAGAATCGTGTTTTACACAAAATTTTTATTATGAAATACATGTATGTATCTGAATGCTTAACTTCGTACTCTCTCATCAGTGGTACACCATGCTAGAATGAGTGCGCATTAATTTTTCTGGCCGATGTAATCCATTTTCCACATAATATTTCACCAAGCCTCGCGTGCTCTTCCCATCTATAGATCTTCTTAGGGATGGATACTGTATTATTTTATTGTATAATTTGCGTTATATAAGACGTATAAATAGAGATTACTTAGTAAGAGTTGATGGCCACACTCAGACATTGTTTGGATATTCAAAGAATGAAGTTCTCAAGGAATCAAAATGGAATTACAGATTTAAATTCTGTCACTGCGTTGTAGGTCAAATGAAATTCAAATCTAGATCTGAAAAATCAAACGTTTTACGCATGGTCCAAATTGCGAAGGATTCTTTAAGCCCTCATGCATCAGCGAAGACCACAAATTTCCTTAAATATTTTTTTCTCCACTTGACAGAAGAATAACCAATGCACGCACTAGTGCGCAGAGTGCGCACGTTTTAGCTCATGATTGTCGTGAATAAATGATCTATCCTTCTACTTTACACATTTGATACATCTTTGATTGATTTTATTACCTTGAATGAGTTTGAAATCGGCACTTGGATACATTCTTATTTAAAAAAAATAACCTCCTTTCCATATTTGCCAAAAAATTCCGGTTGTTTTACAAATTACCTTCATCGTAAAGAGAAAAATAAAATGAAGAGGTACATCTTGTTGTTTCAGAGCGACTGGATTTTTTTTTTAAACAACTGGAATTATTTTACGAAATATAATTGATTATATTTTCGGACAGTTATTTTCGGACGTCGCTACAAAAAAGGGGAGAGGATATTTTAATGTAACTTACCCTATTATATTCGATGATGTAGTTGCCTATTTTGCAGCCACCATCATCTTTTGGCTCAGACCAGGAGAGCGTCACTGATCGCCCCAACGTCATCACAACTTGAATAGAGTCAGGAGCTTCTGGTCTATCTGTAAATTATTTGGGAACGCCTTAAAAGATATTGACATGTGTTCTAATCATATCCAGCTCATTGATTGTCTAGTAGATTCAAAAATATTTGCTCAGTGTGCTGTGCTGAGTTTAAGATACATTCTCCGCTAGATTGAACTCGACCGCCAATAAATCGCCTTCAATTACAGAAGATACCACACCACATTACAGATGTGTTCGAATAGTCGCATCACTCTATTTTGCAAACCTTATGAATCTACATTGTGTGCAAAAACAGTAAGCGATTTCAATTGCCTACTGTTCACTCATGAAAATTTTTGATCCATAGGTCGGGCGTATCACAAAGACAGTAATTTTCTATTCCATACATTTCAGTGCACCGAAAGTGGTGATTTAAAGAAATATGTGCATTTGGTTCGAATGTCAATAAACGTACTGTAGGGCCAAAATTAGCCTGGAGTATTGTTGGGATTAAGATACTTTTTTCCGTGTACCCGCGCATACAGGGTGATCTAGGGCCGGACTGCAGGAGCCGAAACACCCCTAAACCCCCTCTTTAAATTGAGATTTCGATTTTTTTTTCAGATTATTTATGAATTCAGAGTATAAATGTACAAGGGAGCATAAATTTTCATGAGATTTGGTTCACAACCGTTGCCAAAATTCAGGAAAAACGATTTACTTTCCGAATTTTTTTTTTTTTTTTAGCTCCGACTGGGAGCCTCTTTGGAAAAAAAAACTTTATACAACAAAAAAGTCTTATTGTGACCCATAGGAAGGAGCTGCAGGGAGCCCTGCAGGAGCATGCTCATAGAACATGCTCCTGCAGTCTGGTCGTTTAACCCTGGTTCACCCTGTATTTAAGTCAAATATGAGAGACCCTCCACTGGTGGAAGCGTTTACTTTCGGGGATTCAACAATTCTTTAAAGACAATTATAAGGGAGCAACACTCAACAGTCATCATTCTTATTCGGATGTTGACCTACCTACATGGTGGATGATGAGCCTCGGGTGACGTCATGAGCCGAACAACATTCCCAAACTTCGGCTTGTTTGCACAACGAAACTAGCTGCCAACACGTTATTAAACATCAACCTTGTAGGTAAGTCAACGGTAGAAAAACAAGAGGGAAAAACGGGGAACAAGGCTAAAATACACAAGTAAAAGAAACCAAGACGTTTCGACTCAAAACTGAGTCATTTTCAGTCGGAAATTACAATAAAAATTAAAAAAAAAAGCTAAGAAATTTGTATTGTAATTTCCGACTGAAAATGACTCAGTTTTGAGTCAAAATGTCTCGGTTTCTTTTAATTTTGTATTTTAGCCTTGTTTCCCGTTACCCCCCTTGTTTTTCTACGTTACAATTTTCTCAGGCTGCTCTATAAAAATTTGTATCTAAAGTAGAATGCTGAAGTCCCGAAAGTAAAACTGCCGTGCTAAGCAAGAACGCCGTAAATCCATCAAGATTTTCTCTCGTTTTTTGAAACTTAACTTTTTATAAAATAAAAACTGTGTTACCCATGCACCTCAAATTTTCAGGTTAAGTTCTTGATAGTATTTGCGCAAGGATTCTGTATAAACATTGTCCCAAGATACTCAAGTTTCTCTGCTATGATACATTTTCTCCAAAAAATGTAAAATGGCGTTTACGGCGTTTTTCCGTTGCACGGCATGCAGAGAAGCTTCCACCATTTTCAATATACTAGTGGAGGGTCTCTTGTCTCTGATTTAAATACGGTGGAAGGACTAAGAAAATTCGGCCCCTGAGCCTGATTCTCACCTGTGACTGTGACAAGAAAGGAGGCCGTGTCTTCGGATATGTTGTTGTAGGCTCTGAGCGTGTACTCTCCTCGATCACCTCTCTTGGCTTCGGCCACTCTGAGGGTGGCGTATTTGTCGACGAAGGAGATCTCGTATCGTCCACCGTGAGAGAGGAGCTCCCCGTTGTGGTACCAGCACACCGTTGGAGAGGGCCTCCCGCCGACGTAAACTTTCAGCCGAATTATCTCGTCCTTCTCGAAGAGGAGCCCATCCTCGTACTGCCGGGATAGCCGAATTGTTGGCGGCGCTGAAAATTCAACATCGTTATTTGAAAAACGGAGCTGATAATTCAACATCGTCATTTGAAAAACTGTCCTGGGGAAGGGAGAGCTAGCCTGCCGAGATAGCGAAGAGAGCAGTGAGTGCAAAAATGAAGTTTTGAGAAACCGGGCTCGGCAACTTCTGACCGGAAAATTTTATTGAAAGAAGCCTTCGTTCCTTATTAAATTGCCACTAATCGTCCGGAAGACACCCAGAAATCGTTTGGATGATTGGAAATTTACTGATTTAATAATTACATAATAAAGGTATTTTCAATTATTATGCTAGGCTAATGTTAGGCAAGACAGCCGTAATTGCTATCTTCTTCATACTTTCGTGGTTGCGTTTTGGACGCACGATAAGCATGTTTTCGGGTTAGAAATTCTCAGAAGAGGGAGGCACTTCACTTAGGAGCACTGTTTTCGCTGGCTCTTTGGAGGATTTTTGTCACGTACTGCTGTCTTGCCTGAAACTACGTCATTTTTGCGCACTTACGGTTTCCTCATATGTCTCGTTTTATACAAAATCATCGTCTGAGATGACTCATCGCAGGCAAGATATTGTAATACTTCCATCATAAGATTACTTCTAAGCCGTCAAAATCCATTCTTGTAATGAAACAAATCAAATGTCCTGCTCCAAAAATATAGACTCACCCTCTAGAGTTAAGAGACCCGGAGAAAATGAATTGTAGTCTCGTAGTAGAATGAAAAGTAGAAGCGGATCCAGCAATTTGGTAACACCGAGTTTCCTCCATTTAAACCTGTGTTAAATAATTGATTCTTGTCGGAGCACCTGGCTCCTCCGAGAATCGATACATTTCCATAGGTTCAAATGGAGAAAAACAATGTTGCCACTTTGCTGGGTTCGCCAAGGAAGTAGTCTTATGTAAGGAGCCATCTTAAGAAAAACTTATTTTAAAAAGATGGAATAGTTACCCTCGAGGACAAGTTTAGCCTTGGTCTGAGCGTGACCAGCCCTGTTGGTAGCAGTGCATTTAATTTCTCCTTCGTCGCTCATGGCAGCCTCGTAGATGATGAGTGAGCTCGCGTCTCCATTGGTCACAATCCGCTGTCGCCGGTTGCTGAAGATCTCGAACCCGTCGTGGTACCATGCTACTTGCGGAGTTGGGGTGCCCTCCACCCGCACTGTAAACTCTACCTGAGTATCAAAAAACATGTGATGCATGGTAAGCAAATTCAAACATGTTTATTTTTTATTTTTTTATTTTTTTTTAAAGTATACTTAATTGTTGGCTTCCAACAGGGGAAATATAAACAATTTCCTTAAATTACGAGATAATTGTATAACAAAGCGACAGCATGATAATCGGTTATTAACATAAGATTAAATTCAAACAGCACGCCTCAGCGCATTCATGACTGCAAAAATTTCAGAGGAAATCGACAAGCCCAGCGTGCATGGAGGCTATCTCCATTTGAATCTTCCGTCACATTCTTACGGCGCAATGATATACAACTATTTGAACTTCAGAAGCGCACTTCAGCTATGCATTCATCACTGCAAAAATCTCAGAGGAAATTGACAAGCCCAGCGTGCATGAAGGAGTGCTAAAAGAAACCAAGAGTGGGTGGGAAAGAAGAGTGCGCTCGTTAGGTGAGGGCCGTAGGCCGCATGCATTCGTGGTTGCGTTTTGGATGCACAACAAACTCATTTTCAGGTTGGAAATTGGTAGACGAGGGCGGCAATCTAATTTAAAGCGCTGTTTTCATTGATTCCCTTGAGGAATAATGTTACATCCTCCTGTCATGCCTGAAATTACGTCATTTTTTGCGCACTTCCGGCTTTCTTTTATGCCTCGTTTTGATACAATTACGATGAATTTAGCTGTTTTTGCTATTTCAGTGATTTCACCTAAAAGAGATTAGACGAATTTTGAAGGAAACTCGATTTCAAAAATTTGACTCGTACTGCTCTCTTCACCATCTCGGGAGTCTTGGTTCCTTTTTGCAAACACTGAAAAAAATTCTCGGTTTATTTACTAGGAAAAGGGTAAAATTACCAAGAATTCAGGGTTCAATTTGATCCCAGTTTATTCTTGGTAAAAGTATCAAGAATTCAGGGTTCTATTTGATCCCAGTTTTTTCTTGGTAAAATTACCATTTATGGAATTGGTAATTTTGCCGAGAAATCTTGGTAAAATTATTTAACTTTCTCGGTAATTTCACTGGACCTTGGTAAAAACGCCAATATTTTTTACCGACTGTGGTAGAATTACCAATATAAAATGGCAAAGTTACCGGGAATAGATTACCAATAAAAGTGGTATTCTTACCTGAAAAAACAGTAAAAATACCGGTTTTTAGGTAAGCTTACCAGTCTGTCTTGGTAAAATTACCAATAATTGGTAAAAAAATTGAGATGGTAAAGGTACCAACGGACCTTGGTAAAAACGCCGAGAATTCTTTTTCAGTGTACGATGAATCTTGCTGTTTTCGATATTTCAGTGACTTCACCTAAAAGAGATTAGACTAATTTTGAAGGAAACTTGATTTCAAAAATTTGACCCTCACTGCTCTCTTCGCTATCACGGCAGTCTTGGTTCATTTTTTCAAAATGATCAATTTGACGATATAAAATTAGGCTGACCTTCTCATTTTCGAGGGCGGTGGCGTCGTGGAGCTCCTGGTAGAAGAAAGGGGCGGAGGCGACCTGCCTGTGGAGGGTGACAGCGAAGGGCTCGGAGAGCGGGCCCGGTTCGGAGAGGCCGGCCGCGTTCTCGGCGCTCACGCGGAAGTGGTAGCGCCAGCCGGGCTCCAGACCCGACAGAACCAGCTCCGTGCCCCGGACCAGGGCCGGCGTCGCTCGCACCCAATGAGGCGACCCCGTTCGCCGGTGCTCCACAAGGTAGCCTGCCAACAGAAAATCCTCCTTACTACACAAAAAAAATCGGATTTAGAAAAAAAAATTACAAACGAGAAAAGGCGACAAAATCTCCCATTTCCTGAGAGAATAGTAATTTCTAATTTTGTCGTCTTTCAGTGAAACAAAAGACAGCACCTTTAATTAGTCGAGTTAAGAGAGAAACCAAACATGCAATTTGGCCTGGAACAAGCGCGGTTTAGAAAGGAATGATGACGAGGACTTGAGATGAAAAGGAGAAGCCCTCGGCGTGGCGGTCGGCATGTTACACATATTAGCGCCTACAAGACTGTATGAATACTTTACGCATTGCGTCAAACACGGTGCGTTCAGCAGCGGTCGGCGTGAGACGCACAGCGCCTACAAGACTGGTGGAGTACTTCACGCATTCCGCCAAACACACTGCAGTCTGCACGGCGGCGGAAGTTAAAGTTATTAAACCACATTTATGTTCGTTTTTTCATTATTATTTCGTTCATTTCTGATGAATGGAAGGCCTTGTCCACACAGAGAAAGGTTTACGGAACTTAACTATCGCGCAAAGTTCCGTGAACTTTTATTAATAGTGTTGCCAGAACTTTCCCTAAATGTGTCCAACACGAGTAAATGCGTCTAATGCACCCCTCTCCCTCCGGCACGTTTACTTGATGGTTTTTATTGATGTTTCAAAACGGATGAGAAGGGGCGGCAAAATACAGGCGGCCCATGGGCGGCAAGTAGGTAAATCCGGCTATGAATACATCCCCGAGATAGATCTAGGCTGAAAACTGTGTACGAAGCCCATGTCTCATGATGAAATGAACTCATCAAATGCAAGATGGCGGAGATGGATACTGGTTTCCGCGCAAGCGCAATCAAAAGTTGGCGGGCCGTCGATGTTGATGAATACATAGAGCCCGTGCGGACTTGCGCGAAAACCAGTACGCAACTCGGCCATCTTGCATTTGATGAGTTCATTTGATCGTGGGACACGGGCTTGATAGAACTTCAATTTGGACCGCGTAAAGCAGAAAGGAGCCAAGCCACAAATCTATTGCCAAATTTAATTGGGTAATTCAATTTTTTACATAAAAACGGTTGTGCAAAATTTGGTGCAAATTGCAGTGAATGTCCTGCATAGCGCGAAGCGAATTCTTTAAAATTTTCCAACGAATCCACACAAACGTTCCTTCGTAAAAAATTAAATTTGACAAAAGCTGCATGGCTTCGTTCATTTCTGCTAAACATGGTCCATTTATAAGTAAATATTATGAATGAAATTCGGGTTATTTTCTTTCAAGCGAATATGATAAATATAGAAATGAATAAAATTCTACTTTTTATGATGTTATATTGATAAAAACTAGTAAATTCTATAAGTGAGGATCATTAAAAAAAATTCAAAGAAATTGAAATAAAGAAAGACTTTAAACATTAGAACTTGTAATACCCCCAAAAAACATTAGAAAAACATACAGGGAACTAGTTGAAATTTAAAATAAAGAGTCCGTTTAATGTTCAAAATACACCAATATAGCTGAAATGTCAGAATTCTCCAGATATAGGCCCCCCGGGCCCGCCTTTTGCTGCACGGAAAAAATTAAATTGCTGATTTAACAATTCAATTGCTAAAAAGAGTGACTGCAACGTTTTAACGTAGATTTCACAACAAAAAAAAAATGCTACTTTAATCACTATTGTAAGCTAATTTAACCACGGGGATGGTTAAAGTAACATTTTTTTGTTGCAAAATCTACATTGAAACATTGCAATCACTTTTTTTAGCAATTGAATTGTTAAATCACTAATTTAATTTTTTCGTGGGGTGGTGTCCCCTCAGACCCTCCACTCTCGCGCTACCATAAACGCTCAAAACTTTCTTTGAAGCCGCAGGGACGAGGGGCTGGGACTGCCTATGGCGCCGAGCACCTCATTTCTAATTCTGATGGGACTTAAATCAACGAGACGGCTCTTCAATGGCGGCATAAATCTCGGTGGGCCCGAAACTGGGTCATTGTTAAGCATCTCGAATTGTTTGCGAATTCCCGCGGCGTAATTATTCCGTCTGCCCAAAGCTCGGCGACGTTTTGACTTAATTTCAGCCAACGAGACGCTTTTCGTCAGCTTGTCCAACTTCGCTTGTTTTGACACTCGTATTCTAAGTATAATGAATGGAGTGCATGTGCTGGTTATGCGACAAAGCAAGAAGAAGGCGAGAGAGAAGAATAAACCTCTACGTATTGTGCCCGAGCCGAAAATTCACCTATTCAATTCAAATTTCGCCCCGACAAGCTCGTCACAGTCGATGAAGCTGAAATTAGAGTACCTATTTAGGGAGAGTATGGACATGTCGAAAATTTTTATATTAGGTGATGGAGCTCTTAGACCCCGAAAAGGCAGCCAACCTATGAATTCAAATTATCCAGAGTAATTTATGATCACAATAGTTGTTGAGAACTGTCGTTAGTAAAGCACTTATTTGACTTGGTTTTTGCATAAACGTACTCACTTTTGCGTAAGAATGCTTACTTATGATTTTTTTCGTCCATTTTCGTTTTATATTGGAGTCTGAAGATTGACAGTGACATTTTTCATTTCAAAGGTTACCTACCCTTTTGGGACCTAAGAGCTACATATTTCGAGTTGTCCATACTCTCCCTATATAGGCACTCTAGCTGAAATCTTTTTTTCCCCATCCACAGGTATAATATATTTTGTCTTTTGAGGAAGAGGGACGGCAGAGACACTTCGCTTCCCTAGTTCCGCCATTTCAGTTCTTCCGAGACCAAGCGACTTTCAGCGACTGTAACTTAACGAAGGGGTCTTACAGGGCAGCATTGCCATAATTCATGTAAAAGGGCCCTATTAAATTTTTTCTTGCAATAAAATCCAAAATGAGGTAGTTTCGAAACAAATTTTAAGTTGTAAAACGAATTTTATTTCAAAGTTCCGAGCGAACTCTTTTGAAAGTTGTATTTGGTTATGTTGCATCAATCATCAACCTACATCAAACCGTCAGATTGATGATATGCGGTGATCATGAATGGCTTACGGAATTTTCTTCAGGTTGTTAACACATTGAAAACGAGAGTGCAAAACGAAAGCATTGGCGCGCTCCGCCNGGGACGATTTCTTGAAAGTTGGCAATACTGTTTTTTCTCCATTTAAATGTATGTAAAATAATTATTCGCAGCTTGAATCACCTAAATTTGATATTTTTATTGGATTTAAATGGAGAAAAGACGGTGCTGGAGGAAACTCGGCAACTCTCGAATGTCCATACGGTATTGACCAGTGGTAAAATCTCGAGTCATTGAACCCCTCAGTTTTAACCCATAAACTAAGTTTTAGAGCCAAATCAGGTGATGGGTAAAAAATTAACCATTTGAGGTTTCAAACTTTGCAGTTCAATGTCACCGCAGTATTATGCAACTAGGAAAGACTCAGAGAAAGGGTTTAAAGAAAGAGTTCACTATTTTTGGGCCACAGCCAAAACGTGTTGACAATTGAAAATTCACATGCTCCCTTTGATATTCAGGTTTAAAATTTACTCATATCACAAAGTTTTTCCCCTTAATAAGTAGGTTTGTTTAATTCTACTAGTAATTAACTACTTATACTGGTAATAATTAAGCCGCTTTTGTCACGAGGGCTCGGAAGTTTTGCGACCAATAACGCGTTTTTCCATCAGCAACCAGTCGTTACTTCTTCAGCTCTACCACTCGCACCACTTGAGCACCCCCATCTCCTTCCGTACAAAAATTTCCAATAAAGCGATTCAAATGGAGTTATGGGTCGAAAAAAAAAAAAAAAAAAAAAAAAAAAAAAAAAAAAAAAAAAATCAGATGTCGAACTTTAGGCGGTAACCTCTCAAACGTATTTTGAAAAGGAAGTTAAGAGCGGTGTTTTTACTTTTCGCGCCACGAGAAGGTGAAAGTTCAATTGTACTTATGAAAGTTTGTAAACAAAGCATATTAAGATTTCGAGTACATTTTTCTCGAAACTACCATAAATTTTATGAACTGCAATATTCAAATAGTCATAACTCCGGTTCGGTTTGACAAGTTTAGTAATGTTTTTTGTCTCTTCCTCCCCCCTCCCCCTAATGTTCATAGAACACTTCTTTAGACCCTGACATCAATGACTCTGTAGACTAAGGTACCATCCAGGGTGTAAATGAATCTCTGTGATCCCTCGATCCTTGGAGTGCGGGCTCGCTATGTGCACTCACTGGAAAAAAACACATTGGATCTAGAGTCCAGACTCTTGAAAACATTGACAAGAAAAAATACTCGTGATTCAATCGGATTTTTGCTTGAATCAAAAGGAAATTCGCTTAAATTAACAGGCTTGGTTTTTGATTTAAGCTAGATTCTGATTGAATCAAGAGTACTTTTTCTTGTCGATGTTTTTAAGAGTCTGGACTCTAGATCCAATGTGTTTTTTTTTTTTCCAGTGCTGGTCGAAAATGGTGTATGTATACTGCGGTAGGTCTGGCACGAAGAAATAAAAATTGTCAACGATTAAAGCGCGCACCGTAGTGTACGCGCAATCCGCGAAGTATTCGCATAGTCTTGCAGGCGCCAAGTCAAGCGCGCACCGTAGCGTACGCGCAATGCGTTAGGTTTTCCTACGGTCTTGCACGCGCCAATATGCGTTAAGCGCGCACCGTGCTGTACGCGCAATGCGTGAAGTATTCCCACAGTCTTGTAGGCGCTGCACTGTGAAGCAAAGAAAATATTGTTTGGCGAAGATCAAATCCACAGTTCTGTATTGCGATTTTCCAAATTTCCGTTTGTATTTGATAATTTTTCAAGAACAACTGCTAGTTGTCAATATAGCAATGGAGGGTCTTTTGTCTGCGACTTCAATAAAGAGGTAAAAATGTATGAAGTTTACGTCACGGTGGTTGCGACACATGTCTTGGCACATGATAAACTGTTCAAAACTGTTACTGTTCAACTGTCTATTTGAAAATAAATTTTTGAACGTCTTTAGATATCCGAACTGGCTAACCACATTTTCAGTTCGGAAAATCTGGGGATTAGAGCGAATGAATTCACCGTTTTGGATTGGGTTGGCATGTTTATTAGTCTTGAAAAGTTTGACAGTATTTCCTTCTATTTAAAAGAAAAAAAGAAAGAAAAAAATATTAAAAAGTAACTCAGGAAATCAAGCATTGTGAGACTGAATATTTCTCCTCTATTTTTTCTTAATTAAGGGGTGAAAAAGATAGCCACTTTGATAGCCATTAATGTATTGTTAATATTGATGCAAATCGATAGCGAAGACGTACTAAGCCGCGTATCTATGTTTTTGACGTTGCAAATCTTCAGTCTCATATGATGATTCACAGAAGGGATTATTGTTTTTGCATATAGTTTCGTTTGATTTGTTTTTTGTTTTCCTTTGAAAATGTTGCTAAATAATTTCGAGCAGTAGGTATTCTTCTAAAAAATAGAATATGAACGGAAATATTAGAACGTAAAGCAATTGCAATCCATTGATTTAGTTTTACCGTCGAACGTTCCCGGCAACTAATGCGAATCTTGATGCCAAGAGTGACGATTCTATCCCGAAAACTTAGAGTAACTAAATAAAGCAGGACGTTTCAATGTTCACTAAGGAAAAAGATGTAAGTACGCTCCTAAAGAAGTAAAAATACACACATTCTTACAACTCCTGATGACACTTAAAATATGTTTTTAATCTTAACTTTCCGTTTCTTTCTTTAACTTGAAGGAAATGAGGGGGTTGATTTCCAACTGCACTTTTAAAGTGCAGCGACACATCGGTAAAGTTGGCAGCAGTGTTATAAAATCTGTCATCACTAACATCCACTCTTCAAATGCTCCTGAGCTACATCTTAAACTCTAAATAGCACATGACAAGCTGCAGCCCATTGCAGCTCGTTCACCAAGATTAATGACTGATGGAATCGTTGTGATGCCATGACCACTCTTGTCTACAATAAAAATACTATCGAGGGAGAAAAATGTTGGTTCACCCCACGATGAATTCTCTACATTTTAGTGCGAAAGAAAGATTATCGTTGGGTATGAAGATCAACTCACCGATTATCCTGGATCCACCATGATCATACGGTGCTTCCCACTGAATAGTGAGCACATCTGGAATTGTGTTACTGGCATTTGGCACTAAAAAAGGCTTGCCTGGAGGAGAGGGCCTTCCTGAAATAATGGGAGCAAATAATTAATAAAATAATATACCGGCGGGCAAGAGGTAGAATATTTGTAAGTCCAGCAGGCGCTGTTAAATTAAGGGGATTGAGCCAGTTGCGATTTTTACAAGTCGGCAACACTGTTTATTTCATTTAAATCCATGAATAATACCGATTTTAAGCGAAGAATCGATTGTTCTAAATACGTTTAAATGTGGAACAAAAACGTGTTTCCAACCTTTAAAAATCGCCACTGGACTGAGCTAGAGTCCCTTTATACTGAGAGTCAAGACAACACCCCTCATGGAGTCACAAACGGGAATAAAGATTACAGAAATTGAACGTTTTTCGTAATCTTTGATCGGCTCATTCTTNCGCGTTTACCCGAAAAAAAGGTGAAAGAAAAAAGGGAAGAAAGAAAGAATGAAGGAACGGAAGAAAAAAGAAAGGAGGACGCTTATAATTGAACGTATTTATACCAAAGGGAACTATATGCATAGGGTTTGCGTGAAACATAGTTCTTTTTAGCATAAATACGTCCAATGGACCACTAGACATAAGGTACGAATTTCAGCATTCTGAAACATGTGTCTTAACCAAAATTTCACGTAGAACACGATTCGCACAACGTAAATTACCGAAATCAACTCCTTACCAAGATATTTAATGATTCTTGATGCGTGGATTCAAACCACCCGCTCATGAAAACTCAATGCTCTACGTGATTCACATCGCGCGCTAAACGTTTATCATGACAGTCTCTGCGATATAAAAATCTGGCAACCTCAGTCTTGACGCTTTGGCTCAGCTATAGCAAATTGCTCATAGTTTGAACAACACATGGTGGGAAATGAACATTGCTCGATAGAGAAGGTTGCCGAAACCGTTGTAGTGCGCGATTTGACTCTCGCAGAGCTTTGAGTTTCTTGTGAGCGGGCAGTTCAAATTCCTCGTGACCAATGTGAAATAAAAACGTTAATATCTTCGTTAGGAGTTCGTTTTAGTAATTTTCGTTGCGCGAGTCATGTTCTACGTGAAATTCTGGTTAAGAAACATGTATCAGAATGCTTAAATTCGTACCTTGTCTAGTGGTCCATTGGTAATATTCATTACACAATGAACTCAAACTGCATATTAGATGCTTGAAAATTTCGAAAGATTTTCAATGGAGTCCCCCGGACCCCGCTTACGTCCCCCGTTAGAAGTGTCAGAATCCGCTTATGTAGTTCACAGAACTGAAAAACTTCCGACGGCAGAGCGTGATTGGTCGGCTACGTCTTATCGCTGCTTTGTTGTGCCTTTGTCAGGTGGATTTCACGACAAGCTAAAGGCAGCTCTTCAGTTTTCGACAGTATGTCTTCCATTCCACCTGACACAGGCACGAAAAAGCAGCCGACCAATTTCAACAGCCGTTTTCCATTTAAAAAGAGGAGTATGCCAGAAAGTCTGCAACGTCGCGAACCGCGATGTGTGTTCTGGCATTTTCACCGTCGGAGTGTGTTCAAGACACATCAAAGGGCATATCTTTGATTTCAAGGAATTTCGAGCTCGCTGGCTAAGAAATTAAAGGATTAGTGCCAATTTGAGAGCTCGACTTGGATCCTTGTACACGGGCCGAATGGGCAATTGCTTCTGGAAGAGAGCGCGAAGCGCCTTCTCGGGGTTGGGACACTCAGCGGCCAGGGGGCGTACCCATAGTGAATGCATAAGTCTCTATTGAACAAACTGCGTCGATTTGGTTGATATTGCTGATGTCACTTTCTCCGTTCGTAAGTCCTATTATATTCCTGCCTCCAGTGAACATTGCATGGTTGCACTTTTGCAGCGAAAGCACACATGGTATCATTTCGCCTACCCGCTTTTCTTTTCGCGTAAACAATTGCGACGGACGCTGACCGGTCCCCTCTGCCCCCCTGTGCCCTTCTTTACAGCCACCATCACGCGAGTGAGATGTCTGTCATTCGCGCGCCGTTCGGTGGCCAGCACCATTGTCACATTGTCGCCGTAAAATTCAACATCAGAGCGATGAATTAAAAAAAAGAGTGTTCACAATTCGGGCAGCTTACAGGGAGGTCGATGACGAAAGCGAGCACATCTCTCTCATCGATTTACTCGAATGTGCACTGGAAAATAAACACATTGGATCTAGAATCCAGATTCTTAAAAATATCGGCAAGAAAAAGTACTCTTGGTTCAATCAGAATCTAGCTTAAATCAAGAACCAAGCCTCTTAATTTAAGCGGATTTCGATTTGAGTCAAGCAAAAATCCGATTGAATCAAGAGTATGTTTTCTTGTCAGTGTTTTCAAGCGAGTCTAGACTCTAGATCCAATGTGTTTTTTTCCCCCAATGTGGTGCGATGTACGGGAAGAAGTCATTTAAAAGTGTTTACATTTGAGGCCTAAAGGATCAAAATGCATTATCTGCATTTTTTTGGGTCGTTGAGCTAATTATTTATTTTTCCAAGATTTTTTGCGCTAGCCTCGAATATGAAGCCCGCTTTCATCGGAAACGACGAACCCATGCTATATGTTTAGAATTTGTTTCATAAGAGATGAAATCCAAGCTAAAACTTTCAATTTTTTCTCATTTTTAAAGTAACAACAAATGAGTATCAATAAAAATTATTACCACCGGTAGGTTTTTTGAATAACTGTTATTTCATTATGAATCAGTTAATTAATGAACAATATTTAAATTTATTTTTGTATCAAAATTGTTTTTTCTAATATCTTTAATATTTTAATTTAATTAGTTCGTAAATGACTCCATCAATTCCAAGCTTAAAACTACTTAGCACCTAATTTCAGTTACCTAAAATTGTAAGGAACTTGTCGTCTTGTAGATATTACTTCATTTACATAATCTCTTACTTGAGCTTCGTATTGAAGTTTAAAACATGATCAAATGAAAGTAAAGGCAAGTACTGTTTAAAAATCAAATGTCTCCCTAGTGAAAGTGAGTCAGGCTGATGTCGGGCTATGTTTCATAAACTACCCTGAGTCAGACTGATTCAGGCTGACGTTAGGCTAATTCACTTTTACAAGGGAAACTTTACTTAGAGATCGTGTAAATATTTGTACCATCAAACATATTTTTTCCTAAAATTCATGTATTCCCTAATTTATATTTAAGTGCTTTTTATGAATATTTGCCACCAGAGTAGCCTCTAATAACATAATTCAGGGCGAACTGATATTTTCCTTAGATTCATCTTATTATTGTTACCATGGCAACAACGGAGGCTGAACAGACGCGTGCCGCTTGAAGTGCCGCTTACACTTACCGAAATAAAACAGCGTCTGAATTCTCGCCATTGGCACTACTTCCCTCCCCTCCCCTCCCTCCCCCTCCACCTCACCCCCGGGGGCCAGCTGCGTCATGAGTCTGATCTCATTCGGTAAAGCTCATGGGTCGAACTTGTCAATTATTATCGCTGGGGCCGCGAATATTCGGGGCCTGCTTGCACCAATGTATACAGGGTCATCCAAAAGTCCTGTAACGCCAGCTCCAGGCACACTTGTAACTTTATTTGTGATCAAAACTTGAAATTTTGTGAGAGCTCCCAGGTGAAAGGAAACGACTTATCGGACCCCCTCCCCCGAAAATTTTCAGGGGGCCGCCCTGAGAAGGGGCAAGATCCGTAGAAATTGGTTACGCGGGAATGTTGGATCGCTCTGTGCATCTCTAAGCCTCCGGCATACGCGAGGCCATACCCCAGGCCCACATATGGATTAAGATGAAAGCCATAGGGTCCGTGGGTTGAGATCGTTTCGATGCAGAGATAATTACGAGTTTTGGGGTTCATTTTAAAAAAAAAAATCGGATCCACTGGAAGTTGATTTGTATTTCATGAGGAAAGTATTGAATTTTGAAGTTAATGAGCCCATAAACAAGTCAAAATTACGACGAGGAAAATTAATTGATAGATTATTATCGATATCGATGTATACTACATTTTCTTCGGCAGTTCATTTGAATTTTTTTAGTGGGTTAATTGCAAAGACAGTTACTTTCATTAAAAATCAGTGGGTTCTCGAGGTAAGGATGGCTAGTGTGCCGGCCGCGTCAAAGACTTAACAAAAGGTAAGGCGCCTCCTTCCATTTGCATATGCAACCCGCGTAACTCTCGTGCAGTATTAGTCGCATCTCTCGAACGTCGAACTGCGATCAGGATGCCACGTCCTCCCGTTCATCGACCGAAATTAGATTAAGGGTGTTTCTAGGGACTGAGGCAAATATTAAATTGAATTATGCTTTTGAATTCTGGATTGAGCTTCTTGGATTTGAGGGTCTCAATTGAGCTTAATATAATGGTCTTCTCTTGAATTTAGCACAAAAAAAAAACTTACTTTACAACTTTGCGCTTCTAAGTTCCGTTAAACTACAAATTATGTTCGTCTAAAGTAAACAAACCTTTGACAATTTCTAGCATGTTAGATGGTTGGACGCACTTATGCTAAAAGGAACCATATGTAAATAAATTAAATCAAAAGGACATTTAAAGAGGGCAAATTCTATTCGCGCGGTTTCTTTTGCGCCCTCCATATAGCCAGCAGATGCTTTGGGGCCTAATAAATTTAATTTACTACTAATGCGACTACAAATTATTAAAGCACACCTCTGCCTAATAATACATACTCTCCTTATAATGTGTTTGTAAATAAAAGAGTGTTCCAAGTAGGAGTCAATAAAACATTCCTCTCAAAACAATACTTTAAGTGCTCTGAGAGAGGATAATGAAAAAATCTTTTTAATTCAGGAATCCAGAAACAGACGTTCACTATTCGATTATCCACTCACAGACTGAATATTTTCGTTGATAAGCACTATTCTTCGCCCCAACCATAAATATCCACGCTACACCAAATAAAAAGGTGCGATATCCAACATTGAGGTTGTTAGACAATTTTCACACATTTCTCAAAATGCTTATTTTACTCCACTTCGATGGCTACAATGCGACATCACGTATCTCCATTGTATTGTGGTATTTCAAAATCTTCGCTCGTAGTTTATTTTTTCAAAAAGGAACAAGTCAACCTCATAGCTTGAAATTTATACGGACTATTCCACGAGCAGAGAAGAAAAATCAAGGAAGTTTCCATGGAAAATTTTCCATGCAAAAAATAAAGTTTGACTGAAAGTCTACGACGTCGAAAACTGAGATATGTGATCTCGTACTCTAGCCATCGACTTGCTATTCCTTACATTAGTGTACGTTGGACTCACATCCTGATATGTAAAAGTAACAGCAGGTAGGTAGGCATTTCACAGTTTTTGCACACTTTTTAACAACCTCGATGTAGGAATGGAGAATTTGCACGCAAATTTTTTATTGCTTCATCTGAAAATGCTTAAAGAACTGATTTTGCAATTTTTTAATGATTTTTTTCTACTGTGGGAAATAATATAAAAATGGATTTAAAAGTGGGAAAATGCACCGCCTAGTGACGTGATCCGGCGGCATTCCCCATTTAAACGCATATATTTTAGCAGATTAGATCATTTTGTTATGTCTTCTCCAATAATTGTTCAATTTATGAACCAAGGCTATCCTCACTTGGTAGCGTCCACTTAACCCATATATACCCAAAACTATTTTTTCTTTTAATTGATTTTTTATTTACTTGTTGTTTTTGACGTTATGTAGACAGGGTAAACACGTGTTGAGGCACAACAAAAATAAAAAAGGCTTGCCTATATCCCAGACATGGATTATCCTGTGTTGAACACAAAATTCCCTGATTTACACTAACGCTAAAAGTCAAAACCTGCTACAATTACTTGAATTACTTGATTTTACGAATTTAAACAAATTCTAAATATTATTTCCAAATTTATACTTAACAGCGATTTATATATCGCTGTTAAGTTTAAATTTGGAAATATTTTTAAATACAATTCAACAGATTGTGGATTGTCAATTACAGAGCAGTTTTCTCTAGTTAGGTTAAACTACCGCCACTACTGATTCCTTGGTCGTTAACGACCCAATGGGCATACATGGGCACACGAAATCCATCAAATTTCAGACACCTGCAAATTCTCCATCGCGCCTTTTATCCGATGCAAATAATGAAAAAAGTACTCAGCGAATACAAATCCAGAAGGCGAGGTGGAAAACCCAGCTGATGGAGGTAATGACCAGCCACTCCCAGATTACTCACAGAACGGAAACTTACTGATTGTGAGTCGAGGCGCTAACTGACTTTGATACCTTTAAGGGTGGAAATCCGTGCTTAAACAACACTCAACGGTTGGAAAGGAGGTCCATGGTAACATGATACGAGGAGCCCGGCTCTGATATCTCGACGCGCACCACAATCACAACATGCTCGCGACGATTTTCGACACGTTGACACTCGCGATCAGCGTGGGCGCATCCCGAATTCCCGACGCGGGTTCGAAGTTGGAAGTTCAGGTTGTGCTTCTCACCTGTTCCTGAAGAGCGGTAGTAATCCTTTTGGCTGAAAGAGTCTCTCCTTTTGCTGTGGGCAGCGCCCATGTTGGGCACTCGTCAGGCGAACATACTCCCGAAAACGTTCGCGCCCCTCCGTGCGTCCGGCTGTGAGCTCCGGGGCGTTGCCACGCTTTCGTTAGCTCCTTTCTCCCTTTTCACTCGCGTGGAGAGCGAATGGAAAGCAATTCTTCTACCTCTTTTGGTGCCTAAAAGTGCCTCTTTTTCTTTTTCACGAGTATTCCATGAAAATTTCAAGCTTAAATATTAGTAAGTTTCACTTCAAAAATCTAAGATATGAACTTAAATTTTGAGCCACTGTGATTGAGTTACATGTTTTCAAAATGGAGGCATCGCGTGACGTTTTCTGACTGAAGATTGAGAAGCAGCAGATTGGACACGTAGGCCAGTGGTACGGGAGCTACAAACATCCCTATTTCGCCTTCAATTTATAAAGTAGGCCAAAGAACATACCTCGGGCAGGATTAGTTGTCTATTCGCATGTTTGTTTTTCGCGAGTTTACAAATTATTGTCCCGCAATCAATTATCCTCAACCACCGCATGATTTTGATACTGGCTCCATTTTTTTGTGAAAAAGAAGAAAGAAACAGGCTTGCTGCTGAAAAGTACACGATGTTTAAACAACCTGACGAACATTACCATGTGAGATGAGACAAACCCATTTAAAAATAACACTAAAATCGGTTGGCGTGAATTTTTAGATACTTAGAGAATCTCAACGAGTTTAAAATTGAAACACACACTGGAAAAAAAAAAAAAACACATTGGATCTAGAGTCCAGACTCTTGAAAACATTGACAAGAAAAAATACTCTTGATTCAATCAGATTTAAGCTTAAATCAAACGGAAATCCGCTCAAATTAAGAGGCTGGGTTCTTGATTTAAGCTTAAATCTGATTGAATCAAGAGTATTTTTTCTTGTCGATGATTTTAAGAGTCTGGACTCTAGATCCAATGTGTTTTTTTTCCAGTGTGAGATAAGAGAAACCCATGAAAAAAAAAAAAAAAAAAAAAAAAAANAAAAAAAAAAAAAAAAAAAAAAAAAAAAAAAAAAAAAAAAAAAATTGGTTGGCGTGAATTTTTGGATGCTTAGAAAATCTCAACGTGTTCAAAATTTAAGGAGGTAGGGTAATTTTTTCCTCGAGTTCTTCGGAGCAATCAACCTTAGGTTAGGTTCGGTTAAAAGGCGTTTACCGGTTTGAATTCTATAGGCGGTGGTTGGAATGATAAAAATCCCGACTTGTTAGATCCGGCAACAATGGTGCGAAAGGCGCAGCCGCAAGGGAGACGAGAATAGCCGTCGGGATAAATTATAACTGCGGTGGCGACCTCTCAGTGGAAGCGCGTAACTCAGAATAGACCCTGCCCGAGGAAATACGCGCCCGCCCTGAACTCAAATTTCCCCTGCGTCCCCCTTCCCACCGATAAGCGCCTCCGAGTGGGGAGACCACAAAGCAATTTTTCAAGTAGAAAAATCTTTTGTTCTACGGCTGAGTAGGGTTGCGGTTTTTCCGAATACTTCGATTTCGGGAAATCGATTTGATTTGCGGTAATAAATCTGGTTGATGTTAAAATCGGAGGAAAAAAATCGATTTCAGAAATATCGTTTTTTTTCGAAATCGATTTTGCAACCCCTTAAAAGTCCATTTGGTATCCAAGCGCCTCCGAGTGGGGGGACCACAAAGCAATTTTTCGAGTAGAAAAATCTTTTGTTCTACGGCTGAGTAGGGTTGCGGTTTTTCGAATACTTCGATTTCGGGGGATCGATTTGATTTTCGGTAATTAATCTGTTTGATGTTAAAATCGGAGGAAAAAGATGGATTTGAGAAAAATCGGTTTTTTTTTCGAAATCGATTATACAACCCCTTAAAAATCCATGTTCAGTGACAAAAACATAAATACTACTAAAACTGAATAAGAATACATGTTTTATCTAGGGAAATTCGGCAACTCTCGAATGCTAATACGGCGTTCTTCCTTAGCACGGTAGAATAGGACTCAAGTATAGTGGGGGGACCACAAAGCAATTTTTCAAGTAGAAAAATCTTTTGTTCTACAGCTGATTGTGAGTACGGTTGCGGTTTTTTCGAATACTTCGATTTCGGGAAATCGATTTGATTTTCGGTAATAAATCTGTTTGATGTTAAAATCGGAGGAAAAAGATAGATTTCAGGAAAATCGTTTTTTTTTTTCGAAATCGATTTTACAACCCCTTAAAAATCCATGTTCGGCGGCAAAAACATAAATACTACTAAAACTGAGCTTGAAATGAAACCCGGGTCTCACAGAACCTAGGCTTTAAGACACGTCCAGCGTTCTGCCTTCCCAGGCGCCATGCGCAAATTGCGCCTAAAAATGGGGGGAGGGGGCTGGGCCATCGTGGCGCCGGTTATAGGACATTTCGTGAACGATTTTTTGTCCGCGCACCTGCTTTTTCCAGTAATTTACGTCCACGCGTTTCTTCGGCACTGGAGTTTTATTCCACGTGCCAGTTGAGACCCAAAGGTAATTGGCCCACATGTAAATACAAACGACAATTGCTCATGACGTTTTTGGATGAAAATGTATAATGTCTTGGAAGAATAAGAGTTTGCTTGTTTTTTTGTCTTGTCTGTTTGGTCCAACAAAGAATAATATATAGTTGAGAGTTTTGGTAAAAATGGGGGAGCGTCAATTCCATGAGACAAAATTCACTAAAACTCTCTACACGTCTTTGGTGTAACAGGACTTGATTATCTTTCAAGCAATGCCCACCTTGTTATACCTGAATCGGATAGGTAAACCTCTATATTTGCCTCAGCTAAATAAGGCTCTTAGATTTTTCCTGTGTACGATAAGTACGAGTATCTTGATTTATTTTGCGAGGAAAGATCTGTACTTTTAAAGGATGCCTGTCACTCTTAATACGTTAAATTTCGTATAATATTGTGCAACACCTCTGTTGTGAAATAGTTGCTTCAGGCGCCGCCGCACGGCAGGCGGGCGGCCAGCGCGAAACGCGCATTGGCGCCTACAAACCTAAGTGGATACTTCAAGCATTGTGCAGTGCGTGAAGTATCCCACTTAGGTTTGTATGCGCCAGTGAGCCTCTCGCGCTGGCAGCACGCAACGCGCCGCTCCGCTCTGTTAGGCTTTAATATTTATACTCACATAGCCAGCGAATTTTAAATCATGATTTTGAATTATTTGCACATGCTCTGCATTGATTATTCTCATTTAAATTGACGGGGAAAAAATATGTAGGTATCAATTTATCAAAGGAGAATAATAATATAATGTGTGTTTTTTTAAATATTGGTGGTTTCGTGTCAAATTTAATGATTTCCAAAGTACTTTAATTTTTTTATTTTACATTTTGTGCTTTTATTGTGCTGCAGCGAGGTGTACGCGCAACCAAACGCTCAAAATTTGACGTATTTGACTCTAAAATATCGATGCACATGAGGGTTAAAACTAAAGATTGCGTGCTATTCTTGGTTTTCTTCCCTCTTTTATTCATTTTTGCAGTTTCTGTCGGCACAACTGCGGCTCATTGAGATAAATGTCGCTTGGAAAAGAATTTAAAAATATTTGCCACGTTTTAAAAATATTAATGTTTTCAAAATGAAGTAATAATTTCGTAAAAAAAAAAAAATTAAAAAAAAGAAAAAAAAAAGTACATATACATATATAAGGTATATTGTACATCGAATATTTCAAGGATAGAAATAAAACCAAATATTCACCAATGACAATTTAAAAAGATGATTCAAGAGGAGAAAGAAATAACTTATCATTTAGAAGTGAGCAACCGTAACAACACCTCCTGTTCTCTCAATTTCTCATTTCCGAAATGTCAGTAGGTATAATTTTACATACGGACTGAAATGTAACGTTTGGACCAAGTCACTGTTGCTTATTTTACGTGTGGGCGTAAACTACTGGACAAAAAGGTGCGCGGACAAAAAATCGTTGACAAAATGTCCTGAAACCGTGGCGCCTAAAAAATTTGACGGATTGAACTTGCAATCGGAAAGCAGCGGTCGCGATGAAGCGCCCTCTATACGCTAAAATTTAATTGGGCTCCTAAAAAATGGTAGATGGCTCCTAAAAATTAGGCTTTCCGGCCAAGGTGGCTCCTAAAATTTTAGAGAGAGGGCAGAATACTGGACATATCAACGTCGGGAATTCCGATTTTTTTCAATAATTCGATTTTGGCTAAAAAAATCGATTCGATTCAATCGATTTTTCAGCACAACGCAATCGATTACAAATTGTCATCCCTAAGCTGGAGTGGCTTTAAATTGCGCGGAGGTTAAAAATTTCCGCGGGAAAGGTGCCATTCTGGTGCTCGAGAAATTAAACAGCAATTTTCATGCAGTTCTTTCATAGGTAGCTTTTCCATTACTAAGACCACCAGGCCCGCCACAAGGGGGGGGGGATACTCGGTCCCTGGTACCGGGGCCCGGGCTCCGGAGGGGGCCCGTGTTACCCGTGAAAAACCACTACGAATTCACATGCAACCCTTGTTTCGTAAGAAAAAGTGAAAAATTTACCCTAAAAATTTCGCAAAAGGTGAAAAGATTTTCAGAACCACGCTGGGACACTATAGAATTCTTCTTAAATTTTTAAAGAAGTATACTTCTTGGAAAATTTCTATATATTCTCAAGATTTTCAGTACAGAGGGATATTTTTAGTAACTGCGTTTCATTTTCTTCCGTCGTCAGATGCTAAGAGTCTACAGTCTGGGCATCCTCGACTTCAATGGCTCATGGCTCAACTCCCTTGCCATAGACAACGAAGAGAGAGTCCAGGGGGGCCTGGCCCTCTTAGAACTGAAAATAGTATCATATGCCCCCCCCCAAAAAAAAAAAAAANAAAAAAAAAAAAAAAAAAAAAAAAAAAAAAAAAAAAAAAAAAAAAAAACATAACTATTCCGCAGAAATTGATGGAAAAATTCTTTATGGAAGCTTCAAAATGCGTCCGATTAGTCGTATAAATTCTAAAATTTCTCGGGGATACCCCTCGGACCCCCGCCCCCTCCGTGCTTGGGGCCCGGAACTTAAAACTGGTACCAGGGCTCGAGATGGGATGTGGCGAGCCTGCATGAAGGCTATTTCCATTTAAATCCTCCGTCACATTCATACGGCGCAATGATACAACTATTTGAACTCTCCGGAATGCGTGAGGTATCACGCCGCAATTGAAGGCGTTTTCAAAACAGCCAAGTCCCGATACCCGGATTATCGTTTTGCATAGTTCATATTCTTTTGTTATATTCCGTACCACTCGTTTATTTTTAATCCTCGTAGAAAAACCACCCATTTGCTAAATACAATTCTAGCTGGAGCGCACTTCAGCTATGCATTCACCACTGCAAAAATGTCAAAGGAAATGGACACGCCCAGCGTGCATGGAGGCTATCTCCATTTAAATCTTCCGTCACATTCTTACGGCGCAATGATACGACTATTTGAACTCTCCGGAATGCGTGAGGTATCACGCCGCATTTGAGGGCGTTTTCAAAACATCTAAGTTCCGATACCCGGATTATCGTTTTGCATAGTTCATATTCTTTTGTTATATTCCGTACCACTCGTTTATTTTTAATACTCGTAGAAAAACCACCCATTTGTAAATACAATTCTAGCTGAAGCGCACTTCAGCTGTGCATTCACCACTGCAAAACTTTCAGAGAAAGTCGACAAGCCCAGCGTGAATGAAATATTTTTTTTTCTTTCTTTCTTTTTTAAGAGCCTCTGAAATTGACCCTCCGTCCATAAGAACGATGGAGGAAAAAAAAAAAAAAAACATTCTTGACAATGTAATGTCAATTTGTGTCGTACCACCTACACCTTCTCGAGGTTGAAACTTTTGGTCATCCTTTAGTAAAACTTTTTAAAGAACAGAGACTCAATGTTTAAGAAAGTATTGAAAGAAGGGGTTAAAGCATGATGTTCTTGTAGAAAGTATTTCATTAATGCTCAAGTCCTTTTGAGATAAAAAAATACCTTGACTGTGAAATAACATGTCTCAATCCAATGAATTCTTCAGGTATGTAATTACACCTAGAAAGTATCTGAAAATAAGAGAGCTAGAAAAGTCCATGACAGACATTTAAATTACGATTGCATCGACGAAAATATGTATTCTTTATATGAAAAGATTAATAAATACCTACATTTTTATGATGTGTGGAGGTCAGACAGAATTTAACAAGAAAATTTAACGCGTCAAAAAATCTATAACATTTATTTTAAATACTTGTATGCAGGTGAATACAGTTTAGATTTTCCAGCATGCACAAACAGTTTGGAAACAGTCAATGATTGGATACAATATGTTCCCTATTTGAAAATTGTGTCTTTTTTCCTAATGGACCACTAGATAAGGTACGAATTTCAGCATTCTGATACATGTTTATTAACCAAAATTTTACGTAAAACACGATGCACACAACAAAAATTACCGAAATTAACTCCTTACGAAGATATTTAATGATTCTTAATGCGTGAATTCAAACCACCCGCTCATGGAAACTCAATGCTCTACGTGATTCACATCGCGCGCTAAACGTTATCATGACAGTCTCTGCGATATAAAAATCTAGCAACCTCAATCTTGACGCTTTGGCTCAGTTATAGCAAATTGCTAATAGTTTGAACAACACATGATGTGAAATGAACATTGCTCGATTGAGAAGCTTGCTGAAACCGTTGTAGTGGGCGATTTGACTCACGTAGAGTTTTGAGTTTCTTGTGAGCGGGCAGTTCAAATTCCTCGTAACCAATGTGAAATAAAAACATAGAGTACATAGAGTCGTAATGTAATTGGGAGAGCTGGCGCCACTTTTAAGCATTTTCCATGTCCCGAATTCCGAGACTCCTGTGTGACGCCGGGTCACTTTTTCGATACATAATCGATTGTTTGCGATACACGGGTACCCGGCCATCCGATGACAACAACAACAACAACAACAGAGGAGATAGGAATTACCACGTATTCCACACCGCCATTTTGGATCGAAAATGTATCGAAAAAGCGACCCGAACTCGGCACACACCGGGCTCGGAATTCGTCGAGCAGAACATGGCGCCAGCTCTCCCATTTTAGAGTCCCTTTATACCCAGAGTTACGACAACTCACTTTTGGTTGGGCCAGGATTGGGCTGAAAGTGGCCTAAAAAAAAATCCAATTCTGATTGGTTCTCGCTCATGGAGGCCGAAACGAGTGCACCAAGATGGCGGTACCTCGAATGTGAACAAGAATAATGAAAATATTACCTAATTGTGGTTTATCAAGAGTAAATTGTTATTTCCATATAGGTCCAAAATGAAAATAGATTAAGAAATTATTCACAAACCAATCTCATTTTCTTTTTAATTGATCACTTCGTTGATGTTGTTGTTTTTGTGTGACAGACATCGCAGGATTCCTGATCCTTATCCCTCAATATCGTTCGTTAGGGTGCACTCGTTTCGGCCTCCATGGCCAGCCAAGGACGGCTGCCAGTCAGCTGATAATCGAGTTGTCGTAACTCTGGGTATAAAGGGACTCTATCCCATTTACATTACGACTCTATGTACTCTATGAATAAAAACGTTAATATCTTCGTTAGGAGTTGGTTTCCGTAATTTTCGTTGTGTGAATCGTTTTCTACGTGAAATTCTGGTTAAGAAACATGTATCAGATCGCTTAAATTCGTACCTTGTCTAGTGGTCCATTAAGTATGCCACTTAAAAAGTATTATAAATGAACAGATCAATAGACACTTTCAAAAAATATAATTACTTAGATGAGGGTTATTTCATAGACTTACACCTTGCAGAGTGCACTCTCTCCAAAAGAATAAGCATCAGAACTCAGGTTGCAGCTTTTAAGACGTACCTTGGTTTTTATTTAAGTCTGTGGGACGCATGATTTCCTATCTTTTAATGAGGTAGAAAATATATTTTCTCAATTTTTACTCAATTTGTCTAAAGCATCCTTTAAGTGCAATGGGGCAAGATACAAGACAACGTACTTAGTGATTATTTAGCTTTGTCTCTGACAAAAATAAAATCACTGAAATTAAAACAAAGTGAAACATGAGTTCTCATTGAAAACTTTTTTTCTTAGCTTTACCTTTCAAAAATAATAAGTTAATAGATTTAATATTTATTTTTGCTCAGTCAGAGGAGACACAACATCAGGACATGGTAGGTTCAGCTGAAATTATGAGTCCTAGCGACTAACCTTTGAGGTTTGAGAGAGCGACAAGTTTTGGTAATTGGGGCCTTAAAGGCTTCAGAGGACCATTCATATAGCTTCAAAAGCTCCGTGAAGAAACAGAGGGTCATCTTGGTAAAGGATGAAATAATTCATCAGAAGACTAGTAGGTATTCTAAAGTTATTTTACTCCTTCAGCTTAACACAAGGTAGTGAAGGAACTTTGGACTAAGGGTTTAGGGAGGAATAGTTTTTTTGCTGTTGTTTAAAATGGAGGTGATTAACAAAATAGAATCATAGGTATCAAGGAAAACAATCACAAGAGGATTACCTACTTTCTGGACTATTTTTAACAAATTGTTTGTGATAAGTTACATGTGACGTGTAGATATCATATCCTAAAGAAACAAGATTGTCATAAAAAACACGATATTGCACCGGAACAAAATAAAAGTTGACAACCTGTGCAGGAGGCCATACAAACCACTCGGCTATGTACAGATTGGTTCCTTTCTTTTTAAAGTCTTCCAAAATTGTGGGAAAATCTGCATGCTCTAGCGTACCTAGGGTTACAAGTAAAACGAAGATCCCTACAGGCGAGTATACTAATTGGTCTAACAAAACTTTCTTGACAACTGTTCGCATGGTTGTTCCTGGAAGTATAGATTCCAAATATTTATACCAGGTATGGCATACTACACCAACTGTAACACCAGATATGGTAAGATTGAGGGTCCGCCTTGGGCTCCATTTGCTTCCTTCGAAATGCGCTTCTTGCCGCTGCTCAATTATATCTCCAACACCTGATAGCGTACCAGACAGCCCGACATTTGTCACCATCAGATACTTGCTGAACAGGAGTGATTTGAGGCGCGTTAACTTTCTGAACATCATATGAAGTTTATCACTCTCACGAGCATAAAAAATTCATCATACAGGTGCAAAAGTACTAGCACTCCTTGGTGAAATCTTTCACATTGAAACACGTTCTTCAAGAGCGACAATTGTCTGTTGATAGCTCCGAGAGTGACTTTGATAGGAAACAAATTCAATTATTGTCAGTTTCATATACTAAGAGCCACTTGAAATCGACGTTTTAGGAGAATAGAGTGGTTACAGCAGCACTGTTCTTTCAAAATTCATAAAAAATGGAATGTCAAGACTAGGTACCTACTTGCACTCTGGAAAATTAAGTTTAATGGTTTCACATTATACTGTCGAGTTTTTGAACCATCCAGATGAAAATTATGGAATGAAGCACTTCACTATGTATAATCTTGAACTTTGTCCGAATTATTTGACGAGAAGCTTAAAAAATAATAGAAATTAAAAATGTGAGTACTGCACTGTCGATTCGGAACCGATTCTTAACTCGTGACTGCGAAGAGGTTATGTTATGAACCAGATAACAATAACAATGATAAGATTCGAAGAGCCAACCTTAGAAAAACAGTTCAACTCTACTTACCTTCGAGAAAACTTTGAAGCATTTACTTTAATTTTCATCCCTGATTTTTGAGTGTTTTCAAACCATAGATTTTCAGCTTTGGTAAGATATTGAAACAATTATCAAGTTTTCAATTTTTTTCCTTAAAAGACGGCGTGCCAAGAACGCAGTGTAAGTGTAAAATTGGTGTCTTACGTTGGCTACTTGTTGTCACATGACCTCGAAAATGTCCTCTTGTTGATAAACACCAGAATTTCCAGATTTCCAGTGGTTATAATTTGCAAAAATATTATTTTATCTCCATCTTAATCCTGTAGTGCACATTAGTAGCTTTGCTGAGTAAACCTTTTGAATGTCGTTCTTTTATTCCTAGTTTGATGATGTCAATGTATTGGGGTCACCGTGCAACCAGCCTCGATGTCTCCAGAAGATGACTCCCAACTCCCAAGCATGACTAAGCACTTTTCTTTCATTATAACAAGAGAACGCTCGAGAATTGTGGCCGCAGCCTATTAGCCTGTCGTGAAATTGCATTTTATATATTTTCAACGCCTCACAACTTTTATTCTATTTCGTGAATGTTAGTGTACTCCTCAACCTACATCTACCTATCAACGCATTCATAGGAAGACCAGCTTCCAAAATGAACAGGAAATATGAACGAAAAATTAGCTCCCTTGTAAGTATTCATCTCATATTACTTCTCAACAGCTGTTAAATATGAGACCTGCATCTTTTAAGCACTTATTGAAACTATCCTGTCATCAGTATTAACATTTATCGAAGTGGTATAATCGAAGTTTGAATTCTCTGCGATGAATTTTAGGCAGTTTTATTAATCTTGCCCAGCCCTTGAGCATATGAGGAAATGAAGTTTTCAGCAACCTCTGTTTGATCCCTGTATTGCAGATGAGAATTATAATTGTGTAGGCCTGACACAAGATAGTTCATCTTCAGGAAAAACTCAATTTGGCAAACAGGTCTCATGAGCTCTTGTTTATTGATGCTTTATCACAGTAAGACTTGTTTCAGTGTGGTAATCAGTACATAGGGCTTTTTTTTTATCGCGGATCAGGGTGGATCGCGCTGGATCGGAATGCTGAGCGATCCAGACCGATCCAAGTGTTCCAAGTGATAAAAAAATCCAAACTTGGAATTTGGTTCGATTTGTTATTGTTTTGATTTTTTGGGGATGGCAATCACGGCAACTTCCTCGCATTAGGTTAGGATCACAGTGGATCGCGAGCTCGCCCCACCTCGGAAGAGCGATCCAGCGTTCCACTCTGATCCACCTGGAACGCTTGGATCACGCTGAGGAACGGAATAAAAAAATACCGATGTTCCGCGCGATCCACTGCGATCCGCATAAAAAAAAAGCCCTTATGTACCCTTGAAAACTTACTAACTATAACATGACCAATATTTTGCGAATCTGCATTTCAGGGAATGCTTACATGTTTGCCCTTGTGTCCTGCTTCACAGTTGGGAAGTGAACTGTTATGGGTAGTTCCTGGTTGATGAGCTCATGAAGCTAATTTGAATTCTTCAGCCTTTGTATCATTGCACTCAGAAAGAGTATTTCACGAATGAATTCTAGGAAAATTCTCACCCTAATTTACAGATAAATTGTATTTAAGAAGAGAGAATCTTAATAGCTGTGTAAGTACTTAAACGTTTGTCAATTTATAACATTTTGTTGCTTAGTCTTAAAGCTTTGTTTCTTGTTTGCAGCCTCCCCTATCGCCAAACCCTCTTCTAGACATCAGTGATGATGAGCTGGTTTCAATTTCGGTCAGGGATCTAAATCGACAGCTGAAGCTCCGAGGGCTAACCAAAGAGGAGATTGTGAAGATGAAGCAGAGACGGAGAACTCTTAAAAATAGAGGCTATGCAGCAAGGTATTTCTCAACATTTTATCTATTAAACACTAATCAGTGAAAGAGGAGTAAAGGGACGGAAACTCAGGCGGGTCTTTCCGCTGATGAATCTACCAGATGCTCTTACTTGGGGACGGCAGTTCAGTTAAAAAGTCAAAATTAATAAGATTTCTTATTTTATTGATGCAATATATTATCTGCTGAGTACGTGTGATGAATCACCTAAGAGTGTCATACTAAAAAGTATGTCTCAAGGAGGGATTGCCTAGTTATATTTATTGTGATAATGCCAGCAACCATACATGAGCTGCAAATAGGTGTTTGAAACTTACTTCTGCAGCCGACCAATTGCACAGCTGAACCCAGGAGGAGGAGCTATCTTAGATATATAATTAGGCTCCTCCCCCGGATTCAGTCCGGATATTCTCTCCCTCTCTGGGCTCGTAAGGATGGTGCCTGGTAGGGGGTGGACGTCTGTTTTAGTCTAAACTCCTAAGGGAGTTCAGGGCGAGCTGGATGTCCAAGCCCCAATTGGGATCAGCTGATGGAGTCTCGGATAGGGAGAGGAATTAGGTTTTTTCTAAAACCTTTTCAATTTTGTACTGTTTTTTTGGTGTTGTCTGATGTAGAGAAAAGTTCGAAAAAGTCTAGAGGTTTTATCCATCCCGAAAGTGAATTCCCTTTTATTTTGTCTCCTGCAGTTCCTTTACGGGTACCTGATTCCCCATATTTTTCACTATTGATAACTTTTTCTCCCTTTTTTTCCTAAATAGAATTGAGAAATAATGACAAGTATTTATTCCTCAATTGTTCGTTTGGTTTTCAGTTGCCGAATAAAACGAATTGAGCAGAAAGATGAACTCGAGACGGAGAAATCCCAAGAATTGAGAGATCTCGAAATGATGGAAAAAGATAACAGTCTTATCAAAGAAGAAATAGAGCAAATTGTCATCAAATTTGAAGCTCTGAAAAAATTTGCGCTGATGAGGAAAGTGCCTATTCCACTTGATCTGGAGTCCTTAAAAAGTGGATGCTTATGATGCTTTTGGTAAGTATAATTTCATTCAAAGCATTGCCATTGCATACAAGGAATATGAAAGATAGGTGCATGTACAAAAATTCAAATTTTTAAATTAATAGAGGCAAAAAGTTCCAGTAGTCTCATTGTATCATGTATTCATGCACATAATTTTTTATCAGATGGAAGCCAAACGGTTAATGGTGCTGGTAGTTGAAATGCAGTAGGTAGAGAAAAAAAAATAGTGAAACTGCTTTGTTTAAATAACTACCAATTGTGAATTTTAGAAAGTGCTAGGAAGAAAAATAAGGAGCAATCAAACTATTGTTATTAGTATAACACAAACAACTAAATAAAAGTAGTGGGAAACAAGACTGAAATCATGCAAACAACTCGGAACATCAGGATCAGAAACATTAATATGTGATTTTATTTAGCCTTATTTTTTAAAATTTTTATTTTTCGGTTGATAATGACCTGAGAAAACAAGTCAAAACGTCCCAAGTTGTTTGTGTAATTTTAGCCTTGTTTCACACTAATTTTGTTTGTTTTTTGTGTCATATCCAGGGTTTCAAATTTGTACTTATTAGTATATATTTACGACGAACAAACTATTCTCTTACAGTTTCACCAGTTTTAGGTATGAAGATCATTTCCTCAAACAATGATTTTTGATAATTTTGGTGATGGAAACAGTCAATATTAATCTGGCTGAAAATTTGTAAGAAATATTAGTATTATTTTTTTGGAAAAGAGCATAATCATTTTACGAATTTTACAAACCAAACCGGCTACTCTTTTGGGGCACGAGGTTGTGCATTTTTCTTTAAAACCTTGAAATTTTACCTCTCATAATTGCTTTGTTTGGTCGATGAAAGGTTATTAAGTACTGAAAAATGTAAATTTCCTTTGTTTAGTTGGGTTGTTCCACCAGGTGTATCCATTATACTAATGCCAGCATCGAATGACATAATATTAGCGTTAATATTTACCTTTTCTTTTTCCAGGAATACGATGCTCTTCTGTAATTATTGCGGTGGTGGATGATCTAGCATTAGAAGAGAATTCAAAGTCAAGTGAAACTCTGCCAGCCACTATTTCACTTGTGGCACCTGAGCTCAAAACTATCGATGTCCTTTCAAAGTGTTCAAGTGTAGCCATTTTGTTCAGTGATTTATGGGTAGAGTAATGTTGAAATTAGCGTTTTGATAATTTTAAATCATTTGCCATCTTCAGGCGAGAGTGCAAAAAATCTGGAGTTCTTTTCTGAGTTTGATTTATTGATCTCGCTACTCATTTCCTTCGAGGAGAAAAGGGATCCACGGATGACAAGCTATATCTGTCAGTGAATCTTGAAGATAAAAGTTTTTGTGTTTTGCCCCTCAAACTTGTTTTTGTGTCCCACAATGGTTTCTAAAGGAGACCCATCAGTATATCAAGACACGCAGTTTTGGTCTCGGGTAGTTCCAGTTTTGTTTCTATTAATAATGCTCTCATCCTCTGCCTCTGACATTTGACATTTCTCTTCTTTCACTCTATGCAGACTAACAAGCCTGTATGAGCCAAGGTGAAAAGTTCCTATCAGTTTGCTTCTGTGCAAAGTTTTCAAGTCGTTCAACCAAAATGTCTAACTGGTGATTCTGCCAGCAAAGTATGTATTTATGAATATTATGACATAAAAAGAAATTTAATCATGAAATTTAGTCCAAAAAATCTAAGGTGAACTTCTGTGAAGACTCTCATAGGTTGCTGTCTTAATATTCTTCTAGGTTCTCTTCCAACCATTGGTCATTCCTCAGCAATTCGTTTCCTTTGATAAGCCTTGTCTCCAAAGAACGCTTTCTCGTGATTTTTTGCCATTGAAAGTCGCACTTGCGAAGTGGCGACTAATATTGACTAACTCGTTATTAAAAGCAGTTCCGAGTAGGGTCCTTGTCGATAGTCCAAGAACTAGTGAGGGAGGAAGGGAAAGCAAATTGTGTGATAATTTGGCATTCACTCAATTGTTCTTGTCTGTTCAATCTGAATGACTTGCTTTGTGCCAATTGTCCTCAACTATTACCTTGATTGAGTTTAGATACTCCGTTTTTACTAACTTATTTTCCTGTGCAAATTTGTCGCAGGAATGTATGAGCCCCGCCTCATATATATACCCTGCGATGAATGTTCAGAGAACTCCTCAAGGAGGCAAGACCTTGAACTAGAGTAAAATTTTCTCGAGGCTATCTTATTACCAAAATTATCGTCTAAACCATTAGAGTCATGTCCAGGGAGAAGCCACTATTGTGATCCCTTGCTGCTGGAAATCACCACTGATGGACCCCGGTTTTGTTAAGTTACATCACAGTGTAAAGTTCCTCAGTTTTCTGAAAAGGGCAGTTTATTAAATAGAGACTGAGCTTACAATTAATCTCTGAGATTTGATTAGCAGAGATAGTATGGCACTAAATCCATTCTAAGGTCGTATTGTATAGGATTGACCAAGTTGTCTACATCAAGTATTGTAAATATGTGAGACTTTACTATTCTTCTGCTAAGTTGTGACATTTCATGCAATTCCTTATTTTAAACGTAGTTTGTAAGGTAATTATTTTTTTTTCATTTGTGGTACTGGTGTAAAATTTATTTTTGTATCAAAAATAAAAAATAATTTTTAAATATACGGTGAGTTTTTTTTAAAAACAAATAAAAAAAAAATTATCCAAAATGTCTCTTTAAAATTTTGTTTGAATATTTATAATAAAGGGGGGAAGTATAACAAATTTTGAAAAGACCGGTGGGTGGTTCCCTTTAAAAAAAAAAATAAATAAATAAAATAAAATGAAACAAGTATATGGAGAGGCTTGTAATTCCAAAAGGAGAGATTTGCATTTTCTGGCTTCAACCATCAGTGTTGACAGTTTGACTTGGAGTCAAAATTACATTTAGTTTTGCTCGTCCTCCATGATTGAGTTAGAGTTTCGCTCATAATTTGCAGACTGGTCATTTTGATATTGTATAACATTTTTCATTAGAAGAGAATTAGGAGTCCTGATCAGATAACTAACTAGTAGACATTAAAGCGGTTGAGTTTTTGAGCTCTATATTTATGTACAAATTAGGATGAAAGTCGGACAAGTTTTCATTATTCATGAAAGTACAAATTATTTTGTTCTGTTAAACAAATACCAATTTTAACAAAGAAATATAAAAGTAAAACTCATATGAATTTACATTAAAAGTAAAAAAAAGGTGAAAAATAATTTAAGAATCGAGATAAATAAAAAACAATATCATAGAAGAATTAAATAAAAATTTACAAAATTGATTCAAATTTATGAGGTTGAATTAAATGCCGATAATATTTCAGTTGTTGCTGACTCAACTGATTCAGGAGAGCATAAAGATACCCATTTAGTAAAATTTTCTCAGACGGTGAAGGGACAATAGCTTTTTGAGTGTGACATGTCTATGAGAAAAACGCATTTTGATATAAATTGTGGCCAGTATAAAGATGATTAAAAGAGATAGAAAAAAAAGAAAGAAATCAGACACGTTGGAAAAAGTTATCTTTGCACATGCACTTAGGTTGAAAAAAACTTAAAAGAGACAAAGGAAAAAATAGAAAAGAATAAATCATACAATAAATCTAGAAAATAAGCATCTACATACATCCTCGATTCTAAAATTTGCATACAAAGTAAATTTTAATTTGCCTAAGTAAGCAAAAGAGAGACGCTGTTCGGGTTTTGGTCACATTCATGGATGTCCACAAAGTTTTTCCTTCCCATCAAGATGTCAAAAAGCATAAAACATTCTTAACTCAAGAGGATTGTGCAAATACTACAGTAACAACATTTTTAATTATTCAAAATACAAAACATAAATAAATCCTTTACACAGTTTAGTAATTTTCATTCAATGAAAGTAACTGACAAAGACTTCTTCGCAATTTTGAAAGTACAGTTGAGTCTACTAGTGGAGAGTAGAGTATCTAATGAGGAGAGGCTTTGAATATTAGAATTGTACTGACCCTATGACGCTCCTACTTACACAAAGAGTGAAAAATATGTAAAAACTATTAAAATAGTTGGGAAGCAAAAAAATAGTGCAAAAAAGCCTTGGGCAATTAGCTCATTACACAAAAACGACTTGCTGATAAACATGTTTGTACCTCTAGTACAAAAATAAGCATGACTTGATAGCAAATATGGCTAATTTGACCTGAAAATTAAAGATGCAATATGACTAACATGTATGTATTTACAAGTTATTGTGTACAATGAAAACAAAAAAAATTAAGGCCTTTACATCACACATTCATAAAAACTAGAGAGAGTAGAGATTTTGGTGTGCATTGTGCTTCTAAAGGTTGTCAGCTGATGGCTGCAGAGCTATTGCCTGATTTTTTACCTTTGATGGGTTTCATTAGTTTTAGAAATGGATTGGGGAAAAATGCACTCATAACTTAAGGTTTATCAATTCCTATCAAACATGCAGCTAAGGGAGTATTTGAAAAAGTATAGAATGAAACGGCATCAACACTTTTAAACACAAAAAGAGAGATCTTGCATCAATGAAAATAAAATTTAGCGGATGGACTCTATGGTCAGCTAGAACAGAGATCATTTTTAACCGACATTAGAAGACAAAACACCGAAGGAGAACACGTATGACTCAAAAACTTAAAGAAAAATCTTAAGTATCATGCAAAGATATAAAAACTATAGGTAGGCTGATCCTATTGTCAATTATGAGGTTTGTTCCCCATCAGGAGCAAAAATAAGGTAAGGTCGAAGATAGTTAGTTTTCATGGTCATTAATGGGATTCTTACTGATTCTAAGCTTAAATTCAATTTTAAACTGACTCTTTGAAAATTTCGGGTCCACGTATAAACCTTAGGTAGCCTCCAAGTGAATTTATAATAAGAATTCTATTGTTAAATTCTTCATTAAAAAACTTTCATGGGAACCCATGTTATAGAGGTTATGGAATAGTTCCACCCCCTGCCCGCCTATTAAAGGATCGCTCCATGTGGAATGCATTTTTTCATAGGCCACCACCCACCTATAGTTTTTATGTCGTTGGTAGAATGCGATGAAGCTGTAATGATACAAAAGAATGATCTAGATATGATGATGATTAAAAAAAAAAATTAATATCCACAAATTGCTCAAATCAACAGAGAGAAATTAAAATCACTTTCATTGATAGGCAGACATGTACCTATGATTGATGTTTGTAACAAAAGAAAAGTGAAATGAAATGAACTAAAACTTTGATACTTATTGACCAAGATGATTTTTGGCATTGCATTCATTTAACCTCAAGATCACAGTAAAGTGTATAACAGCATGGTCACAGTTCTAATTTTATTGGGAACAGCTAATAACTGCTAACGAAAGGTATTCTTGTCTACAGTGAAACAAACATTAAACAACTATGGGGAAAGATTTTTCAAGTTTCTGCACCAATACATTATTTTAAATTTCTTACAAGTGCTGCAATTTGGGCTCTGCCTCACTCCTGTAGAAGTGAATTCGAATCAGATCTAGAATCATGTGCGGTTGGAAATACTTAAAGTTGCCTTGAAATTAAGTAAAGGACAGCATTTAAGAATAAGGAATTTGCACATTTGCCCTTAGCTGAAAAATTCAAGAGATTAACTTCCAAAAAACTGAATTACTGCATACTTAGTGTACTTGCTTTCCCCTGAACTTCAATCATCAATGCTTATAAGAGTATATAGTATAGATTAGAGCTAAGAAAGCCCTTCTGATGAATGAAAACAGCCTATTAGAACCATGACCAAAGATGTCTCACAGTAAAAACAGATTAAAATTAACAAGAAGTAAAAGTGATCAACAATTGACTATTCATAAACGTATTGAGGGATCTTTCTTCCGTCCTACAGTTTCTGTAAAATTCTTAATCTTTTTTTAGTGCAAATTTGTTTCACAAAACTTCTAGCAGTGATTTAAAAAAATCGTTCTAGGTAGAGCTGTCTTGTCTATTACATACTTGAATCTAATTTCAGAGAGGATTGAAAAAAAAGACGAAGAAATAGAACAGAAAAACTTCAGAAAAATTGGACTAAGTTACGAATTGCCATGTAACATAAATATCGTAACTGTGAGTTAGAGTTTACAGGGTAAAATCTGTGAGATTTGATGAGAAAAAGAAATGTATCCAGAACAATTCTAGATGATTAATTGGAGGCTGTATCAACACAGTGATGTATGCACCATGTATTCAATCACATACTTGGTTTAGAAATGTCAGTATTGCAATAGTATTTTGAAACTGGTTTCTGCTGGTATGTTCACCGTGAGGATAAAAAAAAAGGTAGAGTGAATAAAGTAGGGTGCTGACTACTAAAATGAATCTTCACGGGATAAGAATGAGAAAATAAATAAATAAAATATGATCGTAACAGCCTCAAATAACGCTGACTAAGCTAAAATGAATACTTAGCAGTCACAACTATCTACATAATTTGTAGGTACCTATAAAAAATCATTTGATTTTAATTACGACTATCGCTCACAGCAGAAAAGTAAGAGAAAAATAAGTATAATATGTAACAGTTAAATATCAGAAAAATACTGCTGATGTGTCCATGCAGTAGGTTCTTGTTAATGAAACAAAATGGTCGAAGCTTAGAGTAAGCAAATAATTATGATTTAGTCTTGTTGCGAAACAGCAAATACCTCAGCCTCTGATCAATCAAAATTTGATTAACCATGCACCTGTGGATTTGAAAATTACTTAATTCTACTTTTGGCCTCCAAAATATAACACCTGTAAATCACCACTTTACTACTTTTTGGGTAATTTTTGTTTCTTGAAGGATAGAGCAAAACAGAGGTGGAATTAGAATTGGACAACAGTTGGCAAACGGTAAAAAAAAAGAGGAAAAAAAAGGGCGGAGAGATGCTACTTACTTGCATCATTTTGAAGAAAGACCTATCTGCCAAGGAGACCTTGTGAGAAATTAAGTGCCACTTTCAAAGAAGTCATTGTAGACGAATCCTGTTTATACAGTGACCTCAGATAAGGGATCTGAACTTGCTCTCTTCAACTCCAACCATATTTAAATTTCTAAGAACAAGGATGCACCAGAAGAATTTGGTTTCTTGAGAGCAGATTATTAATCTGGAGACAAAGGTGAACCCTGGGCTGAATATGCACAGCACTAATGCAAGTGTCTTGATGTCTTGGCACACAAAACTCTGATTAACAAGATCCAATAGACAATAGGAAATCACAATCAAGTTTCGGATCATGGAGGTATGGTTTTCCTGAGTTATAGCTATCACATTTTTGGCTCCCTCATGTTCCATGTATATGTTTTTATCCTGACTGAAAGATATTGTTTCACGAAAAAGACCACTGTCATGATTAATGGTGAGAAGATAATAATTATAAAAAATGACATCATGTGCCCTGCTAAAGGAAAATCATTTGACTTGAAAATTTCCTCAGAGTGATTTCAGTGCTCCTCTCTCACTCAATCAACTTATTTAAATAGTACAGCTTTCAGTAAATTTGACTGCCTTACATTAATTTCAACCGACAAGTTGAATTCTACTTTAGAATGCACTTGGTTTTCAGGCCAGAGTGTCACACTCGTGTGAGCCCAGGGTTCTGCCCAGTCTCGGGGATGACAGTCCCTGAGTACTAGAAACTGAAGTCACTTGATTAAAAAAATAAATCACATTAATTTGGGTTCAAACCGGTTGACAGATTAGGTTTGACTTCAGAAAGAGCTGCGGCAGAATTCTTGTATGATCCGCCAGACTTTATCATCAAAGCCATTAATGTACAGCATGTTTGACTTCTTGTAATACTGCTTCGGTTTTGAACACATGCCATTCAGCGATATTGTGATCAACCTGGAAAGTTGAGAAATCTTGTTAGAGGGGGGGAAAATTCCATAAGACCTATCATAGTCAAATACTGAGGTTGAAAATTCTTTTTTTATGACCTTACAGTTCCTAACACTCTCATCATGTAGGTAGGGGAACTGAAATATGTATCACAGAAAAAACTGCATGAACCTTGACGCAAAACCCAAAATAACTGATTATATTTGGACGGTTTTAGGTTTCGCCTCTCGTTACGCTTTTGTGTTTTAGATTTCTATACTTAGACTCGAAAAAATAAAATGGCTCTCTGCTCTCTCTCCCCATGGAGCGTTACATATTTTAAGAACAGCTTTAAAGATCTGTTTTGTAATTACCATTTTCAAGCCCTTGAGCTTACTTCACTGTCGTTTTTTTCATCATACCATATGCGTTGAGAGTTTCTAGAAGCTTTAAATACACATTTTACCCATAGCAGAGCTTGCTGTTTTTAGAACAAATTTCTTCATACTTCGAATATTTAAAATTCAATACACCTCCAACTTCAAGGTGAAGGTTTGTTTTATAAATGAGAACATTATTCAAGATATGAACAGACTTACTTGACATTTTGCTCTTCTTTCTTGAGTTCTTCACAATAATGGACTATTCCGTTGTAGGGATCACATGGTGTAATATTTGAAGTGCTAATTAGCACAAAAACATCTACATCCTTCTTCTTTGCTGCTGCCCAGTCAAAGAATTTCAGCACATTCACAGGGCCGCCAGTTTTAGACTGAAAACCATAATTTATGATAAGTATTTTCAACTATATATTGCTGCTATGAATTAATTTTTTGCCCCATCCCTCTATACTATGTATGTGATGAAAAAAGTACACTTGCTGATTCTTTTGAGTTTTTACAACAGGAAATGACTATGGAAACTGAACGATAATTAGAGAAGAGGCTACTTCTGAGTGTCTACTGGTGCCCTGCCATTCAAATTCCTTGCTTTTACAGTACCTTTTCCTTGCTTTTTCCTTACTTTCCTGGACATTCCTTTCTTAGCAATTATCGAAAATCCTTGCTTTTTCCTTACCTTCTCCATATTTTTTCCTTAACTATCTCACTTCTCACTCTCACACGCATTTTTAACAACATTTGGATTGGAAAAGTGGAATGTTGGAATGACAAAGGAATAAACCGAAAAATCGAGGAATCAAACTGGGATGTTGATAGATGTATTATGTTGGGAAATCGTACACCCCCAAGGCTACTGTCTAGAGTTTGTCACAAAAATCTCGAATTTCTGTACCTCTTTACCGAAAATCCGTACCTTTTCCTTAATTCCGTACCGACCTTCTGAAATCCGTGCTTTTTCCGTACGGTCGACACCCTGCTTCATATTACGAATAGCCTAGGTACTCCAGGTTTCTCTTGGTGAATAATTCACTCGTGACAGTGATTACTTAACTGCATGAACAATAAATAAAGACTAGCAAAAATATAGTTAATTCAGGGGCATTATCATCCTGAATATTTTCTGTGTATTCTATGACAGCAATTGCACAAAAAGTGTCCACATAACTAAGGAAAGACGGAATTTGACCATAATCGAATGGGAGTAAGTGAGTTATGAAAGGAAGTACTTCTGGAAAGGAGCTATTTAGAGAACAGCTATGAATACAGCTCCTGCACCACTTGAAATTGCTCATTAGCAGAACAGCTAATGTGAGCGATTCATCTAGATTTACGTTCTTGATTGGTCAAATGATTGGAGAATTACTTACGGAAAGGATTTGTGTTGTTTCTTGCAGCGACAAGCCGGCTTTCAAGGCAGTGAGTTCTTCGATTCTGTAAGATGAGGTGTTCGGTTGACTTGACTCCAAAAATGAAGTGACTGTGACCTTCTTTTCATTCCCTCCATTTTCTGCTTGGAGGAAAGATTGCAGAAGCAAAGCTGCTGCATCAATCGACTTCACAAACGGGCATTTGACGTACATTACAGTTGATAAAACATTACGTGTGTCTACTCCTATCAAGAAGCGCTTTCCTGTTGGCTTTAAGCTCTGGAATCAAGACAAAATTGATTTACGTACGTGCCAAAAGTAAGGATTACCATGGTAAGAATTTTATTACAGCTCCTGCTTCCCTGCAAAAACCACCTGCAATATAATTATTTTCACAATCAATGGCATCGCTGGAGATGGAGACGCCAATTGCCTCTTTGACATGGGAGAAGCAGAGTCACTTGGACTGACCATTTGACAAGAAGAAGAAAAAGGTTTGTGGGATGAATAGGAACTTAAAGTTTCCAACGAGATGTGAAGAAAGGTAACAAAAAATATTAAAAATTGGCTGTGATGGGTTTTTCATTTTTGGCTTTCTCACCTCGAAAATCTAGAGGGTTAAAATCATTAGTTAAACTTCCATTTCTCAAGAGTTATCTGCACTGAAAAAAATGAAAACGTACGTTATCCCCTTTAAAAAGTAGCATAACTCTTGTGCTACAAACAGAGGTGATTAATTACAGGGTGTCTAGCGACCTGGAAAACCGGGAAATGTCAGGGAATTTTTTGTGTGTCAAGGAAATCAAGAAAAATGTCAGGGAATCCGCAGAAATTCTACATGTCAGGGAATTTTACTTTTCAAGTGATTTTTGTGTCAGGGACACATCATGGAAATTGAAGAACATGGATTTTTTTTTTGTTGAAAATTGAATCAAATTTCAGCAAAATGGAATTGATACTAAAATTTCTACCAGAATTTCCGCTGATGTATTTAAATTTTAAAAACGAGGAAAATTATCACATATAAGTTTAGGCACCGTATGTTTTGCTCTATTTATTACATTATATCTCTGAAACATGAAAAAGTTCTTCCTCACATCTAATCAGTTCAACCGTCTCAAAACATTGGGAATATTTTTCCTTTTTGTTAGGGAAACATCCAGAAATCATTTCTTCCGCCTGTCAGGAAGTTTTAAATTTTTCCGTTGGTTTTGGCAATTTTTGTCCGGGAAATGAGGGAATCGTCACGGAAATTTGTTTTTAAAATTGCTAGACATCCTGTATAAATGCATGACTTATTAAGATAAACAGATAATTTGTTCTGTGGTTAGGTATTAATATCTGAGTTAAATATAATTAACTAAGCATAAATGTTAAAGAGAAAAAAACCTGATCAAGTTGCTTTTTACCTCATCCAAGTTTGGCTTCACCAAGTGGTCAAAATAAATGAATGCTCAAGAAAAATAAGTTAAAACAATAGTTTACCTTGAATGATCTGACTACTAGATTATTCAGGGCTTCAATTATCTTTTTGTTCAACTTGAAAGTGGGATACAGGTCCTCATTCTTTTTTTTGTCGCCAGCGTTGCTGCTGGCCTCCGTGGAGTTCGCAGCTTCTTCGGCTCGAAGAGCTGCAACAACTGATTCAGGCAGAACATCATGCCCCTTTTTTTTCAACATTTTGAAATACTCCTTTTTCCTGTGAGGAAAGATCAAATGCACGAATAAGTAAAACAAGGCTTCTTCTTTTAAATGGTAGTTAGAAATACAATTTTATTTTCTGAAGGTGCTTCTAGAGCTGCTTTAAGCCACATTTGATACTTCACACCTAGTATACAGTTCGCAAATTGAGTGGTAGTTAGTTCAGCTGATAGAATTAGTTTAATACATGTAATTCTGAGAATGCACTTCTCCAGTTATTACAGCTCCCTTGACAAAGATAAAAATATTTAATAGGGTTCATGATACTACCGGATGACCATGTTCCTCCCCAACTTGCTTCCTCTGAGGAACAACACACAATATTGAAGTGGCATGATTACCCAGAGCCACGATGATGGATTAAAAAGTGTTCTTTGAACCCTGTCACCACTGAAGATTGAACCCGGGACCTTAGCGCTACCAGGAAACTACCTTAACCACTTTCCTCTGAGGAACAACACACAATATTGAAGTGGCATGATCACCCACAGCCACGATGATGGATTAAAAAGTGTCCTTTGAACCCTGTCACCACTGAAGATTGAACCCAGGACCTTAGCGCTACCAGGAAACTACTTTAACCACTACAAACACCATCGAGGCTGGCAAATTGTTGAATGGGTTGGTCTTTAAATCTTGTAACAAACGTAGTCCAGTTCTCCAGGTATTAAATCTTTCGTAACATAAAAGTAACACACAAGCATACAAAAACATCGTAGCTGTGGCAGTCATTCTCGATTTAAAACCAGATAACATTATGACTACTCGGATTTTAAAAAGAAGAAAATATATCAGCCAATCTATATAGAAGACGAAATGTCAAATGTGCAGGATATTTTAAAAAATCGAACAAATGCCTGTATTTTAAGAGTAAGAGAATAAATCCACTGATGTAAATGAGAGATAAAATCTTACAGGTATGAAGGAGTATCTTAAAATTCGAGAGAATCTTTTAAGTAAGAAAGTTTGATAGCAAGTTTAGAGGCATGTAAGTACATTCATAAAGAGCTAAACAAGACATATGGAAAAAAATGAGACTGGATTCAGATTCAAGCGCTTACCTGGGCAGCATTTCAAATGTTTTTAATTCAATAAACGCTTGGGTCGGATCGATTTTCGAATTCGGTGGAATTGCTTCATTGGCAATTCTATCTGCATATACTGCAGCAAAGGGGCAGTTGTTTTTTAGCAATTTTAGCTTGAAAAAATGCTGTGTCATTTGTAACATCTGGTCCAAAGTTAGGGTTGATGCAATAATTGACCACACCTGAAATCCCCCAAAATTGAAAAATTAAGTGGGATAGAGCAAGAAAATAACTGTGAATAAAGTGTAAGGAAGTTGTCAATCGTTTAACTACGCAATTACTTTGCTGGGAATTGATTCATGGATAAACTTACAAACATCTGTTCATGAACTATTTTGCTACTGACTAGTGATGACTATTCTTGGATTGATCTTCCAAAAGATCGGTTCTCCAAGACCAAAAGATTGAATCAATTCTTTCACGAAGATTTTTCACATGGATCGATTCATTTCACCTGGAATCGGATCAAAAAAATCGATTTCTTGATCCTTGATCCTGGAGAACCGATTTTCAGTCGAAGAATCGCCATCACTACTACTGACTGTAGCGTGAGAAATATATTTAAAAACAGGAAGAGAAAGAATACGTCAAATGGGTGAGACAAAAATTAATTACTCAAAAATTCACTTCTCTCCCTTCCCTTCGTTTTTCAGTCGCAACCTGAGGATGGGTTGCATCTAGGCCCAAAAAGCATCTTAACATGGGAGAGAAGCGAGGTTTTGAATTATTAAGTTTCGTTCTATCCATATTATGTATTTTGCTACTATTATGAGTATTTACTTCAAAATTGTAAAATGGGTTCCTTATATCTGAAGCAGTATGTGAACTTGTCTTTTAGTTGTCTTTGATATATTTTCCATTCATGATACATTCATCTAGGTAAGGTTTTTAATTAAACAGGTTACATATAAAACTTGGCAGTACTAAAATAAAAATGAGTTAGAAAAAGATTGCGAGGAGAGAGCCAGAAATCATCTGATGCAACAAGGATACAGTTGCTGCTTTTGGACACAGTTTATTCAGTTTTCAGTCCATGTGAGAAAAAACTTTGGGAGGGGGGGGGAGGGGGGAAGAACAGAAAAAAACCAGAGTGAAACACCAAGAAATAAAAAAAAGATTAGAAGCATGCGTGTCTTTCATCACCTCTGATGAGAGGTGAAGTTTGGGCGGCAATGAGTGTGGTGGAATCTTCGGTTTGTGTTTTGTCAGCAGATCTACTGCAACAGACTCTTCTGTGGTTGTTAATATCTGCTCGACAATTCCGATGTACTCTAAAGGGGCTGCTGCCTCCAGATGGTCTTTGAATGCTTCTTTCGTTTTGTCAAGATCTGTCATAATATAGCTGAAGATCGCTTGCTTGGCTGAAATCAGAAGAGCAAACGTAGCTGGTAATTTCATTCCAATGGTGTGAATAGAAAAACAGACATCTCACTCGCGGTGTTTTAAAATATCTAATCTAAACTAAACTTACTTTTTTACAGAATAACAGAGTTCTTATAACTACTGATTACACGAATTCCCAACAGGTTTCCCACTTCTTTTGAAGATCATTTTGCCTGATTTTTTTAGTAACCTGGGCTTGCATTATGCATTATTGCACAATGGGTCTGTTGCAAACATGAGATAAAGTCAACTGGGACAAGTAGTTATACATAAAATTGCACAGAATTGACTTTTAGCAAATCAGGAATGTTTAAAATAAGCTTTCAGACTCACAATGAAGCTCTTGCATGTGCAGGGGTTTGCAATTTAGGTGCTTTCATTGACTTAAAATTTCGTGAAAAACATGATGGTGCAACTGCTTCCCTCCAAAATCAACCCCTAAGATAAGAAAAAAGCTCTCAAAGTTCAGGCTATAATCGAGGGAATATCTCATGCTATGTTATGGAGTCCACCTCTATATCCAGTCCAAATCTCCATGCGCAGATAGGGCGCAAATACATTAGCAGGGCTGCCGCTTTGTTTGGGGACTCCGAAGTTGGAGCCACAGCAACCCTGTTGATGTATTTGCTCTTTACCTGCGCATGGAGAGTTGGACCAGATATAGAACTGGACTTTCAACGCTGCGTCGGATATTCCCTCCATTACAGCCTGAACTTGGAGAGCATTTTTGGAGCTTGGGAGTTGATTTCAGAGAAAACCAGTGGCACCATCATGTTTCTCGCAAAATTTCAGGTGGATTGTATGAAAAGGACGCTCATTTACTCATTTCTGGTATATGTACATGAAAGTGAACTTTGATAAAAATTACAGTACTTTTTGATGTTAAAGGAGAAACTACATCATTTCAAGTCTTTTGTTTATAAGTCTTTTAATGACACACTCGGCTCATGAACAAATTAAATTTAATTGGGGCAATTTTTTTCAATTTTTGGGATACATGATACACAGAACGTAACAAAGAAATATTCTCCAGGTCTTTGACTCTTAGTGCAAATTTCCTAACAGTCGAGGACTGATCAGCACCATAAGATTGATGAGTAGAGGCTTAATATGTAGTAACTACGTACCTCGGTCTTCACTTTTCATGTGATACAGTCTCATCAGGTCTTTATGCCGCAAACGGTGGATCTTGTTTTTCACAGCTACAACTTCTGCTAGCTCTTGGGGTGTCTTTTTTTCGTACCATTTTGTGATGGTGCGCCGCATACCCTGACCACCTTTGTTGGTTGAAAGCTTATAACAGTAGTGCGCAAAGTCAAATAAGTCCTCCTCATTCAAAAGCAATGCTCGAGCTTTTCTCTGGGCGTTGACTCTCAGCTTTTCAGATTCGGTCTGAGTTGCACATACTGCCAATGCAAACATAACTGATGTTGGTGCGATGGAGGTACCTTCCTTAAACACCTAGAATGAACACAAAGAATGACATGGAATAAATAAGTTTGGGCAATTTCATTCTTTTAACAGAAAAAGTGGAACACTTCACATTAGAACAGGCCCTAAAAACACAGCAATTTTTGAAAATCCCCATAGCCACTTGACTGGATAACATTTGGTCTGAAAATGAGTTCACGCAAGAATAGTTTTGACGCAAAATGCTTGAAATTGGAACCAAGCTACTTAGGCATTCAAAGTGAAATGCTGTGGCTTACATGAATTTCACTGCACATTTCTACAGTATCTTACACTTTGTTACTGGTACTGCGTAAATCACATTAGGTACACTCGGGAAAAATGGTTCCTGATCTTGCAGGTGATCAAAATGCCACACAATTTTATTCATATTGACCCTTTCTGGAAAATTAGACGTACGTACCTTTTCGATAGATGGTAAAATTACATTTTCACCACCTTCATCAGTTGGGACAAGGGCTAATATAGATTTGATATTATCGGGGAAGAAGTCCTCGGATCGCCGCGGCTGGGCAATGTAGATTCCTTCTTCACTTGCATAGTGGAGAAATCGCTTGAGTCTTATTTCTGGGGGAACAGCCATTACAGCTTTCTAGGAAAGAAACGGATGCGCATTCACCTTTCTGGGGAGAAGAAATATTAAAATAAATGAAAAGTCATTAAGCACACTTGAGATGATTGTCGTTGGATGACGCCATTTTTTATGATTGCAATAGAGATGAACCATAGAATTTAAACTGAAATTTTAAAACTTTACTATGGGAAAAATTTTCGATGATTCTTCTCTGATGTAACAAAATTATGCAATTATGTTGCTTTTTCAGACACGGCCATTAAAATAAGTTTTCCTGTCAATAGAAGCTTGTACTTAGGGGGTCAAAATGTCACGGCTAGTCTAAGAGGCTCACTGATAAAATTTACTTTAAGTATTTGATAATTGCTTAGAGACAAAGAGTGTTCTATTAAAATTTATGAGAGTTTGAGACTGAAAGACTGAGTAACTTGCACTGGTTTGCTTCTGACTTAATGGCAAGACATCTAAGTAGGCAAAAAGTTGCAAATTAACCAAGTTGAAAAATGTACATCCCTTTATTGCATTTGTAGATACACATCTGGTGTAAGTGAGGTAAGTGTTTGAGTACACTTTCTGTATAAGTGCTGTGCCTGGAAAAGTGATTAACGTAAATATACTCCCCAATTGCCCTGCCCATTGGCAGCATTGGTAGAGCTTGCGCATTGTATGGTGAGACTAATGTCAATCTTTGATTGACTCTGAACTCGCACCACTCAACAGGTTAGTACATGCCGTCAGATGGCACCACTGATGAGTGGTGACATAAAGAACACTTTGATGTTTGTCTCAACATACGATGCGCAAGCTCTGACATCAATGGTGCATCCTCACGATGGCAAGGATCCACTTTGTTATAATGTAGAATTCCTATAGCAATGTTACGACTGACAGCATCTCAGTGTGAATGAATTTCAGTAGACTTGGTGTTTAACTAACACTACTTAATCAATTGTATGGTAAAAATAATATCTTTGAAAAGGGTAAAAATAGGTGAGTTAAGTATGTTAATTTGCAATTCAGGTTAGAGTATTGAGTACCTGCCAGCTATGCTTAAAGTAAAAGAGCTCAAAGCGACAAATTTTCTAGTCAGATGTATTGATCTATAGCTGCTCACATGGAGCCTTAAAAGTCTGATAATGTTATCATCAAGGCAATCTTTTTAATTGGCTTGTCAATTTTGTTCTGCTAGGTACAATAAGCAATTAAAATACGGGTAGGTAACGAAGTTAATCAGAAACAGATTCCTAGGCAGTGTTTTCATTAGATGTGAGATTGAACAGGCTTTGATGATTTTTTCCAAGGAAAAAAATTCAGGCCTGAAATTTGGTTCGGAGCTCGTTTATCAATACTTAATGGAGATACAATGAAATGATGACTGCCGAAACGAGCGTCGTCAAGGTGTAAGCGATCAAAGGGGCAGTCGAAGATTATCAGACTAATGAGTAGCATTAGGGAGAGACATGGACATAGGAGTGACTATACTGATTGAATAGCTAAATTTCAACTCCAGAAAGTCTGAAAATGTGCTCAAATAAATTGATGAAAGAGGGGAAATAGGTAACCTGCGAGAATTGTGATACAAACGATAATAAACAAACGGGGTGGAATTAGAGTGCCTGATGAAAACACAATTTAGAAAATTAGGAAACTTCTGTGCTCAGAAGTACGAAAAAAAATTAATTAAGTCGATTAATTAACTTACAAAATTCCAAAAAAACGTGTGATCAGCGAAAGTAAATACCAAGAAAGCAGTGAAGAAGCAGAAGGAAAACAAGTGATAAATGGCGGATGGTTGCTGCTGCGCTCTACCGGTGTTTGTACGAACTAGTATGAACAACTACCAATCTTAGTGCACGAAATGACCTACAGGGAGCACTATAACTACTTCAACTTGATGAATTTTGACTGTTTTGACCTCAAAAAAAGGCAACATTAATTCAATTCATTTATTTTAGTTCAGTGACACATTAAAAATAATTCAATTTAAGCTCCATCCCCCACCGAGAGCACAGCTCGAGTGGTGGGTGTCTGAGCAACCGAACAGCATTCAGATAGAAAATATAATAAAAGACTTTTGTATATTGGATGTTGTATTTCAACGTGTTTTTTCTCTGAATTAATGCATTTTATCCTCGCAGAAATAGTTACCCTTCAAACTGTGCTAATCTCATGAAATACATAAATTTTCTATGTATGACCCTTACGAAAAAAAAAAAAAAAAAATATCAAATTAAATTCACCAACCTAATGAGACTTGTATGGAAAAACATAAGAACCTACACCTCTGAATTATTACCTAAGGACAGGCAACAAGCAATTTTCATCAACTCTTAGGAAAATATATCCGCTATGATATGTAATCGCTTCAAGAATCGCTTTAAGAGAACATTTTTGGCTATGTTTATAGAAACATTTGACATTTGACTCCAAACATTTGACTCACAAGTATTTTGACTCTTGCTTAAAATATTAAGTCTTGGAAAAAATGCCTACTTTGATAGCTTTCTTTTACACACTCATTTATATTGTTGAAAAATTACAGTTGATATTTTGAGAGATTTTACCAGTTTTTGAATTAAATTTTACCTCTTGCAAAAATTTTACTTTGAAACATAGGTAGGTATAGGATTTTTGGAAACAATCTTTTCTACAGTTTTTTTAAAAGTTGCCTCTTCAAAATTTACAAGATTTTGAAAACTTTTTTTCAAAAGTTGTTGTCACTGAGGTCCAAACCTTTATTTGCCATTCGAAGAAAAATGGGTATAAGGGACGTGGAAAAAATAGATGCAGAATCTTATATTTTGACTGGAAAGTTATTGCTAAATACCTATCTGTTGAGCTTTCCTTAGAAAGTGCGTATTCTTATTTTATCTTGTAATGAAAGATAGGGATTGTNGGGGGGGGGGGGGGATAATCTAAAACAGTGATTGGTGCTACACTCGCTCATTTTAAGGAGAAAATTTGAGTAAAGGATATTCAAATCAAATGCTAAAAATTAACACATAAAAAAACTTTATTGTAACAATTTTTAACAGCAAAATAACAATGACTTTATTCCTGCGAGAAAGAGAATACAATAGTAGGCTGTTCTTTTGGAAAACATTTCAAATGAAGGAGATATTAAAGAGGATTCGGGTACAGTAAAAGTAAAGACTGAAAAAGAATCATGGGCTACCAATGAAAAAGGTGAATGGCACCTGAAGATGAAGGCATGACAGTTACTTCACGTTCTTCCACGATGGCTGTTGTCCAGTTTACAAATTAAAGTCTAGATACAAATTTAACTATTTACACACAAGTACAAAAAGACATTCACGCAAGTATCCAATGATTTTTTAAAATGGCTAGCTTTGACTAAAGTTTTTGAAACGTTTAAAAGAGAACTGTAGTGATTTCAGTCCTATCCTATGATAAAATTGCATTTTCTTCCACAAAGTAAGTTATTACTAAGTTTAAGAAATTACATACTGTCAGTGAGACAGTGAATATAATTTCTTAAAAAACTTTTGACGCACTGACAAGCAAAAATCAAATTTCACAGGAAATTTCTATTAACAGAATATTTGTCGCTAACATGCTATAAATTTGAAAGACAATAATTAAAAGAATAAATTTGAATAGAGATAGAATCAATCACAATGTTTGCACCTCAGTTTTCATCATTTTAATGGTCTCATATTAGTAGCAATATTAGAGCAAAAGGGCCGTAACGAACATTTTTAGAAAAATCAAGATGCATTGCAAATATGGGGCTGCAAGGCATTATTTTGTGATATTTTTAAATGGGGTAAAAAGTAGAAGTTCAACCCCTCTGCTCCGTGCGGCTGGAATAATAATATAAACTTTCAGTTTCTTAGTTAAATAGTTTCAAAGGTAGCCTTCAAATTGGGGAAAAATTTAAAGAAAGTGATTGAAGATTGCCGGGAAGTCTGGCCTTTGATATGATCATTTATGAGAAAAATGGGCTAAGTATAAACAGGGAAAAAAATCAGGAGCGCGATTTTTGACAAGTTAGTTTAAAAACTTTAATTTGTTTTAAATAGACACTATGCTTGTAGACCAAATGACAGAGGGTCATAGTAATTAGACTTTTCTTCCATAGATCATTCATAGTAGACAAAAAGACTGGAGACTAGCCCCTTTTCTTGTGGACAGCTACATATGGGAAACTTTCTGTTGAAAATCAGTTTTAAAGTTCGTAGGGCTTTTGTAACAGAGCGATCTCTTAATATTTATCTTACATTAAACAGTTCTTACTTGGATCGCATTTAGCAAAAAGGAACCATCTCATTTACAGTGTTGTTAAAATGTTGTTCCTTCATTCTTATTAAAAAATCGACCAAAATAGCAAAAAGTTTTGGCATTCCAACAAAAAATTGTTAATTTTATGAGGGAATAAAATTTAATACTGTACATATATTTAGTATTTTTAAAAGAGAAAAAGAATTTGCACAATTTTTAAAACACGGTAATCATGCTGGTTCCGTTTTACTAAATACGATCCACTTTGACCTCTTAAGCGATAAAATAAATAAATGTACTCAAGGCAAGGCATGATAAGGCCAATACACAAAAAGTGATCATGGACTTAAGACAGTGAAATATTATTCAGAAAAAGATAAGAAAACAGTCTTGCAGATAAAATATCATTTTCTTTCCCTGTCTTTTAAAGAATTTTTGTTATAAGATAAAACTTACATCTAGTGAAATCATATTTTAAAAGCTTGGACTAAGATAAACTCAAGAGACAGGCGAAGGAAAAGTAGGAAAATGAAAAGGCTTATTAAAATCCAATGTGGATGAAAATGTAAAGCAATTGGAAAAAAAGGTAAAAATATAATATTTGGTGATTTTTCATGATAAGAACTAAGAAGATGTATACTATGTGCCATTTGTTGCAGAAATAAACATATCCTTTGGTCTTTTCATGAGATAAAAAAATGTGAAATAAAAAGAGAAAAGAGGCGAAGATTGTCCTAATTCTGAATTTTAGAATTGTATTACTCATCTCGCAGGTCTTGATGTTTCTCCTAATTTTCATTCTATGATTTATTCCTTGGGAATCTTACATATTAAAAATGATTATTCACTTTGTTATTTCTCGGTGATTTGTCTACATTTGTAAGTATTTATTCAGTCTTAACATGACTATGTCCTAGTTAATTTTCTAAGGTACAGTTCAAAAGAATTCATAAAAATGATTCTTTTCATGGGGTAAAGAATTCAATATTAACAGTACCACTTTTATTCTTGTGAGCAAGGATTAGAACGTTTTGAATGATACCTTTTACAGATGGATTTTCATACTTGTTCCATTATGTTGAGCATCCTCATCATGCTTTCACAATGTTTCCTTAATTCAACTTTAGTTGATTATTTTGATAGACCTAAAAAACTTTATGGCAGAGGTTAAATGCTTCTCACCATAAAATGACTGCCTTCAGGGTGAAGAATGCTGAATCAAAGCATTTAACCGAATGCATGAATAAAAGTTATCGCTCTTTCTAGTTCTTCAATTAAAAACAACAAAGGAATTTAAATGTAAGTTGTTTTCTTTCCGTTGATCTTCTCTAGCTTATCCCGTGAGATTCGATCAAAGAAAAGGAGACCAGCTGCGCGTTCAATGCTCTCTGGAGGAACCTAAAATAGAAGGAAAAATATCTAAGAATCATTGAAATTCATTGAAGTAGGTAGAAAGAGAGACGAAGGGGAGAGAAAAAGAGATACACAGTGGTTTTAACCTGGATTTACGAAGAGGTATTAGAGAGTAGGGCAGAGAAAGATGGAAGAGATTAAGGATTGATGTATGTTTGAAAAATGTATGACTAGAGGCATGTGCCTGCAAAGATATTGTTAGGTATCAAAGTGACACCCAACAAGTTTGTTATTAAGGTGATTCGTCAAGCTTAAGTGACGTGGTCGAACTGGCATGCGATATATTGCATTGATCAGGTCAAAAGTCTCGGCAGATATTGAATTTTTAGGAAAATAAGGACAATAGCCCCTGCGCATGAGCCTAAATAATTGTTCTAAACCGAAAAATAGGCAAAATTTAGAGAAATGAAAGCAGGATAGTGTTTGGAAAAAACCTCGCATTCGATTCAGCTATCGATTTCTGTATGGAATGCGAGGGTTTTTTCCAAACACTATCCTGCTTTCATTTCTCTGAATTTTGCCTATTTTTGGGTTTAGAACGATTTTTTAGGCTCATGCGCAGGGGCTATCGTCCTTTGTTTTGCTAAAAATTCAAAATCTGCCGAAATTTTTGACCTAAAAGACGCAATACATCGCATGCCAGTTTGATTACTTCTTTTGAGCTTGACGAATCACCTTAATGCACATTTCTACTTAGGTAGGTATTCCAGAATTTTTTCAACATTTTTTTTGTTTTTTATTTTAATTTTCTATAATTGTAATTACTATTGCTGGAAAGTGGTTATGAAAAATGATGGAAGAAGTCCCCTACCTGAAACACATGGAGCGGAGTATCATTTTCAATAGCTTTATTCGGCATCAGGTATGCTTCCATCTCTAATCGACGATCTTTAGATTCCATGACCACCACTTTGAAGAAATGCGTCGGCACAGCAACATTATTTGGACCTATAACTTGATAACTGATGTACAGTTTCCCATCACTTTCTCTCCTAAAAAAAGGAAGTCACATACTGTGTTATAAAACAATGAGTGTTGTTTTAATGTAAAATATGTCCAAACTTTCCTAAAAGTTGAAAAATTGATTGATTCTTCAAGAGTTTCACTGTCAATGAGTCTCTTAATCAATTTCATATGCAATTTTTAAAGTATGAAAAATAAACTTACTTACCTTGGGAGGTATAAAGGGCCGGTACAGACATACACATTTGCATAACTGTCTGTTAGTTTTCGAACATACTTTTCAAGCCTGTTCCAAGAGTCACGATTAAAGCCAGGGCCGACTTGAGGTGCCATATTGGAGAGGAGGAAGGTTTGCTCAACATGTTTTTGGTGAAGTCTATGATTTCCAGCTGCAGCCAGATGACCTCTATCATAACCACTCCTTTTATAATCCATATTTGTTGACCTAAAAAATATTCACACCTAAAATCAAACTCTACGTAAAAAACAATTTTTCTTTTCTCTAGCAAGTACTGATAGATTCTTGAGTTGGGCACCTGAAATCAATGGGTCAGTGGTATCCATTCTCATTATTTACATTTTTTGAGTGTACAATTTTCTGTACAGAGTGAGCCAAGCTTCCAGGAATTTTTCAGATTTTTTTTTTTTTGTCTCTAAATGGTGAACAAATCTCAGTTTTCAAAATGCCAAAATGGGACCCGTTTGAAACAATATTTATGGTGGGTTGACATGACGTGATCAAGAAGGGAGAACAACATTTGCTGATTGGCTGATCTCAGCTTCGGGCATCATCTTGCTACGTCAACTCCACTGTCAGCTTTGAATTCAAGAAGGTTTTGATTAGCTTTTCCTGCCCTAAGAAATTATTTTTTGAACTTTTCAATAAATTTTTTGGTTTTGGACTACTGCCATACAAAAATTCCTTGCCACTGAACCACTGTTTTTTTTCTCAGTTACATTTTGAAAATTCATGTGAAATAAAAATATTTATACATTACAGATATGTACAAATGTTCCTTGTAGAAATGAAAACATTAAAGTTAATAAACTAAATTAGTTTTATTTTACATAGGGCCAACAAGTATCAAATGGACGTATTCGTGCTAAAAGGAACTATGTTAATCCCTATGCACAAAGTTCTTTTTTAGCATGAATATGTTCAAATGAAGAGAGCAGGCTTCAAAATGTAGGTAGGGCCCTTACATGCTTCATGAGATAGGCAGAAAAAATATGCTAAAATACGGTTTCCTGGGAATTATCGTCCTTAAAAAGTGTTGGCATAAAAAGAAGTGAGAAAATTGATTTTGTGTAAAACACAGGGAATAATGAGGATGATTGCTTGATCAAAAAAATTAACAATCATTGAGTTCAGCCCTCTTATCAGAGTGCACCTCGTAATAGCATGACATGTGACGTCATGTCATCTTTAACAAGGCTTGTAAGCCTGAATTGCTGGTTGTTCTCTGTTTGTTAGACCAGCAAACACTATTTGGCATCTTGTTTTTGATCTTTCTTCATCTCTTTGGCCCTAAATTCTGTACTTCTGTTTGTAGACCAGCAACACTCATAAAATATTCAATTGGCTCCAATCAAATTCAAGTAAATTCTTATTGGCACACCCCCGCATCATTTTCGCATATTTCAGTCCTAACATTTAATAGATAATAAAACAAGAAGATCACACCTGGCATGCTTAGATTAGGATAAAAAACTCAAGATTCTTGCACACCTGAAAAAATGGTGAATAGAGGGATCTTCCCGGAACTCGCACTTTGAGCGGTCAATTGTTTCATTTTTCTTCAAAGTTTCTTTAGTTAGATGTTCAAAGACCCAATGCGCAACACGGTTTCTTTGATCATATGATAAAACATAATCGTCGTAGGACCTTATGTTCGCCAAACTTGGAAAGCCATACTTCATGATCTAAAACAGAAAATTGACACTATCAGGTAAAATTTTTCTGCAGTTTTACCATCAATATTGCTGGAAGGGTTCAAAAATTGCACTGCAGGGTTCCTCACACTTCTATGCATAAAAGTGTTTCATGGTAAATTAATTATTGATGACCTTTGATTTGAGTCCCTTCTACAGTTAGATGAAATAAAAGGAGAAACAGAAAAATTTTATATTTTTGAATACTAATGACGTACAAAATTATGTTTCATATTATATACTGCGACTGCTAATTGTATACTTGTTTACAGAAATGCAGAATAAATTCTAAAAAGCTTGCAGAATGATTGCAGATTTCTGATACACATTTGTGCTATTATTTGCTTTGTTCATACCTGCAACTTATAGATTAGCATCAGTTTACATGCTTGTGCTCAACTATAGCTTAGAGTTTGCCCCTGATAATTTGAAACTGACTTCTTGTTTCCAAACAACCGGACTGTTGTCGTTCAGTATGCTTACTTAAGGATTGACCAAGGATGCCGCCACTAATGCTTGTTAACACTTAAAACAGTCTACTGCAAATTACAGTCAGAAATAAACACTGGTCAACTTATCTGTCATGAGCTCTACCAGAGAGTCTCTTCCTTTTGTGCAGAGAATCTACCGAGAATGATTATTGTACAAAAGATGGACGGAATTCTCACTTACTTGTCCTACTCGATTAGGGGCCACCTTCCCGTCATTTGGAGTGGGTGGAGGTACTGGTACACCAGATTTTTCTTCAATGGTGAGTGGAGATGCGGCAGAAACTGTCCCACATAATGGAAGACCTGGAAGCTGTGGATAGTCAAAATACTCGCTGAGCTTCCTCCGCTCAAAGTAAATCCCAAGACAGACGCCTCCTCCGACACATCCGACCAGAGCGCTGGACTGTAATAGCAGCTTTCGATACATGGTAGGTGCATGAAATATCATCAATTACATAAAATTCATTGGATTTTAGTAAAGTTATGACAAAATTGAAATGGGGTGCTTCCTGTTCGATTGAAGTTCAGAGAAGCCAGGGATAGAGAAACAAATTGAAAGCCAATACCTTCACGACAGCGGAGGAAGTTTCAGGCACTTAACACTTTTCGAAGGTTTCGAAACATTCGTAATGTTCATTCCCAACTTACAGCAACGCAAAGACTTTTACAGTTTTATAGTGTCACATTCATTTTCATTTCAAACGGCAGAAGTTTCAGAGGTTAGGTGCTGTTCTACCAAACTGTCAAACTAAAATACAGTAAAATCAAGTAAAATACGCGATAATCAAAATACAAAAATAACTAATGGAGAGCATAAAGTGTTTTGAAAATGGTAAAAGAAGGAAAAAGAAAACACATATCAATCAGTTCGAATGTTAAAAGTTTCTTTGTAATCAATTTAGAGCTTTTTAAATTTCAAGTTCTCAGAGGTGCATCACTGCAAAAGAAATGTAAATATAAACATAACCTCAAACTTTCACATGTCATTTCGTGGCCTGGCTTTTTTGTTGTGTTGTGTTATGATTTTGTGAAAAAAATTTTCTCGTCGTATACTCTTATGTGTTTTTTAGCATCCATTTTGCATCTTAAAGGTAATGAAGGAAAGATAATTTCATCAGATTTTGTTATTAATTTTGAGAAATCTCTATTGAAAAAAATTATGCCACCGCTGACCAGGGCATCATTGTACATTTGAGACACCCCTCCGTTCTTTCTCAAGCCTCAGAGAAACGAGGATAAACTGTTAGGTCTATGTTTTTTGTTCCTGTTTAAATTTAGTTTTAAATACTCGTGTGAAAGCTTGCATTACTTTTGAATCATCAAGAAAGATGCTTGTTTTTTGAGTGTTACAGGTGTCTTTCATCAAGAAGAATCCACACAGGACAGTGAATTAAATACATCGGATGTATGTTCTTTAGGAAGATTTGGAAGTCAAATTTGATGAAACGCCACATCACATTGACTCCTGAACACGAAGTTTGAAAACTATGGAGTTATGTGAAGCGTATAAAATACTCATCACCCTCGCGGATAATGTGGTAATACCTACTATGCCTATTAATTCAGTATGATAATGACTGGAAAAGAATGATTTCTTCTTATCCTTTTAAATATGTGATATCACTAATTGCCATGACGCATAACACAGGAGTGAATTAGCAGGAATGTTGTCAGTAATTATTTCCTCCTTACATTTACATCCTTTAGCCAATTTCTTTCAAGACAGTTGTCAGAATGGGTGCAGAGCAAATCGACAGTGTAAATCCACTCATCTTGTTTGCGGTGTCTGAAAACCTCCGCCTCTATGTTATTTTTTTAAAGGAGAACAAATTGATATCATTTCTTGAAGTTTATGCAGAATTTTCTTTGCACAGAGACAAAAAATCAAGGTACTTTTAAAAAATTGCTGTTGACTAGTTTTCTGTTTAAAAAATAAAGTACGACAGGAAGTCTGCGACATCGCAAACCGAGTTATGTGATTGCCGACTTACACCATCAAAATACATCAACTAGCACTCAAATGGTCATCTGATCAATATAATTATTGCCTTTTTAAATTCCAAGGTACCTATTTACTTTCTACAACAGCCTTTTTTTTATGACCGTCACTCATTTACAGTGAAGGACCATTATCCCTACTTTATTCACCCAAAATTGAATCATAATTGAACCTATATGACTACACACACACACACTTCTCCACTTCCTTTTAACAAGCTTAATATTCTTAACAATATTATGAATTTATTTCCCTTTTCAGAAAAACAAAGACGATGAAATGCACTTAAAAAAGGAAGTAAAAAAGCAATTATTGCCAGCTTTCACAAGCCGGGAAGAGAGTAGAATAACAGAGGCATTGCAGTGTTATCGAGCTGTATGTAATAAATTGAGAACCAATAACTTTGAGGTAAGTTATGAGATTTTTTCCGTATTTTGCTTTAGGAGTCTACTTTATTTAAGAGCCTAAACTTGATCCATGATCCTAAATCAGATGATGATGCAAACTTTCACCTCTGCATCATTGCTGAAACATTTGTCTGTAAGAAATTTCTATCATCTCTGAAAAACTTGGAAATCACTGGGCACTAGGTCTGAGAGTGAGGTGGATGTGGGAAAATTTATTCCTTAAATCATGTAGCTTAATGTGTCAACAACTGGCTCAGGAAGTGGATCAAAGTTTCATGAAACCGGTGTGCAGAAGTTGTGAAGCCGATATGAAAAATTTAGAAATCTGGCGGGTGACCACATCCTGAAGTTGGGAAAGACATTGTAAAACAGTATATTGACTTCATTCAAGGAGATGCCCACCCTTTTTCCACTTCTCTCAATACCTTATTTTTTTTCTAACATTCTGCTGCGTATGGGCATGTTTGGAGATGTTGAATATCCATAATTTCTCTGCAACATGTAAGAACCAAGTTTTAAAAACTATAGCTTGTTATAGAGCTGAGAGTATGTGTGTTCCATTGCTTGGTTGACTTTTTTTCCTGGTGTTGATAGTTCTTGGAAAATGAAACAAAAAACTTAAAAATCCACCCTTGTATAACAGGACCGATTTAAATAATTGGAGGTCTCAAGAAAGGGAGCACTAGGTATTCAGTACTTACTTGCAAAGGAAAAGCATGAATCCAACTTGAAGGTAATTCAAAATAAATCAAAAGGGTGGATTCTGTGAATGCAGTCTTGACGGAAAATTTCAAATTACTTATTACAATACCTGCAGAATTGTTCCTCATCTGCTGATTCTTGTTGACAGTGGGATGTTCTAGATGACATAGACGACTTGCTTCTCTCTATAATGGAAAATGAGCAAAATCTTGCCTTGCGGAAATGTTATGAAGAAATTCTACTAGCGGTTGTCTGTGACTCAGGCTTATCCAGCTTGAAATGGTCAAATAGATTAACTGCGCTGTTCAAGGATTACTGCAGGGTTGATATTGGACCAGGATCTGGGCTGAATAGCCTCAAGGTGAGCGATCATTTAGGGCATGTTCAAGGCTCAACTAGTTTGACACTGATCACAAGCACCAAAACTTCCTATATTTCTTCTTTGTAATCCAGATATTCCAAAAGCACTGATCTGCTTTCCATATGAGAATTTTCTAAAATTTTCTATCATCCTCACATTCTCAGCTTTAACATGATACATAATGATACATTGACCCGATATTTTTCATCAACTGTCCAGTAAGAGTGCGTGATTTTTTCTTGTTTGCTCTCCAACATTCCCTAACTCTTCCTCAGAATAGGTGTAAAAGTTCCGTATTTTAAATGGACCTTCCGAAAAACCCTATGTATGTCCTATTAATTAATCAAATGACAAACCAATTCCCATCAAACTGAATGATGTAATAAGGCTTTACCATTTGCCGCCTTGCAAAATTTTCTGCTATATGTGCCTGCCCGCACTCCATGCTCAGATGTAATTCTGACCCTTTCCTCCCCTCCTTTTCACAAATTAGCTCTCTTGAGATGAAATAAAAAGCAAGCTTCAAAATTCCCTTGCTTGCTCAATTTTTTATTAGCCTTAATTCTAAGTCTTATTCTTCTGATCACTAATTGTTCACTTATGCCACTAATTTTCTTAAATTTTATTTTGCTTTTTCAGGCTCTCAAAGCTTTTATTACAAATACTTGGCCACGTTTAAAAGAGAACTGGGGTCGACTGACAGCAATTGTGTTGGAGTCGCTGTTTGATCTGTATCATTCAAAATCAATTACTAGGAGTGCAGAGGAAACTGATGAAATTAGGAATGTTTGCTTTGATAGCTTGGTGATTTTACAGAAAGCAGTTCCTGATGAAGTTAACCAATTCATTCAAGAAATTCTAAAACGGGACATATTTAATGCAGAACTCAACAAGCTTTTGAAAGAAGTTCTTGTCAGCTGTAATGAAAAAACTGAGAAGGAATCTTGAAAATAAAGTTATTGATCTAGTATCAGGAAACAATAGGTCAGCGGGTAAAGATTCAAGGTAACTCCCAATTTATGTTGCGCTCATTCTATCTTTGTAAGATCAGAAATGGCCAAGAACAGTATTTAACAAAGTGGCGAGCGTCTGTTTACTTCAATGAATCTGCCAATGTCAAATCAGCAGCAACCGTTTTTTGTATTGGCTAAATACCAACAGAAACAAGTCAAAATCATTTATTCCTCTATGACCAAACATTATAAAAGAGAAAGAAAAAGTTAATGTTGAGTTCGCAAGTTTAGATTTAAATTTTTCAGATGAATTTCAACTATCATGTTACATCATGCAAGCAATTCCAAACAAAGTCATAGAAGTTGTTCCTTTCAGATCTTACCGCATAAGATACTGCATTTATTTTTTCATTTTTAGAGGTAATTTTTTCTTTCTATGATTTCATTATTTGGTATATAATGGGTACTTTTGATCCAAGGCAATCAAAGGTGCGTTGTTGAAGTAAGCTGTTTTGGACTGTTTGGAAACCGAATTATCCGATGAAGTGATCGGCATTGTTAACCTTTATGACTGATTGAATTATGGTTTACTTAAATGAATGCCTAATGCTTCTACCAAACGCTCAACAATTTTGAGAGGCATGTAGGACAGTTGCATTTGGTGAACTGGAGAACCTAATGGGATCGGATAAGTTTGCTTGGACAACACATCCCAAGAATCTACTCTCCTCCCAAAATTTGAGGAAAAGTAGTCTTATCATCTACCAGAGAGTCAGTATTTAATTATTTTTTTCAAAGGAACTAACAGGTTACAAGAGAAAAAATTTCATATTTTCTTCTATGTTTTTTTTTACCTTGAAAATGTTAGATTTCATTTTGTCTTATATTTACCTTCAAGGGAAAACATTTTGAAAAGCGGTAACTTCTAATTGTGTACCTACATACTCCAGTTGAAAGCCGAATCATCTTGAGAAGAATCTAAGTTTTTTTAATATGTTCACATTTGTAGAAAGTAAGCTCAAATGAGAAGTGGTCATGAATTCAATAGGCAAATTAAATTATTTTTTGTATAAATGTCTTTGCTGTTACCATTAAATTGTCATTTTACAAAATTGTTTTATTTTTTTTTTTTTCACTGCATCTAGTCATTGTAATTATATGATGTAATTATAGTCATTTTAAGTCATTTTATGATGAGCAATGGGGAAGCATGTATTTCGTTACCTGATTGCTGTATGAAAAGACATAATTTATTTTTGGATGGTGAAAATTTATGGTAAAGGCAAAAATTAATAAAATAGGTAATATTTAGTAACAAATGTCCTCAGATGAAAGAAAACACTTTATTTACACCATGCTTATATGAAGAAATTTCAGCTTACTGAATTAGAATTTTTATGTTGTACAGCAACCTGGCATGATAAGACTCAAGAGATACTTCCTTCGATTTCAGATTAGCATAGGTAACTAGATTCTTGTAATGTTGTATTGTAAGAAGGAGGCAAATTTCCAAGCAGGATTAGGTTTTGTGTCGCCAACTTCTGTTACAACTAAACGAAAATCCCCTCTGTTATGACATTTAGTTTTTCCAGGAGATACTGGTCAAATGATTAAAAATGAGATACTTAGAAATTTAAACTTTAATTTTAGAACTTGCAGGATCTTATTTTTTGACAGGCGCAGAGAAAATGATTCAAAAGGAACACTGTTAATGCAGTTTTCACATTGCAAGTAGAACCAAAAATACAAAATTACAAAATTCAATAGAAAAACGTATTGAAAAAGTATACATACAAGTGAACAATGTAAGTATTTAGCTCACAAACATAAAAAAAAAAAAAAATTCTTCACAGAAAAAAATGACTAGAGTTCAGTCTTCCGCTCTATTAGTGTCAGCTCCACTTCAAAAATTAGTGTGGCGTGTGCAGGAATTTTAGGAGGAGCTCCATTTGCTCCATAGGCAAGGTCAGGAGGAATGATCAGTTTACGTTTCTCTCCTTCACACATTCTGGTGGCAAAGAGAAATACAAATTAACATCTTCAATACAGTCATGCAGTTATATTAATAAACAAAATGGTTTCAGAAAGTCAAGACAAGAGAAAGTCCTGCTACTACTGTATCACCTCGTTCTGGCGGGCCCACAATAATATAATCATTACTAACATGATCCCAAACTTTTCCTCATCTAACTACTGTAAATGCATAGCCTGTAGCCAAGTAGGTACTGCCCTACTAAAAAAGGGCACACTGCATACAGGAAGGAACAATGTAAGATCAATATACTTTTTACTTGAACTGTTGAAGGATTAAAAGAACAAATCAGTTAATACTTGGATTAATCATTGAGTAAAATACATACCAAAAATTGCTTTAAGGTAATCGTTTGAGTTATAGCATTTCTCGTAAAAGTGTCCTTGAATGTTAAAGAAACCGATTGTTTGTAAGTTTTGATTAGGTAGCTCTAAGATAAGCCTTTTTACTTACCCAATTAAACCTTGGTCCCAGCCTTTGATGACCTGCTCAGCTCCTAAAGTGAACGTCAGAGGTTCTCCCCGGGGAAGACTGCTATCAAAAACAGTGCCATCCTCTAATTTACCCTGGATTCACATGAAAAACAGAAAATGTAAGTCCTCGAGAAAAAGCTTAGAAAATTTTGAATGTAATTTACTGGTGCTATTATTTTTAAGCATCACTATTCAAGAGGGCTCTAACTTAATCCTCAAATTCAGGGCATCATCTTAGTGTTCAAGCCTAATTTCCAGGAGCTACTAAACCATCGACTCATTTGCTAACAGACAAAGAAATTCAAGGAGTTAGGATGCAACAGACATACGCCTTTATGGCGGTGTAAGTCAGCAATCACATAACTCGGTTTGCAACGTTGCAGACTTCCTGTCATACTTTATTTCTTAAACAGGAAACTACTAAACAGCAATTCTTTAAAACTGCCATGATTTTTCTTCTCTGTACACATAAAATTCTGCATAAACTTCAAGGAATGATGTCAATTCGATTTCCGTTAAAAAAACAACATAAAGGCAGAGATTTTCAGACACCGCGATTGAGATATGTGATTGCGGACTTATGCTGTCATTCAGATTTTGGCCGAGACCTTTTGGTCCCTTTACTTACGCTTCAGGCACTGCTCTTCAGCTTTTGATGGTAAATGGTGCATTCTTTGTTAGGGAATGTTTTATTGAACCAAAAGGTAAAATTTCAGGGCCATAAAAATAAATTGCTTTGATGACTGAGCGCGGGACAGATTGAAGAAATTCAAAGACATTACTTCATTTTACTTTAAGCATTTTCAGGAATTAAATAAATGGTACTGCATGGGTCCGTAAACTGTGGATCTAAAGAGTTTTGATCCCTCTTTAAGTGGCTAATATTAAATTGTGCTCACAGGAAAAGAAAAAATCAAATTTTTTAAACAGTAACTACTTGAAGCAAAAAACAAGTAAATATGTATGCAGAGCTCAAGATTGAGCATTGAGACTAAACTAGGTGACGTGAGTGTAACAACTGCCGCTGCATTCAACTGTCAAATGGCCGGGGTTCTTGAGAGGCAATATTTAATTGAAGCGCTGGGTGCAGAGGGGGCATTTCCTCCTTGCGGTGTCTCAGGATCTTCGTTCAAATTTCATGCACTATAATTGTAGCAAGTACATGGAATTTGTTGAGACTTTCACTGAACTGAATTTTCTTTATGATTTAACAATGCTGAGAACTGAAAATTTCGGAAAATTTACCCGAGAGTTCCCTCTCTAGAATGTAAATTAGCAGTGGGGATTCTGAAACACCGCAACCAAGAAATGCCCCTCTAGCACCCAAGGCCTCAATCATCGTAGTCTTTGAATTTTGTAGAACGCCAATTCATAGCATGTAGTGGCTCTAACACTAACAAACATGTGCAAAGATGTTATCACAGCACTGATGATGGGCAAGTTAAATACTAAATGATACGACAGATATGATATCAAATCCTCAAAACAAAATAATTTAACAAGAGCAATTTACCGTGTAATGAATATGGACAAAATCACCCTTCCTGGTCTTCTGGTTACAATTTGTGCCTCTTTTCGTGATTCCAATCTGCAGTTTCTTTTTCGGTTTACCATCTGCATTTGCTGCTACAAAGGTCACAGTGATCGCAAGAATAGCTAAAAGTGTAAAATTAGGCCTCATTCTGTGCAAGATGAAACAAGTTTATGGAAAAATGCCACACAAATGATCACAATAGTGAAGGTTTAAACATCAAACTGAAACATAGACACCTGTGCAAACATTGGTGTACCATTCTACCGGTGAACAGCAGAGAACATGGAACAGACTATAAATTTGCTATAAAACAACACCAGAAAAATTTATATTCACGCACCTCTTACAGATAATAATATAATAATATAGAAATGCTTTAAAAATAGGTTCTAAATATTTGTTCGCAGTCTCAGTATCACTTGGCTTGGCCGGCTTTTTGGAGGTTATGATACTTTATGTAAATATTTATCATTTCTTATCTCACCATCTTTGCATTAGCCAATGAGAGCTTAGCTCAGCCAAACCGGGGATAGAAATTTGACCGGAAACGGAAACCCTCAGACCGGAAATGATACGGAGAGGATTTTATAATGATGCTACTCTACTGTTTGCGAAATTAATAATTGTTACATACTCATTAATTGAGTTATTCAAAGCAATTCACCGGAACGACAAACTGAGTTTGTCCCAAGACATAATTCGATCGAGAAATAAAACAAGTCTCTATTTCTATATTATTTCTCGATCGAACTGTCTCGATCGATTCTTGCCGATCTTTTATTTTTTCACTTCTGTATTTACTTCCTTCTTCGTCTCAATCTGCTTTCCATTATTCAACTCATTTCTTTCCTCTCTGCTTCTTATTTTCTGCTTCATTTTTTCGTCCACCCTACTTCTCTTCTCTTCTTCTTACTATATTCAATGTCTGCAAAAAATTTGCTCGGAGGCCGTCTGACTGTTGTATGGGAGATAATACCACACTATTCGGACACGTGCGTGAGAGCTTGTGTTGCCGACACTGAAATTGAAGGCGAACTTACACGCCGTTCATGTAATTTTTTCCAATGTGGTAAATAGTAATTTTTTGCGCGTGTTCTGGCAAGCGTACACTTTCACAGTGATGCTTCTATTCAACTTCTTTCTCATTTCTCTTTTTCTTGTTATAATTTCAGAGATGAGAGACCTCCCGACGCGTCTTGATGACAATGAGATGACAAGGGTACAACCACTCGTAACAATGAGACAAACGAAACTATATCAGGGGCGGACTGGTAGTCAAAAAGTTAGGAGGAGACCTAAATGTAAGGGCCCCTCCTGACGTTCGGAGGCCCCTCCAAGAAGGTCCGGGGGCCCTCCCCCGGTAAATTTGGAACATTTCACACTTTTGAAACACGTAGGCATTATTGGAGTTGGATTGTACAGCACTGGAACTTCAAAATCACCCTGTCTCAGGATTCATCGGGGGTCCCTTCATCACAAATGCTTTTGGTGAACTTCCATGTCTCTTAGAGACAAATTTTCAAGGAATTCGGGGCCTTTTCGTGATTGAAGGGATAAGAAAATTACAACATTACGGGAAAAAAACGATGACTCGAAAAAAATTCGCCGCGGGGGCCCCATCGGAATCTCGGCGGGAAATTGGTAGGGGGCGATCGCCTACCCGCCCCCATGGCCAGTCCGCCCCTGGCCATGGGAGAAATCGCCTACCCGCCCCCATGCCCAGTCCGCCCCTAGCGGCAAAGGAAAGCCAAAAAACCAAGCGGGGACGCTACACTGAAAAAAATAGTATGCTGTTTTAGCACCTAGGATGTCAAAAATGTGTCTGGTGATCCCAAAATGTTGCCTTTACTGCCCTCGCAGTTAACTTTACATCCTACGAATTCAAATTCAACTGCGTGGGCAATCAAGGTAGCATCTTAGGATGACCAGACACATTTTTGACATCCTAGGTGCCAAAACAGCATACCATTTTTTTCGGTGTACTTCAATATTAAACTTCCATCGCCTTGCTAAGGCGCAGAGATACAACTATTTGAACTCTCCGGAACGCGTGAGGTATCACGCTTCAAATAAAGGCGTTTTTGAATCTTCTGTATTTACATGAAGAGGCTTTCCAAATTTTTTCGCATCATATTGTCGTTTTGAGTTCCTTATATTAATTAGTTAAATTATTCCTGCTTCTTAATTCACAATTATTTTACAAAAATTATCTTTTTGCGAAATACAATCCTGGCTTTAGCGCCCTTAAACTACGGCCTTAACGATCGGGACTGCAGTAGCGGCACAGGAAAGCCGAAAAACCGAACGCGGACGCTACTTCAATATTAAACTTCCATCGCCTTGTTAAGGCGCAGAGATACAACTATTTGAACTCTCCGGAACGCGTGAGGTTTGACGCCACATTTGAAGGCGTTTTCGAATCTTCTGTATTACATGACGAGATTTTCCAAATCGTTTTGCATTATATTGTAAATTTGAATTCATTTTACTATCTCGTTAAATTACTCCTGCTCCTAAATTTTTAATTATTTTGCAAAAACTATCCACTTGCGAAATACAATCCTGGCTTTAGCGCCCTTAAACTCCGGCCTTAACGATCGAAACTGCAGTAGCGGCACAGGAAAGCCGAAAAACCGAACGCGGACGCTACTTCAATATTAAACTTCCATCGCCTTGCTAAGGCGCAGAGATACAACTATTTGAACTCTCCGGAACGCGTGAGGTATCACGCTTCAAATGAAGGCGTTTTTGAATCTTCTGTATTTACATGAAGAGGCTTTCCAAATCGTTTTGCATTATATTGCATTATATTGTAAATTTGAGTTCCTTTTACTATTTAGTTAAATTACTCCTGCTCCTACATTTTTAATTATTCTGCAATAACTATCCACTTGCGAAATACAACCCTGGCTCTAGCGCCCTTAAACTCCGTTCTTAACGATCGAAACTGCAGTAGCGGCACTCAAACTAACACAATAAGGAAATAGACGGAGGGAAATGATGCGCATTGATGACGGCGCAGAGATACAACTATTCGTGCTTGATGGATGTCCATGTTGCATACGCAAAATTGAAGGCAATAGGCAACAATTGCGTTAGGCGTGAACTTGCAATGCTCCGTTCTATGCTGCAAGTGAGGTGACGCTCAGATTCGGGAGAAATATTTAAAAATCGAGGCGCGATTACGCCTTTCCTATCGTTGGCTGTTATGCGCAGGTAGTCGGTGAAACACTACTACAAATAAGACAAGTGGATGCAATGCAATATGGAAATACAGCAAGGGAATGAAGTACGTGCTTTGATGACGTTGCAGAGATACAACTATTCGTGCTCCCTGGATGTCTGTGTTGCATCTGCAAAATTGAAGGCGCAATTACGCGAGGCGTGAACTCGCAATGCTCCGCTCTACGCTGCCAATGGAGAGGAATGGAGGAGGCTAGATGTGTGAGAAATTTGCGATTTGACTGTTGATTCTTCTGTAAAAGTTCGCGAGAAACACGATGGTGCCACTGGTTTCCTCTGAAATCAACTCCCAAGCTCAAAAAAAGCTCTCAAGTTGAGACCAAAATGGAGGGGATAGGTAACTCACGCTTTCCTGAGAGTCCACCTCTACAGCAAAACAAACTCTCCATGCAAAAATAGGGAGCAAATATATTGACAGGGCTGCCACTTTATTTGGGGACTCTAAAACTGAAAACACGGCATCACTGCTAATGTATTTGCTCCCTATCTTTGCATGGAGAGTTTGTCTTGATATAGAGGTGGACTCTCGGATAGAGTGGGATATCCCCTCCATTTTGGCCTCAACTTGAGAGCTTTTTTTGGGCTTGGGAGATGATTTCAGAGAAAACCAGTGGCACCATCGTATTTCTCGCGAACTTTTACATAAGAATCAACAGTCAAATCGCAAATTCCTCACACATGCAACATCTTCATTATATGTGCTCAGATTCGGGAGAAAAGACGTAAAAGAAGGCCCGCATACATCTATCTAACTTTCAGCTGTGTTGACATGCACTCGATTTCCCATTTTTTAAAATTTGATTTCGATTCTTTTTTTTACGATGTATTTGTCTTATACCTGAAAGCTCGTATGGACCTGCCCCATACAACCCGCGGGGCGGTAATCCAGGATGGCGAGAAAGGTCCAAGGAAATATATGCGGATTTTCTCGAAAAAGGCATAAGGATTGCGCGAATAGAGACCTTAACATCTGCTGCAGGACTGCGCGAATTTAAAATGGAGTTAATTTTAAGTAGAAGGTTGGCAAAACAGGAAACAGTTGGAAATGTTATTATGTTAATGCATCTTTATGATAGCGCTGGTTCAGGTTAGTTTGTTGACAAGTCATCGATGTCTTACCTTCTGATGATAAATGAAGTGAAAAGATTGAATCCTGGTCGTGGGTATAGAGAACTTCCTAACTTTTCTCTGAGAAAATATTTGATTGAGAAAAACGAAGCAATGTTGGATTGCTCATACGGCGTCGAACCACAGCATAGGCCTTATAAGCACTATTATTCAATGGCGCGATTTTTCTATCGCAAGTTAATCGAATAATCGCGCCGAACGCAGAGCAGCCGGCGTTAGATGTATATTAGCTCCTGCATGACTGCATGAATACTTCTCGCATTACGCCAAACGCAGTGCAGTAGGTCAGTGGCGTAAAACGCTTATTAGCGCCTACAGGACTGTAGGAATGCTGTAGGACTGCGAGTCATCATTCTTGAATTATTAAAGGAAAAATATGTATCTTCATTGTATAACTATTCAAAAACACGGATGATATTTAAATATTTTTTGGTTACATTAAATAGAATGAACGAACATATCGCGTTGAAACTATCGATACTTTTATTTGAGATCGTGTATGTAAATTCGCAGAAACTGTTTAATTTGAAACCTGTGAATTTTCCGCGCCAGAAAAAATCACGCAATCCTACGCATCCCCAAAATGGTAAAAAAGGAGGCATTCGCGTTTCAAAAAGTGGTCATGTTTAAAAAAAAGACTAGGAAATTTCGAACAACGAAAAAAAAAAAAAAAAAAAAGTGAATTCAGCTGAATATTCCCGATGCATGGTGAAACTTTTCAGTTGCATGTTATTCAATTTTCGAAGAAACTCGTGCTAAAGAACATGAAACTTCTGGGTCACTTCAATAGTTAAGAGCCGTATGACCTGACTACCTTTTGATGCAAACGAAATTTGGATCCATCTTTTCAGTGTGAAATTTGGGGAGGGGAATAATAAAAAAATTAATATAAAATACATTAATTTGCGCTCAACCCTACAAGCAAATGGTGCACAATAAAACGGAAATTTTATCTTTTCTGAGACCCAAATCGCATATTTCAACGGAAAAATCGCGATGGTTTGAAATTAGGTCTCGATTTTTTTTACGATGTTTTGGCGATAAAATCGCTAGGATCATCAATACCGAGCAATTATCCTCGATCTCGTCGCAATTTCATCTCTATAAAATAGCGTTCGATAAAATCGAAATTTTATCTCAATTCATTACGATTTTTTGTTCGACATATTGCGATTGCGATAAATCACCGTCGATAGAATCGCGATTTTTTTTGCAAATTCATGCGATGAAATTGCAATTTTCATCCGATAACATACAATAAATCGACGTCTATAGAATCGTGGTACATTCTACGATCAAAACGCAACTTATCGCAATCATATGCTATTTGGGGATGAGGGATTTCCGAAGCAAAGTGTCCAATTCTGCCCACACACTGGTTTCAAGAGAAATTGAATTTTATGTAACAGTAATGTAAAAGCTCATTTTCTCATTGGTTGGCGAGTGTGTAATACAATATTTTATAACTTAGATTCATAATAGGATACCGCTCCACCGCGCCGTTGTGCGTTTGATGATGACCTTGACTTTGAACTTTCTCGACGAGCAGCTTATCAGTGTATGCTTTCATTGAATGCTTATCAGTTTTGCTTGAACGTGTATACATGAAAAACATTGCAATTTTTTTGCTCTGGTTAGATAAAGACGTGCCTAAATACTAAAAATTGAAAACGGGACAGCGGGCGTATACATTTTTTAACCGAATAATAACATAAAAATTATATAAGAAGTGTATCAAGTCGCATGCACTGTAAAAAGAACACAGCCTTGCGGATAATCTCTTGCGTGTCTGAAAGTCTAAATTCTCAGAGGAGGCATTATTTAATTCCCAAATTTATAAATCTCGAAAAGGAGCTAAGTATATTAAAGTCAGGTAGAGTCCATCCGGCCATAGACTGTATGGTCTGTAATACACCCATGAGAAGCTATTACAAAATTATAAAAATGATCATTTATTAAAGAGGATCCAATTTTTTATAAATTCAGACCGAGTAAATAATCTAAAAGAAGTACCAGTTAACCCTCCTCGAAAACCAAAAATAAAATACAGCATAATATATCCCTACAGGATTCATTTAAAAATCTCAAATTTTCATGTGATATTATTAGTCAAAAATTGCTGAAGAAAATACTGGCTAGGAGAAAATGTACGTCGAAATTTTTCTTTGAAAAGTTAAAGTTCTGAGTCTGAGATAGGAATTGACTCACGGCCACTGACTCACGCCCTTACGCAAAAATAGATTCATCTTGGGCTAAGTTCACATTCAAATATCGATGACCATAGTGGGAAACCACTTATCTCCATTGTGATGTTTCAAAATTTCCTCTCCTATTTTCTTTTTTAAAGAGAACTTTGTCAGCTTTATGGCTAGAAATTCATGCAAAATATTCTGCTGATATAGAGAAGCAATATCAAGGATGTTCTCGAGGAATTATATACAAAGAAAAAAATCAAGTATGACAGGGAGTTTGTAGTGTGGCAAACAGAGATACGTGGTTTCGCACTTTGGGCATCGATATCTCAGGCATTGTCATCCGAAGTTTCATGATGTTAAAGTTTAAAAAGTCTCCACAAGAGCCACCTAAATATTTGGAAGTGAATAAAAAATGTGAGCAAATCATGCGAATCCCCTTCGCTATGATTGTTAATGATAATTAATGGTTATTGAAATCTTGTCATAGATTGGAGTGTGATTAAGACACTGTTAAGAAGACAGACGATTGTTAATAAGAATAATGACAGCATGCGTTTGAAAGACGTTTCCTAGCTAATATTTGTACAACAAAAGACAGTTACTTGAATCCGTTGAGAAGTGTGACTCGTTTTCAGGTATATTTTTTAATCTTAGTTCGCCTTCTTAGTTTACCTCTAGTTTCGCTCCTCGATCCATTTTGTAAGAAACGTTTTCCAGCTGACAAAACTAGTTTTCTACATATTTTTGGTCGATTCCGCAGTTAAAAAAGTGCTGATAGCTATTTCTTTTAGACGATACGGCGATTTTCCATAAAACCGCGTTCCTAACAATAATATGCTCGTCATACCGTTTTGGGCGATCTCACAAGAACCGGGAAAAGGCATGTTAGGTACCGGTAGTTATGAGGTACTCACTGTAAAATATTTGAAAACCAAAGTGAAAAATTAACCGAAAGTCATAACTCAGTTGCAAAAAAAAATAAAAAAAAAATAAATTAAATTTTCTGACAATTTGCCTGATAAATGTGCAAAATTTCGATCTCCTTGCTTTCACGAGAAAAACATAATTTAAAACGGATGTGCGAGTCCAGTTCGAAAATCACAGGCGGTACTAAAAATGACCGTGCTCGCAGGTTTTGACGAAATGTCTCAAATGTCAACACTCCGTGAGGATACTTTCTCTGGGTGAACGTAAAAAGTAACAAAATATGGACTCAGTGAAACAGGTCTAGAGAGTAAATCTCCCTATCTCCTGCATCCATTCATGACGGTAAAATCGCGAGACCGTTACGCAAGCCAGGTAGCGTATGGATCTATATCTAACTTTTTTCCCCTCTTTTTTTTCAATTGAGTTTTCCATTCGCATATAGAGATAATGGGAAAACAAGCTTGCGATTCGCCCGGCTGAAGTTCAAGTCATAACGTATTAGATGGAGAGGGGGAACTCTTTTTATTCATTACTATTTTCTAATCAAAGGAGCCCATTTTTCACGTAACGCATACATGTTCAAGTCCTTACAGGATACGGGTGTGCAGGGTCATAACACTACACGCAAAATTGATATCGTTCTACTCGTCAGTTTTGGGAACTAAGCTACCTGTTCAAGAGTTTTTAAGCAGATAAAATTTACCGTAAGTAAAACGAAAAATAGAATTGATACATATCTATGACTTATTTTATGATTCATATGGTGAAGTTAGTACTTATGGGATTACAATTTAAATCATTTTATGTCAACGAAAATTATGTGCCGCTTGTTAGAAGTAGCTATAATTTATATTCTTCGAAGTCTTCTAAGTTGCATGAGGTCCCCATCCCCCCGTTTTCAGTCTTAGATGAGGGTATGCTAACTTAGTGTCTCGATGAGGAACAATAAATAATAGAAAATACTGAGAATTAAAGCCTCTAGGTAATTAAGTATCCACGGAGAAAGCGCGAGAAATACGAATTCAAATTTCCTTTAGTTCACTATAATTTTCTGGTTGAGGGTTAAACTCAGATGGCTCGATACAGGCACCGTTTCAAAAATCAAAAAAGGGTCCAATTTACAAATTAGTATTTTTTTATTTTCACGATGATTCACTCCAATTTAGTTCTGTCTTTGCTGGTGGTCTGATAATTTTTCTGATTAGAATATTATGTTCAACTCAGGAAGTAGATGTGAAAAAGAACCGTGTTACTTCACTTAACATTTTTGTAATGAATATGTCATTCACTCGTGGCATTTTGATAATTTTCATTCAAAATTTTTGAAATTTAAAAAATCTTTAAAATTGACATAGATTAGCCTCCACGTTACTAGATTGTTAGTTTCCGTTAAGTGAGAAGGATATTCATTAACTATGAAATACATTTTTAGAGTTCGATTTATTTCAGTTTACGTAAAATGGGAATATAACATGTTGTATACGTATTATTCATCACGTGAGAATATTATCAGTTTGAACGTTGTGGGACCGAACTGGCTCCAAATTTTTCAGGGGACAGATCCCCCGAAAATTCAATTGGGAGCTCTGTCTGAAAAAAAGGAGAAAGAGTTTTCAAAATGACCTTTAGAGGCTCTGCGATATCACTAAAAAGTGCCGAGTGAGGCCCTCAACTTTTACGCAAAGAGGCCCTCTGCAAGGCCCTACTATTCACAACTCAGAAGCGATCGCCCCTCACCCTCCACTCCCTCAGGCCTAATTTGCCCCTGCCACATCTGTGTGTAAAATCATCACTTAACGGTGCATATCAATGACCAAAGTGTGAAATCACATAACTTGTTTGCAACTTTGCGGACTTCCTGTCATACTTTATTTTCCCCTTCAAAAATAGCTAACGCAATTTTTTGAAAACTTCCTTGATTTTTCTTCTCTGACAGCAGAATATTTTATAATAATTTCCAGCTCAATCGGTGGCTTATTTCTCTACGAAAAAATAAAATTGGAGCGGCAATATTCAAACACTGCAATGGAGGTACGTGTTTTCGCTTGTTAGCCATCGAACTAAATATTAAGGGATCAAATAAAACCTCATTAAGTTGGTAATTTTAGTCATAATTTTTTCTCAGTGCGGAACCCCTATGTAATGAAGGTCTCCTCTATGTGAAAACCTGGTAAACCCTTATAAGGACGTATTTCTACCAAACGGACCTAATAAGCGCCATAGGGTGAGGAAGGTAGAGGGGGGCTTGGATTGGCGGCGGAATCGGGCGTCCGGTTTATTCCATCCCACACTCGCAATGCTTTTTCATGGCGCTTAGGTCCGTTTGACAGAACGCGCTATCCGGGATTCTAAATTCCTCAAAAAGGAACTCAAATTGGCGCTTAGTTCCGTTTGATAGAAATACGTCCATATTACTCTTATCATATCTTTGCATTTCAGTGAATAGTTCTTCTTGTGAAACTGCAACTGGGGCGTGCTGAAATCTCGTGGGGTGCTTTAATTTGACAACAATGCTGCCCTTACCGAGCCTAGCGCTAAACTTGGCAGCGTTGCTCCTGCTTTTGGTAGCCTGCTTCGTATTTTACGTGAAAAAGACCCATGTCCACTGGAGGCGCCGGGGTGTACCCTTCCTGGGGCCAACGCAAGATGTCGTCCTTTCACGACGCAACAAATCCCTGACGATCCAAGAGCGTTACCGCCGCCTCGCACCTCATCCCTGTGGGGGCGTCTGGCTCGCTGCCAAACCCTACCTCATCGTCCGCGACCCCCAGATCGTGCAAACGGTGCTCATCAAAGCCTTCTCGCACTTCACTGATCGTGGCCTCATCATGCCGGAGGATATAGACCCTCTCAGCGCCAACCTCTTCAACCTCAGCGGGGACCGCTGGAAGAACATTCGAATTAAGCTCATCCACAGCTTCAGCGCTGTCAAGCTCAAGTCTATCTTCATACTTCTAGAGGAGTGCACCAAAGTTCTAGACAAGTAAGCGCAGTTTTCTGAACTTTAAGTACATGAGGGGCTTGGAGGTCAAGGCACATAATTGCAGTTTTTGCTATTTCGAGAAATGGAGAATCTGCATGCACATTTTTTATTGCTTCATCTGAAAGTGCTTTAAGAGCTGATTTCAGCTCTTTTTTTATAATTTTTTCTGATACGGGAAATAGTATAAAAATAGATCAAAAGTGAGAAAATGCACTGCCTAGTGACGTCATCTGGCGGCATTTCCCATTTAAACACACGTATTTTAGCAGATTCGATCATTTTTTCATATCTTCTCCAATAATTGTTCAATTTATGAACCAAGGGTATCCTCGTGCTCAGTTCACTCTGTAAACATGAAACTAAGTTCCATTTAAACATGAACTTCATCAAATTTCAGACACTTGTAAATATCTCTATTCGTGTTTGAGGGTTCGAGATTACATGGATCCTCATGACGGAAAGAAAGGTCAAACCGACTTTTTGATGCTTGAAAATTGGAATTTTGGAGCGATGTTCTCAAAAAAGATATGCATTAAGACTTGTTTTAGTTGAAATCATCAATATCGCAGTTTTTTCAAGAATTGCACTGATGCGCTTTTTCCTCCAAGTCCCTCATTTTTAGAACAGGGGAGGATTGATTTCAATCAATTCGTCTGATAATGATTAGTTATTAGTTCTGATAATTTAATAGCGATGACGTCCTTGGATACTCACTATGGTTAGGATACCTACCTATGCATTTGTATGATTGGCATAATTGAGGAATTAAAAACTGCGATTTTTCTTTTAAAAAAGTAAGATTCCTAAAATTAACTTAAAGTACATAGATCATCCTCCGCTCTAATAAAACAGAGAATAAAAGCAAACTACAAAACTTTCAAGTAGGGATGCAATCCTTGAATAGACATACGGCTATTGAGAGACATGGAAGCCAGGGCGCCTTCAAATTTTTTGTATGCAACCCTAACAACCATAGAGTACGAATAGTTGTATCATGAAGGCGTTATGAATCTTGCCGCGTCGTGTCGTGTCTTTTGGACTATCATCGGGGCCAAGACCAATGAATCAGAGGAGAGGGTAAGAACCTGAGAGGTTAGCTATCCAAAAATATTTCCTCACGAAATTTTAGGCAGAACATATTCAACTCGTTTAAATATGTGTAACTTGCAAAGTAAGTGAAAATCGTCAAAAAAAACTTCTTGCTCGGAAATCAGAATCAACCTAGGTCGATCGGCTATTTGTGGTAGATTTTCATCCGCGTCAAACCATTGATATTTCGCCTCTCAAAACCTGTTTTTCCGCCTCTGATGCGTGAAACATTGAACATTTTCTAGAAAATTTCAGCACTGAGCTTGAGCTGACATTCGAACCTTACCAAGTACACTGAGATTAATTTTACGTCGAATTCAACCATCGACTAGATTTCTTTCAAGCAATTAGCTTTTTTCCTAATCATTTCCCAGATAACCAACTCCAAATCATCCCTGCTTTATCTGCCAATGTAAAAATTACATACAATTTTTGTGAGGAAGAATCTTCAATTCACGTGAAAAAGATAAACTATTCACGTAACATTCATGTGATAACATGAGAATTCTTTGTAATGACTATAACTAGGGCCCACGAACGATGATCCCTGAGCCGCGGGTATTCCTTGCAAACACTGGCAACAGCGACATCCCGGCCCGAACCGAATCTCGAGTTCGGGGACAATGCCGAGCCGAGCCACAATCGAACCCTAATTACTTACGCGTAATTTACAATTTCACCCTCCCGCTAGAAAAAACCAAAATTTGTTGAAAGTTGTGTAACATTTTTTTAGCAAGTGTTTTGTTACTCTCCTTTAAAACACGAGTAAAAAGAGGCCTCGTTTATAAAAATCGGTCGAATAGCAGCAAAATTACAGTTCGAGATACGACGTTATAAATAAAAATTGGACTTCGCTTCAAAAAGGAAAGAGAAGGAAAAAATAAAAATTGTATATAACAATTATATATGATTTAGCTCAGAATTTTACGAGCAATCCAACCTTGTAATGGACGAAGAGATTGGGGCGAAATTACAAGAAATTGGTCTTTTACGAAAGGGCTTCCTATGAAGAATTTTGACCTGAAGATAGGGGTAGAATAGCAGCAGTTCGCATACAATAGCTTTTCGTGTTCACAATACCCGGTCTCGTCGATGTGCGTGCTCGACCCTGCAGCGTTGTCATTTACATGGCCCACGCGTTTATTCGCCCGATTTTTCAGGGATCATCGTTCGTGGGCCCTAGTATATACTTGCCTTCTTTTTAAAAGCGTAAATGATGTAAAATGGATGTAATAATAAATCACATGACAATTTATTATGTATTTTCCATCAAAAAAAAAAAAAAAAAAAAAAAAAAAAAAAAGTCTTATTAAAACACGTATATATTACGGCGCATTTAGTGAAAAGTTAGACGCAAGATGTTTTCGTAACAGAAACTAGTAAGTAGCTGCAACTTGGGGAAGACAAAAGCACTAAGGATGAAATCGTGAAGAATAGAAAAAGCCTTCACTTGTAGTGCTGAAAATTTCGAAAAATCACCTAATATGAAAATTCAGATTTTTAGGGGGCAATTTTGAGGGGCCACGTTGGCACCTGTGAGTTTCGAACACTGGTTCTTATGTAGTCGTCCATTTGATTTTGAATACATGTACATCCCATCTTCATGGCTTAAACTTTTACGGTCGTCCTTCATGCCTAATTTTGGGGTCATCCTTCATGTGTAAATTTGCGTGAACGCAGGTACCTGCAGGAGAAGCTGAAGGACGCGCCGGAGCTGGAGGTGCGGGACATGATGATGCGGTTCACGATCGACGTGATCGGGACGTGCGCCTTCGGGTTCGACTGCAAGACGATCTTCGACGCGGAGTCCGAGTTCCGGCGGGTGGGCCTGAAGTTCGCCCCGAACTGGGTGCGGATGGCCCTCCGCGAGGCGGTCGCCGCCGTCCACCCGCGCATCGTCTCCTGGCTCAACTGGAAGAACATCCACCCGGAACTCGAGCACTTCTTCACCCGCGTCACCGAGGACACCGTCCGCGCCCGCAACCAGAGCCCCCTCAAGCGCAAGGACTTCATGCAGCTCCTCATCAACGTCCAGGAAGAGGAGAGGAAACTCCTGCAGGGACAGGATCCCAAGGATCAAGGTGAGTCCGGTCTTGTCTCTGGACCGGACCAGAGACAAGAGACCCTCCACTGGCCTTCTAGCGATAGGTGGAAGCTTTATCTTTCGGGGTTTCAACAATTCCTTATGGACAGTTATTAGGGAGCAACAGTCATCACCCTAATTTCGGCTGTTGATCTACCTACATGGTCGATGATGAGCTTCGGGTGACGTCATGAGCCAAGCAAGTTTCCCAAACGTTGGCAATTTTTGGCTTGTTTGGGAAACGAAACTGCCAACACGTTTTTGAACATCAACCATGTAGGTAAGTCAACAATAGAATGCTGAAGTCCCGAAAGTAAAAGCTTCCAAAATGGCCAAAATACTAGTGGAGGGTCTCTTGTCTCTGGTCCGGTCTGACTCTATGTCAATAGGTCCCGGGTTCGAGCCCCGGTGGTGACGACGAATTTTCATGGAACTGACGAGTGGATCTGCAGAAACAGATTCCATTTGGTCTTAATCCCTGAAAATTTAAAAGCCTGGAGCATGGATGTGCACTAACCCTCACCCGATGCTCATTCAAGGTTGCAGCATCCTCATATGGAATAAACACCTCAAATAACTTTAAAAAAAGGTTAGTCCGCCACACAGTGAGAAAAAATAACCGACATTGGAGAATTTCCAGGTGTTTGAAATCTTGTAAATTTCATGATAACCCTTTGTTGCATACCACTGCATGAAATTAACAGATGGTTTTCGACCTAATTTCTATGCTTGAGTATTAAGTTGATCAAAGCAAGAAATGGTCTCTGGGAAGTACTATCAGTCTGATCTCCTAATTTTTTTTATAAAAAAAAAAACACTAAAAAAACCAACTTAGCTGCCTCTATTGTCGAGATACGTGGGTCATCCAAAAAGTAAGGTTCCCCACCTTGTATCATTCGAACGAAAAAAGATAAATCAAATCGGTAAAAAAGAAATTATTAGACATATTTTAAGCTTTCAAACAAGCTCAAGTTTTTGAAAATCGGTTAAGAGGTTCGCGAGGAAACTCACTTTAACTGCAACAACCTCCTGTTTCCGGTGTAACCTCAGTCTCCTTGTCTACTTAACTCATGCAGCATCGTCAATCTTGAACTACTTTTCTGAAAATCATCTCTGTTTCCCATATTTTCCTTATGATTAATCTTTCGATTATCTAGTACTTGGTATTTCCTCCTTATAAGGCTCCACTACGGACCCAACCTTGTGTTTAATTGTATTTTTTTTTTTTTTTTTTTTTTTTAGGCAAAAAAATAATTAAAAAATAAAAAAAAGTAACTAACATTCTAATAAATTTCTTAGCCGCAAAATAACAAAGGGAATAAAGCTTGTACTTAAACTCATTTTTTGTAAACTTTATGAGCATAATTATGAGGAATGATGTAATGAGGTGGTACGTCTCTTTTTCAGAGCCCCTGTTCACGGACCAGATCCTGGCAGGCCAAGTATTCCTGTTTTTCGTGGCTGGATTTGAGTCCTCCTCGATTACACTGAGCTACTGTCTCTACGAGCTGGCGTTGAATCCCGACATTATGGATAAACTACACGATGAAATTCATCAGGTGCTGGACGCGCGTGATGGAAAACTTGACTACGACACGTTCAAGGAGATGCCTTACCTGGAGTGCGTCATTTATGGTAAGTATCCAGCCCCTAAATCCTTTGACTGTTATAAGCGGCTCGACTCCTTATATATAGATCATAAACCTATAATGGATCTATTGCACACATCAAGAGGCACAGTTTAAGGCCTTGTCTCCACGGGACTTTTTTTTATGAGATTTTCGTCTCAGATCCCGGGGTCATATTACGAGAATATAAGTTCTTTAGTATCATTTATTAACGGAAAAATCGCGATATTTTGATGATAAGTTGAGATTTTTTAGGATTTTTGGGCAAAAAAGTCGCTAGGATCATCAGCATCCACGCAATTATCCTCAATCTTGTCGCAATTTTATCTCTACAAAATCGCGCTCGATAAAATCGAAATTTTATCTCAAATTATCACGATTTTTTGTCCGATAATGTTGCGATAAATCGCCGTTGATAGAATCACGCTTTTATTGCTTTATGTGATAAGAGCGCGATTTACCAGAATTTGTTAACCGAGAATATTGCAATAAATCGTCGGTGAAAAAATCGCGATACATTCTCTGATTAAATCGCCAACTTGCTGTGATCACTGCTACTTGGGTTCGGGAATTTTTCACAGTTATGTATTTCCCAGATTGCACTTTTGTTAGTTTTCCTCAAAAGTCTTAGTTCAATTTAAAAAATAAATGATAAGTAATTATTAATCAGTGCGAGATAAAACCAAACGCGTAGCTTTACTCTGAAAGATGATTGTCCTCCCGAAGTTCAGCGTCTTTTAATCACTTATCAAAGCGAGATGCGAATAATCTGGGTGGGAATGGCAAAGGCCTAATGCCATTCCGGTGAAAACTCGTTTCCCTGCTGAAAATTGGCGATAGGAGCTGCGTTTCAAAATACCATAGGAGTTCTTATAGCCGACTGGAGAAGGCAATAGAAAATCATATAGCTGGCTGTAGAAAGTGGAAAAAATCATACGGTCGGGCTACACGAAGCGATAAAAAATTATACAGCCGGCGGGCTATAGTTCCTATCGCCGGGCTTTACTTTTTATCGCCTGGCTGTTGCTTTTTCGCCATCGGATATAAAAGGCTATAAGAAATTGCGCAGAAATTCGTGTGCTTTATAAATCCTTAAGTTTGTACGGAATCACCTTAATATTTATAAAACGCACATTATATTTTCCTTTAATACATATTTTTTTCATCAATTAAAATGAGAATAATCCATACAGAGTGTGCAAACATTTCAAAGTCATGAGTTGAAAAACGCTGACTCCACGAGATTAAATATTAGAGCCTGACACAAAGCGGAGCGGCGGCGCACTGGCGCCTACAAACCTAACCGGGATACTTCACGCATTGCGCAATGCGTGAAGTATCCCTGTTAGGTTTGTAGGCGCCTATGCGCGTATTGCGCTGGCTGTCCGCCCGCCGCGCCGAGCTGTAGCGTACCACGGCGCTTGAAGCAACTATTTCGGACCAGAGGTATTGCACAGTATCATAGGAAATTGAAGGCGCTCCAACATATTAGGAATGACAGGCATCCTTCAAAAGTACGGAGCTTTTCTCGAAAAATAAATCAAGATACTACGGCCCAAAAAGAGAGCGGTAGTCCAAAAACTCATTAAGTCCTAGCATCCGTAATTAGTAACGTTTAGCATACACTTTATCGCCAGGCTGTTGCTTAATCGCTATCAGCTATAAAAGGCTATGAGAAATTGTGTTGCCGGCTATAGAAGCTATTGGAAATCTTACAGCCGGCTGTAGGTCTATGGTATTTTGGAACACATATTCTACTGCCAACTTTTACCAGTGTAGATGAGAAAGAGCCAACACAACCGCTTAGAATGCTCACAGAATATTCTTCACTTAGAGAAAAAAATGAGGGAAGTTTTCAAGAAATGACATTCAGCATTTCTTCCTATTTAAAACATAAATAATGACTGGAAGTCCACAGCGTGGCAAATCGAGATTCGCGTTTTTGCAGTTTTGCCACTGTATGAAACATGCAGGAGGACGCATATTAGCGGGAAAAGCCATAATCGTAACCATTTGCATTTTTCAGAGACACTCCGAAAATACCCAACGCTCGGCTGGTTGGACAGGATTTGCACGAAGACTTTCGAGGATCCGAATTCATCTCTGATCATCGATGAAAACACGAATGTGATAATCCCGGTTTACGCGTTGCACCACGACCCACAGTATTTCCCGAATCCGCAGAAATTCGACCCGGAACGGTTTAACGCCGAAAATAAATCAAGCATCGTCCCAGGCACATACCTTCCCTTCGGTGCTGGACCTAGAATATGTGTCGGTAAGAAAATAATCTCTCCTTCTTTCTGTTGGTAGCATCATTTGGACGCGGAGTTAAACAGAAAGGAACCAAGCCACATCGAGATCGAACCGAGAAAAAGAGGTTTAAAGTTTGGCTCCTGCATAAGACTCAGTGTAAAAGATAAACCTCAAGTTCGATTTCTGCAAAATTTGCTCCAACAAAAACTTTGAATTTTTGGCGATAGATAGTAGAGCAGTGGTTGAGTTCAAAACCACTCATAACTCAATTTTTTCCAAAATGTGGGTTGGTTCCTTTCTGCTTAACTCAGTCCATTTATGAAGGTCCAAGAATATCTTAAACAGGGAATACTTACATTCAACAGACCACCGGACATATTATGAAATCGAGCACTGCACAGTAGCGATTCTTAAAAGTTGTCAGTTTTTTCTCCATTTAAATGTTTTCGTAAAACAATGAACTTTTCACCTAAAATCGATATCTTTAATGAATTTAAATCGAGGAAACACAGTATGTCTCCAACTTGCTGAACATCGCTACTATGGCACTGCAGCACAAGTTTTGTCATTAAAATTTCACGCAGAACATGTGGAACAAAACTGAATTTTTCTAAAATTATCTCTGAAGTGAGAATTATACTATAACTATAACTCTCTGATGTTATAATATAGGCAGTAACTTTAAATCTCTCGCTGGCAAAAAAAACCGAATAGCACAGGAAAATACCATGTTAGCGCTTCCTTCAGAAGAATACAAATATGGCGAGAAGAACAAGGAGAGGGGGGGATAGTCTTCGTCTGAAATTTTTGTAACTTTGATCGGATGAATTTATGAGCCGAAACTCAGATTTCCCAGAATCACTTAAAAACCAATCATCCTTCAAGTCCTCCACCGAATTCTTGTTAATACTCTTTGTTCTCCCAGAAAAACGATTTCTTCGGTAATGATAAACAGGAGCATCCTTAAAATCACAAACAATGAGCGAGATGGTAGGTATCTACGTTCGCATTTTTGTTATTTTTGATTGGTTAAATTTACAAGCCGAAATTTGTGTTTTCCACTGACTTCATTAAAAAAAAAAAACTATCGTCTCCCAAGTATTCCTCCATAATTATTGACGAGTCTCCTCTCTTCCACAGGAATGCGATTTGCGTTGTTGGAGATAAAAGCTGCGCTGACACTGATCATCGGAAAATACACAGTGCACCCAACCGAACGGACGCCAATACCCGTGAAGTTCCAGCACCGAGCATTCTTCAACATCTCCAACCAAGGACTCCACCTCCGATTTAAGGAAAGGCCGAAGGTGGCTTAAATGAATGCCTTCTCACGCACGCCGCACAGTGGATCGAGTCAATAGGAGAGGTCGGACAAAATTTGGAAACTTTAAACGCTTATAACTCCGTTTCTACAAAGCTCTAAGGCTCCAAAAGTGGTTTCTTCTTGAAATTTTCTTCCAGAAGCACCCCTTACACTGGAAAAAAACACATTGGATCTAGAGTCCAGACTCTTGAAAACATTGGCAAGAAAAAGGACTCTTGATTCAATCAGACTTAAGCTTAAATCAAAAGGAAATCCGCTCAAATTAAGAGGCTGAGTTCTAGATTTAAGCAAAAATCCGATTGAATCAACAGTACATTTTCTTGTCGATGTTTTTAAGAGTCTGAACTCCAGATCCAATTTGTTTTTTCCAGTGTATAGTATTAATGTGACTAATTAAACATCAAAATTTGCAGTTTTAGTAAAAAATGTCGTGTCCGACCACTCTAGTTGACTCGATCCAGTGTGCGCCGCGCAGTTCTGACTTTCGCGGGTCGCCCCGCTGTTGGTCATTTTATTTCAGTGGCCTCATGTTTGCATTTTTCCGACAAAAGATCCGTCGAGAAATAGGAGTTAGTTAGGGAAGCAGGTATAAATCTTTAAGGTGACAAGCCACAGTCAAACAGAATTTGAGTACTGATATTCAATTGAATAACCTCCGTTTTTCTGTGAAAGATAAGGGTTTATGATCGGGTAAAAATACGCTTTCGAAACTTCCAAAATATTTTTGTGATGTTAATTGAAAATAACGAGGAAGCAGTTAATCTCAGGTTGTGTTTTGAGAAAATTGCCATCAATTCAGGACACTCATGCGATCAACCCAAATTTTCATCCTGTAAGAACAGTATTGTTAAGGGCTTGTGATATCATGTTAGCGTTCCCTTAAACGAGTAAAACATATAATCGCGGGAAGTTTTCAAAATTTAAAATTTCCATCAATTGAAGTCAACAATAAATTATTTTGTGTTAGGATTTGTAAGAAAAATGCCCGGAAAAATACCCGTTTCGATTTTCTATTAATACTGAAAGATTTTCGTGACAAACAGCCTAAGTTTTAGAGAATATACAAATCGTAATTATTGCGTATGACTCTTAAGGGTTGTTTTCAGCTGAATGGACAAAGATTTTGGTGTCAATTTTTTTTTTATCATATATTTATTTATTTTTTTCCGGAGTCTACTTACAAGTTTGGTATAAAAATTTTCTGAGGGTAAAAATCTCGTCAAGTTTAATATTGATACTTGCAGCGAACTGTCCTCAAGGTACGATGTTTTCAGAGGGACGTTGGTGTGAAAATGTGGGCTTTCCGTCATTTTGGCGACAACCTTCACTTTCTATTTCACCACTTAATTCTACTAGATTTCATGCATTAAAATCATTTTTTCCTCAAAGACACTGCTTAGTCATGAATTATGATTACTGCAGAACCACCAGACACTTGACATTTTGGAGACGGACAGAGGGCCCGGGTGCGTTGCCGAAATGATGTCATTTTGGCGACGTGCTCCTCTACTTTTGTCCAAAAACTTTTGTCTTTTTACCCGGAAGCGACCCTTAAAGGATAGTGTGCATAAATGGGGGTTTGGGTGAAAGGAAAATGTTAATGCATTTTATCTCTGTATTTACATGTTGTATATTTTTCCACTCATTCTCAAGTTTTAATCATATTTACATCATCAATAAATTTTTATACAACTTGTTTATCAGACTGTTTCTCAACAATTGCCGATATTATGTTGGTAGTAAGTCGAGTTCTAAAGGTGTTATTTGGCAGAAATTATACAGACTCATTAGTTGTCACTTACAACTAAAATACAACATTACTTCATAGAGACACATCGGGCATAGTTCACCCCTAATTTAATAAATAAATTAATTATTGTACAACGATAACAAAGTACGTTTCTACCTATAAGGTAATACTGTTTGATGCCGAAATCATGAAAAGAGAGAGCACATAAAACTACGGTATAAAGTACCTCCTATATTTACAAAAGTTTTTACAGCTGTTCTCTCACCTGCACAAATATATTTACAAGTGCAAAAAAGTATGTTGCATTTTTTCGGAACTTTTAGAGTGGCAACAATTTAGCTATTACCAACGATGCATTTTGCGATATCTTCGAATTTGGAAAAAATAATGAATGAAAAATAAGTTAATTAACTGAAGTAGTAAACAAATCTTTCGATGATTCAGAACGTTTGTTGAAGTATTTACCGAAGCAAATTATTTTTACGATGTACGGTCATCGTATTTTCCATGTTTGTGTCATTTTTATTGTGCAAGTGAAAGAGGCCGCAGACGGAAGAGGATTACTTTCTTTCATAAATTTCAGCAATCTTTTTTCGCAGTTCATCGGGAATATCACCGAGCGACTAAAAATACAATTTATCAATAAATAAGTAATTAACAAACAACTTCTAAGAATAAATAGGTGAAAAAGTGAACTCGAAGTTATGTCTTCGAACAATCATGCTGCGTCTATATGACGCTGTGCGTGCCCACCAATGGCAAGTTCAAAGCCAGGAGATATTGCGGTTTATCAAAACTAGATTGAAATTGAATTGAAAGGTTATCGACGGTTCACGCGGCAAGCACAAGCGGGAAATCGTGTCGAAATTCCCCAATTAAAATTTGATTCACACGCGTAGAAATTGTTCTCTATTATCCCAATTATTCTTTTAGATGAATTGCGGTATCATATCAGTGTTTTCTTTCTATTCTTCTTTTTTTATGAGACGATTGAACACCTTGATTGTGCGTTGGGGAAATACGCCAAATAATTTTAATAAAACCGTGTAATTTTCCGCCGAGATAGGTAGGTATACTGAAAATAGGTGGGCTTACATCATATGGGTTAAGAGTGATGAAATACCGTTCAAAACACAATGAAATAAAGAGGAAAATCGGAATTCAATTTTCCGGACGTTCTTGTCTTATTAGAATTTCTGAGGAGGCTCCTTTAACTGCGAACTATGTATCATAAGGTCTTATGAATTAGCTGTCCATTTTAAACATTTTTTGCGTCATACTTAAATTACGGATTTTTGTGGTTCATTCTTAACCAAAGATCGATTTAGCGAAATAGTTAAACGATTTTTCCGGAATAATTATGTCATATCTTTTGATCCCAACTCAAAGTTATTTAAGTCGTATCAATACTAGAGTGTGTGATGAAAGCTCACATTATACGCTCCTCGGAAACTAATCCTCTCGACAAGTGCTGCCGCGAAAGAACCGCCACCTATTTTGCATGGCTTAAAATCAGGGAAAGATTTTCCGTATTGAACAGCTAGCGACGAGATTGTCAAGTTCAGAATGAAGACATGATGTGACTAGGAGATCTATATCCTCTGTGTGACTTGTCGGATCCAGTCTAAGTAGTAGGCAACTTTGGTGTAGACTCCAGGAACTCCATATTTACCGCAGCCAACTCCCCAACTGACAATACCTACCACTTGCCAGGTGCCACCACGTTCGCATACCATGGGACCGCCGCCATCACCCTGAAATCATTTCTCGGATTAGTGATTGACTAAGAATGGTTTACCATATCGATGAATAAAGTGCCAAGCCACGTATCTCCGTTTGCAAAGTTGCAGACTTCCTGTCATATTTTATTTTTTCCTTGGGAAACTAGTCCGAGTAATTTCTGGACAACTTCCTCTGAATTGTCTACTCTATGTTAGAAGAAAATTCTGTATAAATGTCAAGCTTTGAAGTTATCTTGTTGCTTTTTAAGAAAATGTAATAGGAGCAGAAATTTTAGAATACTGCAATAAAAATACTTGGTTTTGCACTTTGAGCATCGATATGGTATCCGTGTATAAGATTTTAGTAAAAAAATAGTGCCAGAAAACGCTGCGATCATTCAGCTTCAGTGTGACTGGATGGTCTTGGAATCCAATTTTTAGATTTACGGTTTGGTTTCACTAATGATTTCAAGTGTGACCTATACAGGTAGCAGGAGCCAAAAAATAGTCGGATGCACCCATAAGATATCTAAAACTAAGTTTTAATGTAAACGGGGGAAAATTAAAAAGATTATTAGATGAAGATATACATAAAGGTGTCAAACTAAAGAGATATTGGAGCTCAAAAATTTTCCACTCAGATTGAAATTTGTGCACTTTTTAACCTTGCGTTCCCCGTAAGATAATGTTGACGCAGCACTATATTACCACCAAGCTATTTATGTGAACCCACGATGAAGGAAACAAACTTCAGATGAAGCATTCAATTGTGGTGTAGTAGATAGGCGGGTGCAAGGGGGAGGACTTCGCTTGAAAAAAAGGACGAAGAAAAAGAAGAGGAAAGATGAAATTGACTCAAATTGCATATTAAATTTAGATGCTTCAAAAATGCAAATTTTTTTGGGAGAGACCCCCGGACCCCCCTCCCCCATGTCCGAGATGTCTGGATCTGCTTATGTAGTAGTAGAGTGGTAGTAAAGCTTACCTTGCAGGCATCCTTGCCCTCTTCACCGCCAGCACACACAAAACCAGGGTGCAGTTTGAAATCGTAACCAAGTCTTGTCTGCTGTAGCTGCGACTGACATTGTTGGAATCCAACAACTGGTACATCCACCTCCTGTCAACAAAAGATTTAGTTTTTTCAAGTAAAAAAAAACTACGCATATTTAGCAAAATTGAAGAAAGGCAAGGATCTACTTTAGTTGTTGCGAAAACCGCAATATCTTTCCTTTCTTAATTTTTTTTTTTTTTTTTTTTGTTTTTATACCTCTTTTGGAAATTACGCGGCTGAATAAATGGAAACTTGTGAAACTGTCCGTTTTCGGTAAATGCCTCCTATAGCCACCGTTGAACATAAGAACATTTGGGGCCTCCCTAAGGAGCCGAGCTGTTTCAGTAACTATCGCAACATTAGAATGGTCCTTAGAGTTAGCTTTGGAGGTAAATCTCACCTACTTTAAACAAAATGGAAGAACTAGTGCCGTTTTGTTAAAGAGAATTCTGTTCTGCAAGGGCGTGAATTCACTCGGTGAGGAGTCGGCGTAAAAAGCCCCTTCGTTTCATCTTGATACCACTTTACCCGCACGCGTGCCGTAATAGTTACAGTCCCGCGCCTTGAGTGCTGTCTCTCTCTCAGTAGCCGCCTGATGTGAGCTTCAAGTCTATGTTTATAAGAATGCGATCAACAAGAGCCAAGCAAGTTTTATAATATACTTTCAGAACTGATGGATTGTCGCCTCCATAATATATAAAATTGGAACCATTTATGAAGATTTAATAGAACAGTGGAGACACGGTGAGGAATAAAAAATTGAAAAAAAACCCCGAAAAAATCAAGAGAGACTTGCTTTCCAAGGAGCACAGTGCAATGAGAATATTGAAATAAAATTGCGATTCATTGCAATAAAATTGGGATTTTTAACTATGAAATGGCAATACTCTGACATCATTTGGCCAATAAATGCCGATTTTAAATAATTAACAAAGTGAGTTCCATGGTTTCATGTGTCAAAAAGACAGGGAATATGCAGATCAATGGAAAATTGTTACTTATTTCAATTTTAGCGCAATAAGTCTCAATGAGCAGTGTGCCCTCAATTAGTAGATAGGCAACATCCACAACACTCCGATGCATTATTAAACATTTTACCATGTAATTGCAATGTATCGCAATCTATCGATATTTCCCCATTCGAAGCTGTGGTAAAGAATCGATTATTGAGGCATTCGTTGCAAACACCCTGTTCATCGACCCTCTTCCATAAGTTTAAGTGGCAGATCAATCGATGAATCGCATATCACGCCGCGCCACTGCAATCTATGCTACTTGGGTCGGTCTACTCATTAAACAGTCATATCTTTATTCTTCACTCCCTTCGTATTGAGACAGTATGTCCAAGAACTGAAAGACTGACCTTGAGGATGTTCTGGTATTTGCCCTGCTCCCCAAAAGCGTCCTTGCCCCATCCAGTGGTCCAGCAGCGGGTGCCAGCGTAGTCAGAATACTGATCCGGGAGGCAGGCTGGAGAGATGTGCGGTGATTGGGTGAAATCGACAGGCTTGTCCAATCGCAACACGGCGATGTCGTTGTAGAGGGTGCCTGCGTAGAACTCTGGGTGAACTACCAACCCAACTACGTCACGTTCGACGTACGGGTAGAATTCTACATCGTGGTTGACGTCCCACTCACCTAGACGTACGCGTAGATCATACTCAGTGTAGCTGAAAAAAAAAAATAATAATAAATGCTAATTGCTGTCGAGACAGAAATATCTATAACGGAGAATTTCAAAGAAAAACATTCTTACTGTATCTAAAAGTACTTAATGAGCAGCGCTCACAGAATTTTTCATACTTTTTTTCAATATGGGAAACTGTAGAAAATTGATTTTAAAAGTGAGAAAATGTGCCACCTTTCACATTGGAATGGAAGAAAGTACTTACGATTTTACGCAATGAGCGGCAGTAATGATGTGAAGCTGATCTATCAAAGTTCCGCCGCAAACGTAAACACTCTCTTGGGGATCCTTCTTCAAGATTGCTACTTGCCACGGGTATTCACCTGAAATAAAATGAAGCTATGAGTAAAATCACTCAGAGAAGTGAAAGATAGTATTTTATTGATTACTAAACATTTTCTAGAAAATTTTATTTATTTCAGTCAGGTTTATTCCATCTCTCTCAGTCCAAGTTAAGTCTCTCACAAAAAAGTTTGCGCAACTTAAAAAAAAGAAAAAATCCAGTTGCAGCTACTTTAAACAAATTATGCCTTTGGTGCCAGGGCCAGATTCAGGGGATGGCCAAACGGGTCGCGGCCCATGGCGGCAAATTTTACAATTTTTTTAGATGTTGGTATAAAAAAAATCGGATTCAGAAAAAAATTACAAACGAGAAAAGGCGACAAAATCTCGTCACCTTCCAGGCAAAGTATCACACGCGCCATGCGACGTTTAAAAATTTCCGCCGCCATTTTATTTTTTTACTGAGAAATTGTTGGTTGAATCTGTTCGAAAATTTCACTAAATTTTAACGGCAGCACAAAGAAAATTCGGTGTAATTTTCGGACAGGTTCGTTGAACAATCTCTCTGTAAAAAAATATAATGGCGGCGGAAATTTTTAAACGTCGCATGGCGCTTGTGATACTTTGCCTGGAAGGGGACGATCTCTCATTTCCTGAGAGTATAGTAATTTCTAATGTTGTCATCTTCCGGTGATGATACAAAAGACATCACCTTTAATTAGTCGAGTTAAGAGAGAAATCAAACACGCAATCTGGCCTGGAACGGTGCGGCGCAGAGAGCAATGATGACGAGGACTTGAGATGAGAAGGAGAAGCCCTCGGCGCGGCGGTCGGCATGTAACACATATTAGTGCCTACAAGACTGCATGAATACTCCACGCATTGCGTCAAACATCAGTGCGGTCAGCAGCGGTCGGCGTGAAACGCATAGCGCCTACAAGACTGCATGAATACTTCACGCATTGCGCCAAACACAATGCAGTCAGCGCGGCACGGCGGCGGCATAAGTTAAATTACCAAACTACATTTATGTTTGTTCTTTCATAATTTTTTCGTTCAATTCTTATAAATGGAAGGCTTTGTCCGCACAAGAGATAGGCTCACGGAACTTAACTTTCGCGCATAGTTCCGTGAACTTTAGCTAGTAGTGTTGACAGAGCTTTCGCAAATAATGTGTCCAACACGAGTAAACACGTTTCATGCACCCTTCCCCCACCCCGCCCCGTCGCGTTCACTAGATGCTTTTCATTGATGTTTCAAAACGAATGAGACGGGGGCGGCATGCAAGGAGGTAAATCCGGCCTTGTTTGGTGCATATTTTTTGGCCAAAGTGCGAAATTACATATCTCCGTTTGTGACGCTGCACTTCCTGTCATACTTAATTTTCATTGAAAGACCGGTCAACTCAATTTCTTGAAAAACTCCTTGATTTTTCCTCTCTCTATTCATATGAGCAGAATATTCCATAGAAATTTCAAGCTACATAGTTGATTTGTTTTTCCTCGATGTGATGAAACAGGAGCATAGTTTTTGAAACACCGCTTTGAAGATGCGAGGTTTCGCACTTTAGCCATCGATTTGAGATAGTTCTCATGTGCTCACCCACCGTGAAAAAGGGAGAAGGAGAGAAAGACAAACCACGTACCGAACTCACTGTCACCATCAACAAAGACGGGATTCTTGATTCTTCCATTGATTCCTTGAGCATTCCTTCTACCGCACTGTGCGTAACCAACGGGCTTTGGTCTGTAGCTCTGTTTCCTTAAAGGCCTCCTGCAGCAAACTTGAGCTCTGCCGCACTTGTTCGGTCCACCATAGTATGCTTGCCTCTGAAAAAGATGAAGCATTTTTAAAGCCATTTTCATTTAATAAATAAATATATAAATACATTTTTCTGCGCGCCGGAAAATGATGTTCTTTCTGAAAAAATGCCTAGATCTGCGGATAATATTTTGTAACGCCTAATAGAATATTTGGGATTAATTATGACGGATATTACGAAAAAACACATTTTTTTGCTGTTTTTTCGGTCTATTACAAAACCAACCGATGCTGGGACTTGTCTGGTCGATTCGGCTTTTTTAATGTAAAGTCACTAAGAATTATCCCCATCCCTTGATAATGAAAGAGCTTGATGCAAAAACGGCTTTTTTTGCCCCCCCCCTCTGGAAGTTCTTCAGACTTTGTCTATTGATTACTCATACTTGAGTGCTTCTTTTCCCAAATTTTCAGACCCCCAAAACATTTTGGGGGGGAGCTAGGAGGGGTGGAAGTCAAAACCTGTGAACCTCGATATCTCTCGAACGAAGAAAGATATCGAGGTCCGGTTTGGACGAATAATTGTCTAAAATTGCATACTTTAGGATTCTAAAGGTCGAAATCCCAATATCACATTTTTAAGTCAACATATGTGCTTTTTTCCAGTTTTTGGGTCTAGAAAATTTCTTTTGAACGAAAATATTACAAAGATCTCAATTTTTTATTTGAACCAAAACCAGTTTTTTAAATTGTTCGTCTTTTTCCGCATCCAACGAGTGGTCCATTATAAGCTGGGGAATCAAACGGTTCCGGAGTTATGATCGATTGAAGCGTTGGAAATTTCCAACATTTTGCAGCTACCATATTTGGGTCGTTTTCCAACAGAACTAAATGTTATTTTTCCTCAAAACAGCACACCTTCGTCTGAATTTTCTTCGATTAACTTTCCCAAAAACTTTGTGTCACCCTCGCTCGAAGATGTTTACTCATTTCAGAGCTTTTAGAAAAAATGCATGACCAAGCAAATGTTATGTAGAATTTGTATGTTCAAATGCAGTAAATATACTTTAAACATCGGAGTCGAAAATTCCAATGTTGACTATATATCTCGCGTTTAGGTTCAGGCTATCACTGACTTCAAGATGACGGTTGAAAAGACAATATAAGTAGATAAGCATTGGCGTTTAGTTGAGGTATAAGTTAAGCGTGCTTTTTCCGTCCTATTATTAATATTGTGAATGGATAAAAAATATATGTTATCAATTTTTTGTTCGTAAACGTGACTGTCTTTTGATTTTTAATAGAGGTCTCGAGAATAAGGAAAACAACTGTAAAATAAAGTCTGAAATATGTAGCTTTTCAGTTCATCAACTTGAAAACACAACTTGAAGTTTGTTAAAAAAGGTGGGAACAACGGATAAAAGTCGCCGAACAATGCACATTAATTTAAAATCATGTCCGACTTTCTTGGTATCTCAAGTGCCTTGCGCCACGTTTGAAGCTCCTTCAATTCTTTGCTTATGCAATTTTACAATATTTGGCGTGTCTGAAATTGCATCCCACATCACAATCATCGTTAGTGAGTTCATAATACCTACCTTCTCTTTTGAACTATTGACTGTTACGGATCCCCAATTCATTTCAAAATTAAGCAGATCAAAGTGGAAAGCAAATCTATTTTTCTTTATTTTCTAAGATGGTCTATTTCACTTTTTATGAAAGTTCAAAGAATAGACAAAAGCTTTAAGAGACAAATAAATGTTATGAAATCTCCAGCATCAGATTAATATCGACTTTTGTTATGTTGAAGTTAAACCCCATGATAATTTCAGTGCCTGCATTTCATCTCAATAGCAATACCACACATAATAAACTTTACTAATTAGTGTTCAGAATTGATGATTAGAGTTTGCCTTCGTGACGAGGACATGATTTTGGGCTCTGAATAAAATACACAGCTATACTGGAAGTCTACAATGGATCATCACTGTTCCACATTAAAATGTATCATAAGTAATTCGCTAGCTTGAACAGCTAGATTACAATTTGCCCTTATTGAGAGCATAAACAAGTAAAAAATTGTATCCAGGTCTAGACATTTGACTGGTAAGTAATGTATGTAATTTTTACCTTCAGTAATAAAAATTGGACTAGGAATTTATTGTTCTCTCTGATCAGTTTGATATATAGTTGACGGAAATTCAATGCTCTCTCATGGACGGTAATGGAGAAAATCTTTATATACACAAATAAAAATACTTAGTGTTGAAATTTAAAGACTCTGTTCTAAAATTACTTCAATATTTTAAGACTCCAGGACAAACATTTTTAATTAAATGGACTGCATTTTGCAATTTGGACCTATAAATTCTGGTCCGGTTTAAAAACAACGTATGTGCCATTGGTTTCCCTATGCAAATAAGTGTTTTTTCAGATGAGCCAGAATTTATAGGTCCAAATTGCAAAATGCAGTCCAAATTAACTGATGAAGCTGACCCTGGGATCCGTTCCGGGCTCTGAGGCCGAAAGATCCGAGCGCCACGCCCGGAATTTCCGGCCTGGAATGCGGACGGTATGTCCATATAACCCGTAAATATACGGCCTCGACGGCCAGATTTTTTTTTTCAGTGTAGCTGTACTACGCCATTTCTACACCAAGCTGTCTAGTCACACCTCACCTTGAGGCCAGGTTTACTTACTTTTTGGACGTCATCGGCGTCCCGCTTACTGCGGAACGACACCTCTTCGGAAGACCTACGATCGCTCGGGAAGGCTACCTTACCGGCGCCGGAAGCCCCACCCCCTGTCGTCGTCCCCGTAGCGGGCGTGGCGTAAGGTTGCATCGTCCCTTGCGCCTCGCGAGACTGGAACCGGACAGAGTTCTGGTCAGCCGCTACGGACACGTTGTTGTTTCGGTAGTAGTCGTCGTATTCGTTCAGCTCCTCTCCTCCGTAAGAACCTCCTCCGTAAGTACTTCCCCCGTAGGTATCCTCTGGGGTATCATCAATATCTCGGTAGGAGTTGTACTCGGGTGCATAGTGGGTGTACTCAGGCGAGTGGTGGGAGGGGCTGGTGATGGGGTAGTAGGGGGGCGGGCCGTAGGAAGAGTAGTGGGGGCGCGGGGGCCTGTAGTAGCCCGGGCCGTAGGAGGGCGGGCGGAAGGTGTGGTAGTGGTTATGGTGGTGGTAGAGCCCGGGTCCGTAGCCGGGTCCGTAGCCGGGTCCGTAGCCGTAGGGGTGGTGCTTGAACTTGTGGACGAGGTAGCCGAACTTGTCGACGAGCCCCTGGTTCGGGGTGACGTGGAGGTTGACGAGGGGCTTGACGATCTTCTCGCCGTACTCGTCCTTGGTGACCTGGAGCGAGAGCAGGGGGTTGACGTTGACCAGGCCGAGGTTGACCCCGTTCGGACCCCCGATGGACCCGCCGTAGGGGTTCAGCGCCGGGTTGAGGGGACTGTAGGGGTTGACCGGGTAACCGCCTCCTCCAGACGGGAGCCCGAAGGACACGCCGAACGTCGGCCGGACTTTGAGCCCGCTGCCGGCGGTGTCAGCATCCACGTCGCCTCCTCCGCCTCCAAGGCTCAGCTTCCTCCGCTGTAAAATGTTCACCGAGTCATTAAATTCCGACCTCCTGGGAGGCGCAGCCGCAGGTCTTGCTTGTTCCATCGGGTAGGGGAAATATAAATAGCTAGCTCTCTTCGAAAAGGGGTCAAAATGGACAGTTTTCCAAACAGAGACTTCGAGACTGCTGTACAGCCTTAGAAAAATTATCATATTTTAAGCATCCATATGATGTCCACATTTTTATGGAAGAATTCTGTATGAAGCTGCAGTTAAAGTTATCCTCTACAGGGGCACTGAATGGGTATTACCAGGTGGTTGGGGCGGAGGAGTTGAGCTTCAGCATTGTTGCGTTAGGCATAATTAATAAGGGCCGAAGAATGTCTGTAGAATAGATCAAGAGGGTTCCTCTGGGATATAGTGGATTTATTTTTCATTATCTGCCTTTTTAAGGGAGGAAAAGAGGTTTATACTCTAAAATTCGAGGCTATGTGGATAATTTTAAATTTTCTCATTTTCATCCATTCCTTTTTTATCTTTTATTTTTACATCTCACCATCTACAAAAATTGATCAAGATTTACATCATTTTGGCAATCTGATATCGGGGTTGCAGTACCTTCAAAGTCCAGAGGAGGGGTTCCAGTTTTATGGTCAAGAATCACGTTCAATCCATCAGTCCACTAATTATTACGAAATTTCTAAGATCATCACTTTTCTGAAGAGTAATAATGAAGTAGTGTAATGAAACACACAATTCCACACCTATTCTTCCTTCTTCATGATTGACAAATTTTAATGAACCCACAAATTTACCCTGTTCTTCTTGTTGAGTTAACCATTGATGGTAAAACAATATACCTATCGGCCTCATCGCATGAAGTCTTTATGATTTTTGGGACCGTAAAATCTTTCAATTTCATCGGTCGATGCAAGTTACTAATAATTCCGACGTATTTCATTTGAGGAAGTTGTAATCACACGCTTAACAGTCAGATTTGATAAGTTCTGAAGACACGCCAGATGTTCAACAACTTTGTAACTTCTCATTCGGCTTTTATATCACGATCCGTTTTTCAATTACATATATATTGAACCGCAATAGTCTTTTGGGGACGTAATTCAAGAATTAATCATCTTATAGACGAGATAAACGACTTTGATCTAGATTAATTTAGACTTTTCTCGCAGAAGTAAAAGCAGAATGTTACGATACGATGTGTACGATGTTACGATGCGGATACGAATGTTAGAGAGACTCAATATTAGCTTCTTTAAGATGGGGAAAAATGTGCTACCCCGCCCTATTCCGTAGAATGAGCAGCCAAACAGTGACAGCAGCCGTTTTGGACCGTTTATCCTGCAGTTTTCTGATTAGATACTATAATTTTTCAACTGAACTACGATTAAATAAAGAATCATCAACCAAGATCAACTATACATTGCGATGGAAAATTCTCAAAATATTACAGAGGAACAGAAACCAGGCTTTGAAATCAGCCTGGTATCTGCAATTACAATAATTAAAAAAGATCGATTTATCGTTTCGCTGAGATCATCTGGAGCAAACTTACAGCAAAAATATAGGAAGTGTGAACTGCTCAAACGCTGAATGGAAGAGAGAAAGTCCATTGGCGGAAGAAGAGCAGTATCGGATGTTATTTTTGCAGTTTAGTCAATCTGGCCCCAAGAATCGTGCAGCAAACCCGTGCAAATTTTGTCACTCAAAATGTTCATGAACGGGTTCAAAATTCATGCGTTTGTGAGGAAGGACGAAGAACAGGTGTCATAAAAATGCATGAATAATGCAAAACGTATTGAGCTTAATTGAAGCTTCTAGTCCCTCAAGCATAAAAAGATGGACAGATGGATTAAACGTTCTCTGGAGACGAGGTGCAATGCATGTTAAAAGTGTCTCGGTAATTAAAAGCATGTAACATAATGCTGAAATTCGCCAGCGAATGAGACCAACTTTCGACACTGGTAATATGAATGCCACCTAACGTCATACTTGGAGGAGGGGAAATGGAGGGAACGAGCAAGACCTTACGATACACGCACTCCTGTCAAAAAATTTGGAAAAGCTGCTGGTGATGCAAAAGCCAAGTTTTCCCGGTTAAAAGCCAAACTCAGCTCTCTTGCGATTTGGTTGTGTGCGAGTGGCTTAGCTTGACTCCATTAGTGAAAATGTAGCAATTGGTGTTAAAATGTTAATAAGCCCTTATACTTAATGAAAGCAATTTCTCACAGAAATAAATCGAAAAGATGACCCTGCAGCCTGCACACACTTCGTTATAGAATAAATGCCTGTAAAGGAACAAAAGCTCAATTTCAAGCACAGAGAGGACATTGAACCTTTTTGCAACTAAACAAAATCAATTGATATCAATCCTTCACCAAAGGTTAGGTTTCATTAGGATCATAGTTTTCCTCATGGAGTAATTAACTTGTAAGTTACGTTTCTTCAGTTTTGAGGTTTCTGTTAAAGACTACTAAGTGGGAAACAACCGATTATGTTCGTAGAAAAAACAGGCATCACTATTTTTCTGATATAAAAAAATTTCTAGTGAAAGGTTTCATGTAAAGCAACTGTCGCGTGAACAAGAATTTAGGAACGTACTATTTTTTTTCAAAATTCAAGGTATGGGGCATTGGGGTGTTGTCGTGGGCGGAAAAGGGAAAGACTGGGGGAGGGGTATACTCTTGAGACGCTTAGCTTTCCAAAATGTTCTGCATGAAGCCCTCAGACCCTACTGCATTTTCAGGTAAGCCCCTCTGTGCCCCCTAAAGAGGTCGTGTTCCGCCCACTCAGAATGTCCTGTAATTACAAGAATTGCCACTGTTAACAGGAGCAAGGGTTCATCTTTTCGGTTTTTTCGGATGGTGCTGTGCCGTGGTACGGAGTCTGGAGGAGGAGGTTGCTTTCAGCGAATTTAGTGTGTTTGAACGGCCGTGCTAGTAGAGGCTGAAATCGATGGGTGAGGCAAGAGTGATGTCGAGCCCGCGATGGTTCAAACGTTGCTGGAGCTCTCTTTCTCTCGATGGTCCACTCATTGATCTTTGCTGGTGCCGTTGGATGGTCAGGTCAGGTAGAATTTGTGGTGCTTTTTTGACGTCATGACGTCATCATCATACGTCGAGCGTCGTAACCCCAGTATGTTCTAAGTGTCGGTCATGGTCGTTTGTTTGCGTTATAGCAGTGTAGCTGACGATGAAAAATTGCAAAAACGTTAATAAAAGGGAGCAATTGGTAGCATTGAAAATCATGCACATTCTGAGGTGGAAAAACACAGGTAAAGAAAAGATGAACATAAACGTGAAGATGAGCTTATGACTTTTCTAAGTATTTTGTGAATATTTTTATTTTTTTTTAGAATAGTTCAGATAACTTTGTTATTGTGTCCTTTACGCTGGAGCAATGAAAATACATTTTATAGTTTGATATAACGACTTTCAACTAAAAAATGCAGTCAACGCTTGAGCCAGAAGGGGTGCATCTCTGAAAAAAAGATTCCGCTTGATGAACAGTTGCGATTCTGAAACATTGGCAACACTACTTTTCCTTCATTTAAATGGACGTATTTCTATCAAACGGAACTAAGTGCATAATGACGTAAGCCCTGTTATGCATGTATTCTTATGGGTCTCAGGGCTCACGTCATAATGCACACAGTTCTGTTTGATAGAAATGCGTTCAAATAATAATTAGATGAGGCAGCTTGCCTTACCTAAAATCGATATTTCCGATATTTTAAACAGAGAAAAAACATTTTCCAGTCAGTCGAGGCCCTTGAAAACTTTGTCATTCGTTTTTGGTGGGACCTATAGTATTGTAAATTTTTAACTCAACAGGAGCCAAAAATTGAGGCCCCTGGAAGCTTGCTGAGTAATTACATCGTTAAAGTAAGTTTCAAAATCAATCCAACGCCCCCCCCCCCCCCCCCNATCGGCAACGTTGAACAAGGCGTCGTCGTTCAAGACGATGGACTGTCAGTTCCGCTCGTTTGGTTTTCCTATTTTTCCTGTGATAAATCGGATTAGGCATCAAGTTGATTCTTCCGATGTCGGTGCGGTGCGTTCACGAATACCCGAGAATCAAATCGGTTGCGCAACTGCGTCTTTCCACCGTTTCGTAACCCGGTTATGACTCGCACTGACGCAGACTCAAACAGCTCGAATTGGGGCAGTGTTAATATTCACCAAATTATTTGTTAGCCGAAAGTCTGATCCGTTGTCAAGGGTGATTGATGAGTTACTTTTTTTCCTTTCCCAAATGTACGACTGAGTTTTGAATTTTGTAAGAGTAAACGGATGAATTGAATGTACAATAGCCACCAGTTCAAGTGAATGAATATTACGGCCCATGGAATACAGATATATTCCAGGAGCTGTAGTAGCTTTTCTTCAGACGGAATGTGTTTCTTCCGAGTCAAGTCTTTTTCGGCGAAGGAGTCCAAACAAAAGAGGTTGCGGAGTACCATGAAGTTTATGTGATTCAAGAAAAAAAATAATTTAAGTTTGTCTGTATGTAAACTTACTCGCAGGTTGGGTGCCATCTTAGGTCCTTGCACCTTGTAGCCGTTACTTTTTAAGTCCTCGACCTTTCCGCCAACTGAACGCTAAAAAGTTAGTCATGAGTGAGTAAAATGTACAATGTAAAAGCTAACCAAAGTTCTGCATTGTTGTGATTATTGTGAAGTCTTATATAAAGTTGAGGTGAACAAAGTCAATGTTTTGTTAGAGTTTCTCCTATCAAAATCAACATGTTAATTCCACCTGAATTAATAAGGTTGGATGAGACGAAAAAAACTGAATTTTAAGATCTGCAGAAACTAATTTTTAATTTCAATTTTCTGAGATTAGAGAAAGGAAAATCAATCTTGCATTCCACAGAAAGACAAGACTTGAGCGTGAATTGCACTTCTGAAGCTTGTCGTATATCGTTTCTCATCTAATCAGCACACTTATTTTGTGTCATTTATTGTATTACCGACAGCCTCAAAGGAGTCATGTTTTTAATGTAAAACCATAACTTTGATTTTGGTGGCATTAAACAGAGGGTCAAAAAAGGAAATAAAAACGGATGCCCTACAACTGCAAAAGAAGTTAATTTAACAAAAACTGAAATTTTAAAATAATGTAAAAAACTTCGATAGCGTAGTATAATACAGTTTTAGTATGAGGTATAGTAGCAATAGTAAGATCAGGAGGCTAACAAAAATTTTCATTTTTAATTTATGGTGAAACTTGTTTCTCGCTGGAAAATTCCAAATCGAACATGCCTGTGCAAGAGCTGCGCCAGAAGAACAGGATAGAAACCACCCTCTACATCGAAATCAAAGAAACTACAAAAAGTTGAAGTCCCATAGAATGCACCAAGTCGTGAAAAACAAAGTCCAAGTATTTAGATTAAGATTCAAACGAATTTATTTTGTCTAGCAAAAAATATGAACAAATGATCCTATTTTCCTTGTTGCCAATATAACACTTATAATATTTACAAAATGTTGGGAAACTAAAAGGAGAGAGAAAGGTGGAATCACCTAAGTCACCGGGCAAGAAAATATACTTGAAAAGGCAAAAGACGAAATTGTATATACGTAAAAGTTGTTCGAAGAAGGAAATGACCCCTTAAAGTGACAAGCTCAAATAATATGTGGTGCCATAACTAAGCGAAAATTTCGAGAGAAAACTAAGTAGACAATATAATGAACACCAAAAGGACCGAAGTCACGTACACGTACAGTATAGAGAGTTGATAATAAGTCAAGTCAAAAAAAACCGAAGAGCGCAAAAGTTGAAGCCAGAAAAAAAAATTGCCGATAATTAGTAAAGCGTGCACGCACATATAGATAATAGATACCCTGTTGAAACCCCGAAGGTTAGTACATGATCCAAAACTTAAGCAGATCATTAAAAGAGTTTTCAATTGTATGAAATTGATTTCAATCCTTTCTTAAAATGCAATTCAGAATTTCAGAGACTTGACGGAATTATTGGGTTTTGACTAATTTTGAAAAAAAAAGTTTCGGTGGCTAAACATGATATGTTGTTGTAACATTAATTTTGTTAAAGAAAAGATGAATTTTTGTAAACGATGACACAATACGAATGATTGTCTGGCGTTAGCGCGCAAATTTAACACCCTGAAACGGGATTCAATTCGGGAACATATCACTGGATTAGTCAGGTAAAAAAATTACCCTGGGACCTCGGTAAAATCGGACGACATTCACATTATCCAGAAACAACGTAACTACATTTCGCTTCGCCTGATTTTCTTTCTTGCTTTTCTCATTTTACAGGAAATTAAAACAAGGAATTCCTTGAAAACTACTATTTTTCGAGGATTATTATATCTCACAAAATTATGCATCAGAATTTTGTGTACTTCTCCGCAAAAAAAAAAAAAAAAAAAAAAAAAAAAAAAAAAAAAAAAAAAAAAAAAAAAATGAGACGAAATCAGGCAACATAGGATGTAGTCAGGCTAATCCGTCTAGTTGTGGTTATCCTGAAATTAAACGTCTCTCTTCACCCTTGTTTCCGTCAATCTTACAACCTAAATATTTCTCATGTCTCTCAAAAAGTGATTCTCTTTTGCCAAGTTTAACCTATAAAAGTCACCCAAACCCCTGATTCTGAAAGCAGAACTTAATATTCTTTGTCGGAGAACTCATTGTTAGTATGAAGTGTTGCACCTCCAATATCATGCAAAGGCTAAGTGCTGGGTAATGATCGTGGAGGCGGTCTCTTACCTGGGAGATCTGCTCATCAGACGCGGCTTTGCTATCCAAATCAACGGAATCGAGAGGACCTTCTCTTTCCTCTGTTTGCCTCCTGGATCTCGTCTTATCACTCTCTTCTGAAGATTCCTCTCGTTTATGGTGAGATATGATCGTACCATTTCCGTCGGTGATGACAACGTCATCTAAACCTGCTCGCAAGAAAAAAATCCTCATTGTTTTAACAATCGACTGGAAGCTAAGTCTGAATAAAGACAAAACGATGAGTAGGGATCCATCACCATTGTCTTTCCATGGCGTTACACGGAAAAAAAGGTATCAACATCTCAAATATACTTCTAGCTGATTTTGGCGCCAGAGAGTAGTTACACAAGCTAGAGGTATGGTTAAGTCAACTGAAAGTTTGATTTGATCAGCCATATATCTCTAGTTGGTGCCCTCACATCACAGTCAGCATAAGTGAAGTTGGGGTAACTATACCGCTGGCTGGTATACCTTCACACTTCTGGCCAATGCAACTACTCTTATGGCTGGCACCAAAATCAGCTGGAAATACAGTTGAGATCGTGATACTTTTTTTTCAGTGAACGTTATATATGTATTTTCCAGGATCACCACTGTTTTGGTCCACCCTCGTAGCAGAAGAAGTTTGAAATTGACGTATTTCTACCAAATAGAATTATGTGCGGGGGAGGAAGATGGGGTGTGCTCGTGGTGAGGTGGATAAGAAACAATGTGGTCAGTCAGCGTGATTCTTTTTGGTGAAATGGAAAAGCGGGATTTAAATTCAGCAAACAGAACCATTTGCAAACTGAATGCGGGATTCATGAGCCGTGGGCATGGAAAAAGAGCGTTGTGGACAGGGCTCATTAGTTAAAGCGGATGAAGGGCGACAACGGAGACGGCTTCGTTGCCGCTGACGTCACTGGCGCTTTATAATTCCCATTCATTCTTACCGCCCGAGAAGTAACGAGCACACCCACTCCTTCCCACCTGCACTTAGTTCTGTTTGGTAGAAATTCGTCCAATATCAATTCAACATGTGAAAATAGTTGGAAATAGTCTTCTGATAAGTGCAAATAGTTAAGAAGTTTTGTGAATGGCAGTAAATAATTCTCTTCGAATTTAGTCTCGTCTAGAAATAATTATCACCAAGAATAATGTCTTATTCTACATTAAAATTAGAGCTACTAGTCAATCTTTCTTTCTGTCACAATCACCGGCAATTTGCATGCGCGTTAATTCGTCAAAATGCAATCACTCTCATCGACATGGTAAACGATTCTTCATCGATAAACAACTTCATGATCGCGACCTCGCCGTGGCGCCTTCAAATGCGGTTGATACCTTACGCTTTGCCAGAGAGTTAGTTTAGTTGCCTATTCAAACCAAACCCAACGATGGTTCTTTAATTTCCTGCGCACTCGAGAGTGTGCTAGCCACCACGCATCCAAGAAGCAAAACACGTCTGTTGGAATTCCGAGCATAGTAATCAGTATTTTCTATCTTGTTTCTTTTCTTTTGAATTTTTAAATTTTTGTTCTTTCAACCCAAATGGATTTCGATTTGCCGGCGACTGATAATTGCTTGCTGATGTGTAAAGTTGAAAAGTCCCTGTAAAAAAGGTTAATCGGAAATATTTAAACTCCAGTCCTGAAGTCTGAGCCCTTTCTCTCAAGAGGTAGGTTTTTCTAAGAGCATTTTCCGATGTAGGTGAACTTCCGCATGAATGAGATCAATTAAGGGGCTTGAATTGAGGGACAAGGCGCATAAATGCAGTTTTCGAAAAAATTTAGATGTTAGTGATTTCAACTAAAGCTAAGCATGAAATAAAGTCCGTGAAAAATTCACTGGTAAAATCCAACTTTTAAGCATCTAAATGTGAGTTTGAACTTTCTTCTCGCCTTAAGGCTTTTAAACACGTTTTTTTTTTCGAAATATAGCATAAACTACACTTATGCGCCTTGTCCTCCAAGCCCCTCAATTTAGTTTGTGGAATGAATTTGAAATTAGAGCTTACCGATAGCTTGGATGTCGGGTTTGTTTACAGTTCGGGGGTCAATAGCGTATCCATCCTCTTTGCGAAGGACCTCATGGGGGAGACACTGGTCCCATGGCACACAGTAGCAGTCGTCCTCACCTCTTGGTGTCTCGTAAGCTGGGTATCTGTCGGCGTAATTATTTCCCGAGGCCGTCTGTAGAGAGTTACCTGTGAACAATTCAATACAACATTTTCTTTGAGTGCATTGCAAAGTGCCTCAATAGTCATCTCATTAATTTTGCATTCACCTAATCTGAACGAATGTGTATGATTCCCATTTACATATTTAAGTCGGAGCACAGTGGATCATCAACGGGAGAGATCGGACAAAATCTAGAAATTTTAAACGCTTTCAACTCCGTTTATACAAAACTTTGAGGTTCTAAAAGTGGCTCTATTAGTTTCCTGGCAACATTTTCTCTCAGAGACACCCCTAAAAATTTAAAATGTGACGAATTAAACATCAAAATTTGCAGTCTTAGTAAAAAATTTCATGTCCGACCTCTCTCACTGACTCGATCCACTGTGGGGAGGTCAACCTAAAGATTGACAAAGTGTTTGATAGCTGTTTTTTCTGCGGTATTCGAGTGAAATATCTCAAGAATTAAACTTGTTACTCCATTAATCCAGGAACAGACTTCAAAATATTTCCTAAAATGTATACCAATTTTTTTATTGCATCACTGTAAGATTTTTTAAATACGAAATTTGATCAAAGTCACGAAAATCTTTTTTGTGGCTTTGCCTGATTGGCGCGAGCCTGAGCGCTTGGTAAAATTATCTGATTCCGCATTTATAATTTTGCAATCTATGGACAGCTCAGCTCTTTTTGTTTTTGCAATTTTCACACCATCAAGTAGAAATATTATTAGACTTTGGCTTGGAACATGGGAACTAAGCAATACTTACCTTAGACTTGAATTGCTTATTATTTTAATTCAGGTTTGAGTCAAGTATTACTCTGTTTCCACGTTGAATCTGCTCAGAGCCAGTCTAGTTTGCACTTTTTACTGCGCGAGTTTCTCACTCTTTACAATTAATGTACATTACAAACACTACGTTTTTCTAAACCTTCTTTACTAAATATCCAACCGATGTCGAAAGCTAAATTGCAAGCAAGCTTTTTACATGATATGCTTGCATTTCTGCTCCTTCCATGTTTGTCCTTGTCACTGATGAAAATAATGTTATGACAATTAATCATCAAGCCTCTTTGAAACAGGCAAAGAGGTTTAGAAAGGCCACAAGGGCAGCTATGCCTAATTATCTTGTTCTACACTTTTCCTCACCTACGTAAGGTTTATTTAGGTTGAGTTCTTTCTTATAGAAAGGTCCTTGGCTAACGGCGTAATTATCGTAATTGCTACCATAGGTTCCCAGAGACTGTCCACCGTAGGTGAGAGAAGATGGCTCAATAGACTGCTCGACAACTCCTAAAACAACGCAAAGCAAAGGAGTAAGCGAGTGCGCGAACATGGTACAACCATGGTACCATGGTACATGGTACACATCTGCATTTATGTAGACACATGTGGAATTTCGGAATTTGATTTGCGGCGGGCACACAAATTTCATCTGAAAAGGACTGAGAAGGAAATTCATTCATGTGATCTATTCACTTAGATGTCAAATGTCGCAGAACAGCATTTGAAAGTTTACATATTTTGTGCACCAGAGCATGGAAGGTAACTTGGAGGTCTACATAAGCTTTACAGAAAGAGTTTAATATTACATCCGTGGTATTAAGCCTTTTGAAAGTGGGAGGATAAAATGCTGAAAAAGGGGAAAACATTTTGAGCGGGACAATAAGTAACTTTAGAATTCATTTCATTTTAAGCATCCTATCAAGTAAAATTAAGATACATGATTTGAGAGGAGATTAAAATATGAAACCAAATCAGATTTGTTTTTTTATGGCCGCGGAAAACTTGAGATCATCGATATACTTTTTTTTTTTTTTTTTTTTTTTTTTTTTTTTTTTTTTTTTAAGACCGAGTCACCGAATTAAAAGCAAGTTAAACGGCAATATGTTTCAATCTTCAAATTCACAGGCCAGTTTGCATAACCTATCTTTCAATCAAGTTTGGAAGAAATCTCGGCAGAAAAAAAAGAAAAAACGAAAAAAGAAACTATAAATGAAAGAGAAGGAAACATGATAATATTCCAAGGAAACAACGTGATCTTATTTACATAATTGCTGTACATAATTGGAGTTTTTATACAGGGTAGTGCATGAGATTTTATACAGTGTAGGGAGAAAGCAGTGTTGAATCCTTTTGCATCATTGAGTATCTCTTGCGCTATGATTTTTATATGCCAGGCATATAAGAAAAATGTATAATAAATAAATAAAAAATAATGCTTCGTCTAAGGTTTTATCAGAGGATGTTCATCTCTAATTTTCTATAGACTAGTTCAAAAAATTCAAGAGATACTCATTGCCGCAAAAGTTATGTATTGTTTTTATTATGTTCATGTTATGAATGGATGCATGTTTTCTTTTAAGTGAAAGCGGGGTTGTCAATTCTAAATGACTAGCCTTTTTTAGCTTCGGAGAGAATAGAACGATTAAGTGTCAAGACTAATTTTTTTTTCTTACTTTATTGTCCATTTAAGAGGTTTTTGACGTGTAAATAATGCAATGAAAACTTTTATCTCTCAGAGATTTCTGGGACGAACACAACCTGTTCAGCCCTTGGTTATAGGGTGGGTAGATTGTGCACCCCTGGTTAATGTAGGTTAGAAATAGAAAATCATAGAGAAAACTTGGGCCCCACTAAAATGTTTGGGGAGGAATTATTTTCCGGAGCCAATACATTTGTATGGTGTCGTATCGGGAGCTAGTCAAAAAGGTTGCAGTATTTTTAAGCTGAGATGGCAAAAAAGTGCGATGATGGAGATGATTAACTCAAAGATACTGCGATTCATGTACACCTCTGCAATTGCGAAGATCAAAAGCTTGAATTTAGAGCCTCTAAAGTAAAAGCAGGGGCTGATTGAAATTATTTAAGTATACAGTTCAATGAAATCAGGAAATTATTTACACATGCAAAATTTAGCTACATCTGTACCACTGTAACAATTTTACGCCGATATAATGACACCACGATTCGGCACAAATCCTCAAGCAATGTCACATGACGTTTACATTTTTGAAATTCTTTTTCAAGCACTGAATGGACTACCCAACTAAAACTGATGCAATTGAAGTGATCATTTGAGTAAAAATCAATTAATATTGATTCAACTTCTAAATAATGAACGGAACGGAAAAATCTATTGGGAGAGGCGAAGAGGGATATGAAAGTGCCTTTTAATGCGCAAATCCTCGAAAAGTAAGTTGCGGGGTTGAAGCTAACGATTATTTGATCCTCCTGGACGGAGGGAGTCACTATGAGCGACCAGTAAAAGCAAACTTTAGACCGAAATTGCCTCTCCATCAGATTCTAAATTTCCGAGACCAAGTTGCTATGGGAGAATTGTGACCATCGCAGTATCTTTGTTTATGTGCTAGAGGTGGTGAGCGTGTCTGGGGTTTGGGGACGGGATGTCTTACCAGCGGGGGTTTTATCGGCGTTGTGGTGGAAATGGTGATGGACGTGTTGCTGAACTCCGTGTTGGGCTGTCACTTGTAAACTGGGCTTCTTGCCAATTTCATGGAACTCAGACCCCTCTATGTAAGGTCCAGTGGGAGGGGTCAAGGGGGGCCTGGGTCGTGGACCACCGTAGCTAATTGGTCCTAAACACAGAATCAGCCATCATCCCATGATTTCCACTCTTGTAAGCTGATCAGCCAGGTAATATTCGTAATAGTGCCTCGTACCTGGTACGTGGCACGCGCACTTGTACGCCTCGTACGTGGTAAATCTTCTCTCGAAATATCCGAAGTATTGATCAAAACCTCTTGTTTTTTAAAAAATTTTCCGTGGTAAATTATTTCATTTATTTTTTGATAGCTTTGTAACTCTTTTTAAAATCTAACTGAAACTTTCCTTTTTTAAGGATATTATTATCAGACAGCTTATCAATGCTGCTTTGAAGTAAGATTTAATCGTTTTCAACGTATTTTTATTAACACTCCAAGAAAAATCACGAGAAGTGTTCAGCTATAAGTTTAGAGGAAACAATAAAAGAAAGAACGAAGAAAAAGGAAAAATAACCTTCACAAATGAGGACATTCATAATCATCGCGTTACATGAATCTCATAATATATTTATGAAAATGTCTGCATAAAAATAACTTCAGCGACGTCGCAAAGATCGATTTCTAAATCCCATCTCGGTATTCCAAGAATGGTGTAATCATGAAGAGAAAAAGGGAATTTTGAGGGCTACAGCGGTTCAAAAAGTATTTTCAGATAATGAAGTAAAAATAGAGAAAAGAATTGAGTTGTTTTTGCCTTTGCTTTATGATTTTATTATCATTTAAATCATTGCTCTCTCGGTTCTTAAGAAACATAGTCCTCTTAGGAACGTCACGCGTTAATTCACGTTTCACTGGAAAAAAAAACACATTGTATCTAGTGTCCAGACTCTTAGAAACATTGACAAGAAAAAGTACTCTTGATTCAATCAGAATCTAGCTTAAATCAAGAACCATGCCTCTTATTAATTTAAGCGGATTTCGTTCCAATGTGTTTTTTTTCCAGTGTTCTAAGCATTCTGTTCCAAGTTTCCATTCTTAAATTAAAAGTCACCTTTTTTTAAACTGAAAAAAGCGTCGACGTTGTGTACGGTGCTTTTCTTTCCTTCATTTTTTATTGTAAATGTAATTTTTTAAGGAGCTCACCTGGAGGGGGCCGTGATCCGGACACGTAAGGTCTCCCGGAGAAGGAAGAAGAGGAGCCAGAGGGGAAGGGGACCGGGCGAGGGGGTCCGTAGCCGGAGGGGGGTCCGAAGGAGTCGGGGTGACCGCCGTAGCCGCCGGCAGATGGGGGGCCTCCTTTGATGGGAACGGCCGCGATTGGTCCACCGACCGGCTTAAGTCGCACTGGCTGAGCGTAAATTATGTCGGCCGGTCGGATGTTCCTTTTTGGTTCCGGATTCGTGCCGTCTTGGTATTCTTCTTCTTCGTCACACTAAAAATACAGGAGTAGAGGATCAATATCAAGTTAGAGACACTGAATAACTTTATAAGAGCTAAATGTCATAGAAAATGCGGAGTTCTGAGTTCTTATATGCCACAAGAATTTGCTGTTTACATGCAATATCTTATGTAAAATGATATGATAACACCGCTGGTTTGGCACAAAGGAAAGTTCGGGAATTAACACTCAGACATAACATTAACAATTGTTTTCACGCAGATAAAATGGAAGTTAGAATATACAAATGACATTATTTGTATTGTTGACATTATACCTCAATGTCTTTGCATTATACCATAATGTTAATTATTAACACTTGTGTCTTTTTTTAGGAGTTGGAATCTTGACTCCCCAATGTATGATTTTTTTTCTTCGTGAAATTTTAAAGAGGAAATATGCTCGGTATAGCTTTAACTCATACCCTGGCTCGAGGTACATTAGATCTGCCCAAACAAAGAAGAAACTAGGAGCCGTTACCTAAGGTTCATCCTACGAAAATGCGGTGTCTTTTGAATCCTTACTTTTATGGTCCAGTATACTAAAAAAAATAGTTGGACATATTTAAATCAAATGGAACCATATCCATACTGACATGAGCCCTGCCAAGCACGTATTCTTAGGGATCTCAAGCCTCATGTCAGAATTGATAAAGTTCCTGTTGATTTAAATGCGTCCAATTTAGTTACGAATGCCGGTTATCTACCGACAACCATCCAAAAATCGAATGATGGATCCAATATTCCAATAATCGATCCATTCGATAATGGAATTCTAACTTACCGCCATCAATCCAAGCCCGCAAAGTTTGTCCCGAACAAAGTGTCTCGGCTCGGTATCGTTTCCGGCCAGCTCTTGTTTGCTTTCGGGGTCAACGTAGAGGTCATCGGTGACCTCTAGGTGGCGCCCTTCCCTGTCAGCGGGCCCTTCGTTCTTTTGCCCCTCGCCGGTGGCTGGAACAGGGGTTGGGGCGACCACAGGGTTTCCTGAGCTCGCATCTCCGCTCGACTTGTCCTTGTTCCACGACCATGAATCACAGGAAACCGCCGTCAACGCCGCCAGCAGCAGCGCGATCTGTAGTCGCATTCTGAAACAAACGGCAAGAGGTTATTTGGGGTAATTTGAGCAAAAAACTTAATATGTACTGAAAATTAAACATGAGAAGAATTTCATTCATTTCGAAAAGTTTTGTTAACTCGCACCTCGCCATGGGGCCCTTACATTTTAGGATTTGTGGCCCTTAATGACCAGTAACCCCGGGCCTTTGAGAGCTGATCCGGCACTGCAGATCCTGATTATAGAAACAATCGTAAATTAGAATAAGCATTTCATTCAATTGAGTAAAATGAACCTGTATTCCAAATTATAAATCGGAAAAATGAAAGAAGATCATAACTTTGACTCGATGGAAGTCACGCCAAACAAGATATCCATTTGGTTTGTTGATCAAAATACTGAAACGTCTAGTTCAAGGAGATTTGAAGTGATGGATTCTTTTCAACCTCACGTGAAATTCCACCTCTTCCATCTTCACCACCTGATGTGGCACTGCGAGCTTTACTCCTGCGGGAATAGAAAGTGAGAGTGCTGTTTCCAGAGGGGTCATTAACATGTCTTCAAGCAAGACAATTATGCATACCCGCTCGAATAGCTGACGAGTGCACGTCTCAAGCTTGTGCCGTTTCCGCATACATGGTTAGCTGATATACGGTGCGAGAAAATGGACTGAAAGAAAAACTTCGGCCATGAAAGCCGCGCTTACGGGCTATATAGACATACCGTCCACGTTCCGGGCTTAGAGACCGGAAGTTCAGGTTGCAGCACCCGGAGCAATCGAAGCTACGGCTCCAGCACCCGGAACTTTCGACCTGTTAGCCTGAACCGGACGGTATATCTACATAGCCCGTAACTTTAATTCAGTGTGGACGGCTGTGCGAGGTGAGAAATTAGGTATATCTCGATACTTGAAAAAATATATTCAATTAGCTGTATCGCTTGTATGCATCACACCTTCAGTATTGAATTATCTCAGATGCAGGACTTATACTGTGTGTACTACCGCATAAAAACTATGTCAATTTAAGTGTACTTTCATCTTAGAATCAATCGTAAGCCACCGCCGCGCATTCGTAGAGTGTTTTAGCAACCGTGGCTGTCGCTACTTTCTTACAGCCGCGTTAAAGTCTCTCAAACACTGCTCCCAAAAATGCTCCTTACGCACGGCATGCGTTTGGATTTCATTTTGCAATAAAATACCACTATTTCTGGCTCGTCGATAAAAGCACCTATCTGCTGAGGGAAACTAAAGGTTCTTGCGTTGTTCCTTAAATAAGCCAAAAATTGTACCTCTTAATTGCAAAATGAAGTCCATTTTATCTTAGTTTATCCTCAAATTAGATCTAAGCCACCGCTGCACATGTGTAGACTGTTCTAGATCAAACCCCGACTGTCGCTACTTTCTTACACCCGCGTTAAAGTCTCTCAATCACTGGTCTCAATACACTAGATCTGACTCTACTAAAAAATAGTGCCACTTCCATGCGGCATTTCATCTTAGTTTAAAATCAATCCTAAGCCACCGCTGCATCGTGTTCTAGATCAAACCTCGACTGTTGCTACTTTCTTACACCCGCGTTAAAGTCTCTCAATCACTGGTTTCAATACACCAGACCCGATTCTACTTATAAACAGTGCCACTTCCATATGGTATTTACTTTTAGTTTAAATTCAATCCTGAGCCACCGCTGCATCATGTTCTAGATCAAACCTCGACTGTCGCTACTTTCTTACACCCGCGTTAAAGTCTCTCAATCACTGGTCTCAATACACCAGACGCGACTCCACCTATAAACAGTGCCACTTCCTTCCTCTTAGTTTAAATTCAATCATAAGCCACCGCTGCATCATGTTCTAGATCAAACCTCGACTGTCGCTACTTTCTTAGACCCGCGTTAAAGTCTCTCAATCACTGGTCTCAATACACCAGACGCGACTCTACCTACAAACAGTGCCGCTTACGCACGGCAGTTCTTTGGCAATGCAGGACAAAGTTGGGGCGGTGAATGCGCTATTGCGCAGTCGGATTGTTGTCCCACGCGCAGGCGCAGCGCAGGTTATTGTCGGATGTTTTTTGTGCGTTTTGCAAGATCGGGTTTCCCCGGGGCTTGGCGACGTCATCGCGTCACAGATCGCTGCTCGCACTCGAACCAGATGACGTAAGGCGGGCGTCTGGCCGACGTGCCACTGATCATTGAGCGTCGTTTGCTTTGATGACACTGCCGAACTCCGACCCCGCCGCGCTCGGGTCGAGAAATTCGAGGGAGTGATTCTTCCCCGAGCTGTATGTTTCCGGGCGCTTACGATCACGATCATCTGAGAGATTTACCGTTTTATGGTTGAAATGCCATCATTCAGTGCTGCGGGCTGATCGTTGAAATTGATAGACAAAGCTATAGACAAAGAAGACACAAGGGATATGGAGGGATCCTACTGGTGAAAGCGGGTTGTTGCAATTGAACACGGAGAAAAAAACTTGTGCGTGGGATCCGAAGTTGAGGTCATATGGATCTCTGAAGTTTTCTGATCACGCATCCGAAAACTTGAGGTCGAGCTACCGAAGTTCGGGTCAGGCATCGAGGCAATTCGATATGTACCGGAGTACTTCAGATGTGTGACCCGAACCCTTCGGTATATATCGAAGTACTTCAAATGTCTGACCCGAACTTCGGCAACTGGACCTCAAGTTTTTAGCAGTGGCGTGGCGTGAATTGCGATATATCGATTGTTATGCCATTTAAACCTATGGAAAAGGATCGATAAACAGGGTGTTCGCAGCGAACACCTAAATAATCGATTCTTTACCATAGGTTTAAATGACATAACAATTGATACATCGCAATTCACGCCACGCCACTGGTTTTTAGATACGTGATCCTAAAACTTTAGAGATCCGAGGAAGAAGTTTTTTTCTTTGTGAAAAATAGGGTAGATAATAGACTAACGGCAGCCCATGCGAGACCCTATAGTTAGTCCATTGGAACCAACCATTTCAACCAGTAAGACCGCTCTATACTCCTTATGTCTTCTTTGTCCAAAGCTTTGTCTATCAATTTCAGCAATCACGCTGTTTGACCCTCTCGATCACATTCAACTGTTATCATTAAGAATGGGCCGCTGAACCATGAACAAATGTTGACTCGCGAGTACATTATCCTAGGGGTAAATGACGCGGATACAGAACACGATGCACACATTAAAAAGTCGAAAAAGTGACTCAGGAACCGAGGAAAACGCAGTTCAAAAAGCGCAAAATTTCCGCAAATTTAAAACGCCCTGGTTTTTTCGTATCACCTCACGCAAATTAGAGAAATTTTCTGTGTGACTTTCGGCGGATAAAGTTGGCACCAGTGCAAAGTCGGGAGCGCAGCGCGCGACGGATTATTACGTTTCCGGCTTGCGGCGGGCCGCTCATTTCCGGAAACATCCGTTTACACTCCCAATTAATTCACGCCTGGGTCCCAGCGCAGCGATCTGAGATGAGAACCGGAGCTCAGTCTTTGTCTATAGCTCTGATTACTGTCTTTAAATTCCATTTTCTGGTCCGTTCTGCTTGCTGCGCCTCCTCCCGTTTGGTTTGGAGGGTGATAGGGAAAGATGATCCCGCAGTTTTATGAACCATGACGATTAGTAATTAATGGAGTAGACAATAGTGTAGATACTTCGTGATTTTTAAGATAGTAGCAGTGGTTTATCAATGAAATTACTCACTACTTTGCATAATATGGATCTTGCAAGAGTGTAATAGAATACTTTTTTGATGTTCTAGAACAGTTGGTCAAATTCCAAAATTTTATGTCATCGGATATTGAATATCTGGGAGTAAAAACTTAATACTACTAATAAGTCGCTCTAGTAGCGCTTCTGTGCGCTCTGCGACAACCAACCGCCACTGACAGCGATCTCGCAAGAGCTCCTCCGGCAGATCGCATTTCCTCATTTCAGCTGCCTTATTCCCTCAATCCACGATTTGGCGTCTTCTACGCTAGAGTTCTATCCTCAGAACTCACACTGGAAAAAAACACATTGGATCTAGAGTCCAGACTCTTGAATACATTGACAAGAAAAAATACTCTTGATTCAATCGGACTTTTGCTTGGATCAAAATGGAATCCGCTTAAATTAAGAGGTTTGGTTCTTGATTTAAGCTGGGTTCTGATTGAACCAAGAGTACTTTTTCTTGCCGATGTTTTTAAGAGTCTGAACTCTAGATCCAATGTGTTTTTTTCCAGTGCAAGTCCCAAAGCTATAAAACGGTCTTAGAATTTCATGATGTCCGAATGAGTTATGGGCATCGGCTCAGCTGCCCGTGAACTATGATGAGTGATAGTGATGAGACTTGGAGGTGTCGGAGAAAAAGTGTAATTAAGACGGTCAGCTGACCTTGTCGATTGAGTAACGGGCATGGCTGGTGTGAGTGGAAAGTTGGCTCTATCTAATCAAAATCAATGTCCACGCATGAGCTGCTTTTATGTCGCGTAACTCTGGCTGTGCCAGCATTCATCGTGGTTGCCGAGTTTTTTCGAGCCCGTTTACAGGTGGCAAGTCATTTCCCAAGATTTTTTCTTCCAACTCCAAGTTTTCGTAATAATTTTTTCCTAATATATTCTTTTTTTTCCAGTAGGGGTCCGCAAAACACGCCTTCGGAAAAATGCTGTATCTTGGTAAAATGTTGACAAAATATGTTCAACAAGGGCTCATTTTGTAATCTACAGAACCCTGAAAATTGCACAGACAGGCTTTTTGTTGGCGCATTCAATGCATATCGTTGAAAAATGTTTGATACCGCTCTTATGTATACATATATGCGATACATGAAACTATTTCCGTGATTTGTAATTATTGTATGTTTTTTCAGCCTCGTCCCCTCCTTTTACTGTCTATTTTTATTCTACATTCTTGGGCTGCCATAAAGTACTTTTATCTATAGAACTATTTAACTTGGGTTCAGATTTTTTTGCGATCATCTTTTTTTTCAATGAATACTGTGGTTGATGACCATATAACTTTATATTTTACTTTAATACGAAT